TCCCAGGCGAATATTTTCTGATTTATGGGATTAATTGCACGTGGTTGGTGCTGGTTCCTTCTCCATTCCCRCAGGTCCCCGCGCAGCTTCATCCCTGAGCAAAGGTCCCTGCAGCCTCTGCAGGTTCCGGGGGCCACCAGCCCGCGGCGCCCTCGGAGCCACCAGCTGGTGCCCAGCGGGCAAACCAGCAAAAATCTATCACGGATTTCCATTGCACTGAATGCCCKTTTCATTCCTTTTGCCTCCTGCTAGTCGGATCTGGCTCTCTAATCTATACAGTGTATGTACGTGTGCATTCTTCTTCTTTGTTTATGCCTCTTGTTTTCAAGTCCTTGGGCATCTACTTTTCTCTTACTCCAGTAATTATAACTTTACACACTTTCTGGCTTTGATCAGGACCCTCTGTGTGGGCTTTTCTTCAGCTGAGCTTCATCCTGACTGTTTTCAAACTTAAAATTAAAATTAAAAAAAACCAAATTTGTACACATRTTGATATCTATTTGTAGTTTTCAATAGCCTTTTCTTGTCTGTATATATGCATAAAGAGAAAGCTTTAATAAGAAATTTCTATGCCAATGGAAACCAATTTTTAAAATTGGTAGGCTTTAATGTGTTTGTAGCTCCTCTGTGCAGTATGAAGATTTTAATTTCTTTATCTTTGACCTTTTGATTAAATTCCTCATTTCTGAGGCATTCAGAAATTATAATTTCTGARTTCAGAAATTATAATTTCTGAATTACTGAGGCCTTTAGAAACGCTACTGACCACTTAAGTGTTGGTATGATGTCTCCAACAAAGACCCTGAATTTAAATATTAGTCCAGTTGTTTAGTGGATCTGTTACAGCTAGTTCTTCAGCTAAATCCTTCATGTTCCTTAGGAGGAAAGAAGAGCCTTTCCCATCATGAGTTTCAAAATAGTATCTTTAAAAGCAGTCATTTCAGTTTATATCATCTCTCTGATTTCCCTCAGTGGTATCTGCACCCTGTGCTCTCCTACCATGAGACGAGTACTTCAGAGGATGCCTCCATTCCTCTGGCTGCAGCTCAGTGTACGTGCACCACCTGCACAAGTTATCCCACCGAATATCTTACGGTACTGCTGCTCTGTAGACTGCAGATATTGCAAAGTTATTAAATAAGCAGGAGAAGAAATATGTTTCAGCACCCCTATGGATATGTATCCATTTTGCACTGAYTAGACCTTGCAAGTTATAAATGCTATAATTATTTACCAGTCAATACATACATACAATTTGTTTTGAGGCAAATATAAGTCTGACCATTCTAAACAATAAAGAGATTTGTTAAAACAGTATCTTGATGGCGACCAGTTAAATCCAGAGACCAAGCGCGTGTCACATTCTACCACAGTTAACAGAATGTGTCCATTTGGTTGAGGTTCATCTGTGATAAGTTGTTCTAGCTCAGTGCTAATTCTGGCTTAGCAAAACGTGAAAACAATGGTTGACGTTCACAGTCAAGTTTGGGTTTGCTTCAGTTGCATCCATAGAGTTACATCCAGGATGAAGTGAAGGCTCCCATTTACTCAGAACATTCGTGCACTTCTGGTCTTCATCTTGGTGACCAAGTCGAGAACAAGCAGGAYGGATCTATTCAATTTTATTCTTGTAGCTGAATGCAGCACTGAATGAACCAGCAACATTAATTATACAAATTAAATAAGTAACAAAGAGCTGTCATGTCAAATATCATGTGTATTTCTACATCAATTCATATCTTCTAAATAAAATTATGTTCAAAAAAAAAAAAAAACAGGAGGAAGAAGAAAACTCCTTTAAAGGAAACAAATACTYGGTATGATTTTTCTCATTAAAATGCACATGCAGAGAGAGCATCTAAGGATTAGAGAAAACCTTAATATCATCATTTCCTATGTGACTCTCTTAACTCTGTAACCCTAATGACACCTACAAAGTCCCAGAAGCTGAAGAAGGCTCCAAACAAACAGAAGCAGCTCTCGAATTCTCCCATCTGCAGTGGTTGTGGCTCCTGAGGGATGGTCACCGGCGGGCTGGATCCTCGGCGGTGCAAAGGAAGCACCTCCCGTTGGCCAAATGCTGTCTAAAAATTTTCACTCTCACCAGTTGTCCAAATTTGGGGTGGATTTTTCAAGTGGACGGAGGCCGCACACTCCTGACAATRAGAGGAGTCGCTGCCAAATCGCAAGCCTTTGCTCTAAGGCTTCAACCGTGCAACTGGTTTGGCAGAAATCCTTCAAAGATTCCATACGAGGTGGATATTCAGCCTGGAAAATTTATTACTTTCATGAACTGGGTTAAATCAGGTCCTATGAAGAGTTATAGTTATGCCTGTAACCAGTAGCATGTTCAAAACAAACAGGAAAATGTGAGTGATGATCACCTATTGATCCATCATCTTCCCCTCAAGCAGCACTTAACCATGATAAGTCCCGTCTTTAATCTTGGGATAAAAGTGGTTAAAAGCAGAAAGTGAAAGTGAAAATCACACTAAAGAGAAGTGAAAATCTCACTAAAATCACGGTCAGAATCACGGTGTCAGATTTTGSGGAGCTGAGCTAGAGGTGAGGCTGGTTTCAGCTCTGGATTGCCCAAATCCGCCGCACTGGAGGTCACGCTCACCAAAGAGGTCCCTAAGGCCGGCAGGGCAGCAGGGATCGCACGGAGGGACTGGCCCGTTGGCACCGAGCCCCCGTTTGGCCTCAGCATTCCCCGGGAGCCAGCGCGCTCCACGGGGTTTGTTTGTGGCGATCCGCGTTGCCAGGCAGAGCGGCGGCTGCCGCCTGCACCCGCGGGAGCTTTTTCGGGACGCGAGGCTCCAGTTCCTAGAAATAAGTAACTGAAGTCCCTTTAGAGAAGTCTCCTAGCAGTGATAAACACCTGATTGTGGAAGTGGCGGCAGGAAATCGGTATGCTCAGAAGACAACAACATGGGCTGCCAAATATTTTTTTTCCTTTTTTAATTCTTGTTAGGCTAAATTACAAAAAAAAAAAAAAAAAAATACAACTAGCAGTCAGTGTTCCAAGTTAAATGCTCCTTTTGCTTTGCACTTAGCACTTTGGTTCTACCTTTGACATAAACGCTCTGTACGGGATGTGGAATAACTTAGCTATCAAACTTCTTTTCCCAGAACAATAAATTCCAAGTGTGCCGGCTCTTACTCTGCTAAGCTTTCTATAAKCACTTGGGCTGCAAGGGGGTACAGGGATGATGAGGTGGTCTTTCTGCTTACAGTATTAGTATTAAAACATGCCCATAGGGGAGGAGGATATGACCATACCCTTGGCTTCACATAGTGAAGAGGACAGGATGCAGACATGGAGCTTTGCATCAAATTTCATGCAACTTGCAGGTGCTTCCCCATCATTCCTGGAGTTTGTTCTTGCTTAAGAATGATCTCTCCGCAAGCTGTTGCTGGGTCATGTTAACCCAGCACTGATGGGGGCTCTGTGTTTATGTTTTTTTCTTTTTTTTTTTCTTTTAACTATGTGAAGCTAAAAAAAAAAAAAAGTAACTTTAGATTATTATTTCTAAATACCCATCTCTAAAAAAGAGCATTTGCTTATGCTAGGCAATTAAATTAAAACACACACTTCAGAGTTCTTGAAAGGTTTATTCATTCTCTAAAGTCTTCAAGACTTATACGTGTAATCAGTTTTCACTGGGAAGTGTAATAAAAAACCCGCTATGATTAGTCATCAAGCTCAGGTCAAGAAGATCTCTAGCATTGAGGCTTTAAGGATCTGTACCACCACCAGTTAACAGCTCCAGGAGTATCTTGGGCCACCTAAAGACGTACCGGAAGACAGAATTTCTGAGACAAATTCGACTGTAGCCCTCAGTTGCCTTCACGTACATTTGTGAGAGCAGGGCGAGCTGAGAGCAGCCTCACAGTCCCAGATTTTTTTGTCCAGGCTTTGGGCTGCCGTTATTTTGGCTCACAGTACTTGAAAAACAGAAACCCACCACAACCCACTCCAGAAACTAGTTACCTCAGGAGCAAACGGAGCAACTCCCACCTTCTGAACAGAAGAAGCAGAACTTACAGGCTAGTAAGATTTGTGCTTTTAATGTTGCAGTTAAGTGGTTGCCCCCCTCCCCCCCTTTCCCTTTTTTTTTTTTTTTTTTAAGATGGTTGGAGTAGCAGCTTTACAGTTTAGATACAGCACTCAACTTCGGAACAAGATTTATGTTGTGCAGATTTCCTCCAGGACTTAAAAGTACCAGTGATGAACAAATTCAATCCTCATGTCATGGGAATTTTTTACAGTCCACATCGGCAAGGCTGAACTACCTTCCTCGGAGCCCAAAAGTKACCACACACGTTAGCTGTTCACCTGCTACGTCTTCCAGCCAGGCTGTTCCTTCGCCCCAGCTGTTAAGAAAACGTATTTTATAAGGCATATCCTAACAAGTATTGCCTTTTTAAACWCCTGGCTGCGTGGGTGCTCCCTCCGATACAGCGCACAGCGACCGCCTCTGCGGCCTCTCCTCCCCTCTCCCGCCCCGCCGCAGAGCGCCCATGCCCCCGCGCCCCCCTCCGCCAACGGCCGCCGCGCGCCGCAACCACTGCGCACGCGCCAAGCCCTACGCAGCCAGCGCGGCCGTTACGGCGCCGCGGATCCGCGCATGCGCAGCACTGCCAGCGGCCACCGCCTTCCCGCCGCCAGCTCCTACACATCTCAGCATGCACTGCGGTTGCTCCCCGCCCGCCGGGCCCAGCCGGCCGCGCAAGGCACGCTGGGAGATGTAGTCTCCAGGGCGCGCGCGCGGCGTCAGCGGCGCCTCGGCCGGGGCGGCTCCATCTGCGGCCGCCATCTCCACCCCGCCCAGCCGGTGCCAGGGCTACCGGGAAATGGCGCCGCGGGGGGGACCCGGATGTCGGCGGGACGCAATTCCTGCTCTTTCTCCTCCCGGCCCGGGTGGGGCGCCATCACATGACGGCGGAAGAGTGAGCGGGGCGGCGCGGGCACGTGAGCGCGCGGGGCCGCCGCCGCGATGGGCACCGCGCTGGACATCAAGATCAAGCGCGCCAACAAGGTCTACCGGTGCGGGGTGAGTGCGGCGCCAACGGCCGCAACCGCCACAACCGCCGCCGCGGAGGGGGCTGCGGGGCAGGGGGGCTGCTGCTGCGGCACGTCCCGAGCCTCTTGCAGCGCCTAAAGCGCGTTTCGCTTCCTCAGATGCCCCCGGGGGCGGAAAACTGCTCTAAGCAAACCCGAACAGGGCTTACCGAGCATCTGCTCAGCGGCAAGGGGCTCTGGGGCTAAATTACCGTTCTGTGAATCGCGTGTCCTTTTAGGTGTCACGTCGAAGTGGTAGAGGTTGCTTTCTGCGTCTGCCTGGCATTGCTTTATTAATATACGTTTCTAAAGAACTTGGTTATTTCAGTATCATAATGCTATGCCTGTCTTCATTTTTCTCCCCACTTGCTTTAAAGCTCTGTGAACTGGAGCTGTTTTTACACAAGGAAAGGATACGTCTGCTGTCTTAAAGTCAAAATTAAATGGGCTTTTATAGTAACTATATGTGGCAGAATTGTTTGTTTGCTTCTATTTTAACTCCAAGGGAAAAAGGCTTACATTTTTAGTTGTTTGGCTGAAATTTGGAGGTATGAGTGATGTGAAGACACAGTGATGAAAGAGCTGAGCCCTAGAAGTGCAGCATGAATTATTGATAGACATTCCCTAGGCACATTGCATGCAAAACAAGGAGTTGCAAATTTATTTTTAATTAAGCATGGAACGTATTCAGCTTTTCTTTTTGCAGAAATTACGTGATTGCTATACACTTAAGTGACGTGAACTATCCTAATAATAGCTTCAGCACTTTCATTAGTAGCACTTGAAAATGAAGAGATTCCTTAAAAAAAAAATCGTAGTTCACCCCAATGTGTCTAACTATTCATCTGAAGGCAATAAGTCTGCTTATTGTGAGTTATTTTTGCTTTTCTTGTTTATTTAAAGCTACATTTGGAGATGAAGGAAGGTGATGTCTAAATTTATGCACTGGTATAGTAGTATCCCCTTATGCCTCTAACAGCTTAATATAGGAGCACAAAAAAAATTTACTAAGACATATTTAGCTTTCTGTGTCCTAACTTAAACACTGAATGCCTTGATTATCATGTCACTGAAACCCTGATTAATCCCGCGTTGCTCTGTAGTGCCCCTCTCTTTCCTAATCATTCAGTTCTCTTTTTTTTTTTTCATTTTTTTTTTCAAAATATTCTATGCAGAAAAGTTTGGCTCTTGTTCTGAATTAATTCTACTGCACTTATTTTATTTTAGACCAGTAATACTTTTCTGCAGAAGATAATTACTGGCAAAGATTGGATGATAATTGTAAAAGTTTTACCGCCAATTAAGCTTCTCCATAGAAAGGCAGAAAGGGGTCAAACAAATTTTGCAGGTATCTTTAGAGACTGCATCTTGTGCTTAGCTGCTGTCCGTGCGTACAAAAACAGTTGTCTTCAGTTAACCACCTATTATGTTAAACCAGCTTAACTCAAGTGTGTTTGCTGTTTGAAACGATCCTTTTGCTAAGCTGAAGTTTCTTCACTTCCTATTTTTTTTTCATTACTCAGTATTGAGTAGCTAACAGCTTTGCTCTTAGTAGTTTCTTTTTGTTTCTATATATTTTTTAATGGAAAAAGTTTGGCATGCATTTTATAAAATAGTTAAGCATTATGCAAGTCTGTACAGGCTGTTACATGCTTTTTAAAGGAAATAAAATAACACTTATAATCAATAGGGAATTTCAGTGTTGATTATTTGTAATTTTTACAATTTTTTAAGAAAGTAAAGGCCAACCTGGCAAACAGAAGAACTTGTGGAAGAAGTTGTGGGTCTAAACCAAGATTGCTAATTGTTGGGCTGAGAAAGAGTACAGGTATGCCAACAGCTTCGGATTGAGAGAGGACCTGGTTTTCGTGCGTAAAGGGGCGAGGGAGCTCCTGCACTTCACAAGTGATAGCAGGCTTCCCCACACACACGAACTTCAGCTGTCTCGCAGTATGTAATAGAAACAGCTCAAGTATAAAATAGTTTTGACTCCTCTCTATTCAAAGACAGTGGTTTTTGAAGAGCTTGTGTTAGGAAGGGTTTCTGAGTTGCCCTTTAGTTCTTAAGAGAGGTTCAATGTTAGAAAATAAAATGTTAACTTGAAGCTGTTCTTCTCCCATTTGTCCCAAATACRGGGAGTCTTTCTGCGTGATGCTCTGTAGATAGTAGCTTGGGAATGGGTTATGCTCAGTGCYAGGAAATTGGCCTTCCTAAATAAAGGAGTTCATATGTTCAGGATTGTCCTTGCTGCTTATAGTTCAGCTGTGCCCATTTTTTGATGCGATAACCTAATTGCTTTTGCTAATTAAAACCTGTTAACAGAGCAGCACAGAATTAGGGCAGCTCTTGGTCACCATCCGTTYGTGCTGGTGCCGGCTGTTCTCGGGGTTGCTGCAGGGCCTCCGCTTGGACTCGCCGTGCGTTCCCGTCCCCTGCCCCGATGCTGCGAGTTCTGCCGCTGCCGTGCGGGGCTTCCTGCGCCAGGCCCGCTCGCGCCGTCGTCCTGCCTGTTGTGCAGGCAGCAGGCTGGCAAAACTCGGATACCCTCAGCCAGAGATGCGCACAACTAGGCTGGGCTTTTCTGACAAAGTTAGAACATCTTCTGGGAGCAGTTTCCTCAAGTTCTCTGAAAATTAGCAYGCTACGTATGCCACTGCAGCTTGAGTGACAACAGGAGGAGAAATAGATTTAAATATATGTTCTTGTGTATTTTTTTTTTCTCTTCTTAGGAAATTCTCTCGGGAGTTGTGGTCATAACAAGTAAAGACACAGTCCAGCACCAAGGTATCTCGTTAACAATGGAAGGGTCAGTGAATCTGCAGCTTAGTGCCAAAAGTGTGGGTGTGTTTGAAGCCTTCTACAATTCTGTCAAGGTAAGAACCGGKGCAGATTACTGTCTTTAGCAGCAAATTTTTGTCTGGGTTCTTAAATCTTTCCTTAGTAGTTTTCAGGTAGTTATAACCTCTGATAGGAAGCAGAGSAATCTCAGCATTATCTATACTGTGAGGTTTCACAGAATCACAGAAGGGYTGAGGTTGGAAGGSACCTCTAGAGATCATCCAGTCCAACCCCCTGCTCCAGCAGGGACACCCAGAGCACGGGGCACAGGGYGGCATCCAGGCGGGTTGGGAAGATCTCCAGAGAAGGAGACTCCACAGCCKCCCTGGGCAGCCTGTGCCAGGGCTCTGTTACTCTTACAGGGAGAAAGTTCCTCCACACATGGAGRTGGAGCTGCCTGTGTTTCAACTTGCACCCATTTCCCCTTGTCCTGTCACTGGCCGCCACCGAGAAGGGCTTGGCSCCTTCCTCCCTACATTCCCCCTTCAGGTATTTATACATATTGATCAGATCCCCTCTCAAAATGTAGTGGGAGGAGCACACATTAGATGCAGAGTTTTCTTCGTGGCTGAAATGTAATAGCGTAAATAGTATGGTCACTGAGGATATGCTGAAGGAGCAGGATATTTAAAAAGAACAGAAAGCGTAGAGGGGAGAGAGAGGCACGAATATAACGCAGTTAAATTTAGTGGGACTTCTGTCATCCGACTGTTTTYTGCAGAGCCCCTGAGAGTGTTGCTAGGCAAAGTACAGGACCTGAACTGCTCCTGGTGACACTCTTGGCCTGCAGAGTCCTTGAAGGCCTCTGTGCTGCTGCTTTGAGTTTGGAAGTGTAGTCTAATCCCTGGGCATGGCCCTGCGCTTGGATTTTGCAGCGCCAGGGATCCCGAGCTCCATGTGCTGTGGCTGCGCTGGTGAAAGGCAAGGCTGGCTACGTCCAGAGGCAGGAGAGCTGTGCAAAGGGACTGGCGCCAGGTAGCCTGGCCTCCTTGCAGAGTTCTGAAGCAGTCTTCATTTGTATCCTCATTAATTTGTTCACAGTCTGAATAATCAGCCCCTGAGTGACTGAAAAACAGTAGAAGCAAAACTGTGGGTATTTTATTTATTCAGTCTAGTCTAGCAGAGGGAAAAGACTTGGGGATCAGAGGAATTGGACCCTCAAGGTGAAGCTGCGCTAAGCGTGCCTCTTCATAACAATGTCACATCCTTTTCTCCCGAGTGTGARGTCTGGATTTGTTGATTTAGCTTTCTTTTAAAAGAGAGATAGAAACTCTTTTGAGACAAAGGAAAACTTATTTTATAATGGGTGAAAATGATCTAGCTCACTGCCCTTGGTCAGCATTGCATCTACAGCTTTGGCCTGGCGTATTCTGGTTGATCCGTTTGACTAGGCTAGTGGAAAGAGAGGGGTTGCTTTCAATTTTTGTTTTTGTATTAGCTTTTCTTTGTTTGTTTGTTCTTTTTGTCCTGATAAACCAGTGGATTGGTTGACACTACTGACAGCTGAGATGAATGTCCAAGTCTGGCACAAAAGTAGAGTGACACAGAAGAAGAAAGGGAGCTACTTCTTTTAGTGTCAGTGAACTGTTAGATTGAATTGGTTCAGACATTGCTGTTTCCCATATTAAAAGCACAGGTTGGAATAAATGTAAGGGGATTTCAGCTTTCATCTCATTACATCTCATAGTAATGTGAGTAACACTAATAATTACTCCAGTTCTAGCAGTTTTAAAAATAAATATTTAAAACAACTGAAGAGTAACATGATGGGCGTCACCACCCTTAACAATGAGAGTTTGAAGCAACTTAAGTGTGTTCACCAGAAATAAAAACCCTGGAGAAAACCAAAATGCTTCAGCCCATACTGCACTGGGTATGCACACAGTTTCCTTCTCATCTGCTGGTTTTGCAGGGTTTGCTCTATTCCTTTGCATTTAGCAGGCAGCTGTCAGGATTAGCAGGCTTCCCCAGGCAAAAGGCCACTCACAGTTACCCATAGTTACAGGGAGAGACTAGTGGTAGATACAGGTCTTAGGGCAGGGGAGGGAGGAAGCAGAGAGCTACCTGCCCAGCTGGCACCGACCTGCTCTCCTGCCGGTCCCTACCGCTGCTAAGAGCCRTAACTTGGGAAGTGGAGCCCTGCTTGCTGGGGTGCTTGCAACTCTGCTCTTTAGCTCCCCACTTAGTATTGGACACAACTGCAAAGCAGGTCACAAATACTTCCCTTGAGGAAAAGCATTCTGAATATTTTTTTTTCGTTGTAAGGTTGGAGAAGTGCACATCAGAGAAATGCTTGCATTTGGGGGAACCTGGGAAGTCTGTTTAGCGGATGTTGCTGGTTCTTTTTGAAATCATGAGGCTATCACTTTGCTTCAACTTAATTCTCTTCATATTTATCTTTGCAGCCTATTCAGATTATTAACAGCACTATTGAAATGATCAAACCAGGAAAACTGCCCAGTGGAAAAACAGAAATTCCTTTTGAGTTTCCCTTGCAAGTGAAAGGCAACAAAGTTTTGTATGAGACTTACCATGGCGTCTTTGTGAATATTCAGGTAAGGCAGTCAGATCTGTACATAAAATCTGAACTTTTCTTATATTCTGAATATATTTTAAAGCATCTCTTCTCCTGTGGAAGTAGAGGAAATTACAGGAGACTCTTTTCATAGTGTGTGACTTATAATATTTTTTTGCTTAYGTCAATTCGAAGAATGACCAGAAAGCTGGAGATCCTTTGAAGAAAGTACCTTTTAAGCAGCTCTTTAGTAATATAGTATTCTTCCCTTATGTACAGTATTTTCTAGGTATGACTTAACATAAAACTAAAATCATGTTGACAAGCAATCATTACCTCCAGGTACTAGTTTTTTGTTTTGATTTTATTTTTTACAGATTCAGTATGAAACTGAAATTTTACATGCTGATAGTTTCATCTAGTTTTGATTTTTATGGTGAAAGAAGTTGCATTTCCCATGTCCACACTATATAGTGCATAGCCAAAAATAAATGTTGATATGTTAAAAAATAAATTTTGATCTAGTTTCAGCATTAAAAAACCCCTTGTTTCTGCTAATAATATTTCAAAATACTAAAAAATGAAGCGGGCTGGCTCACCAGGTCCATCTTAGACACAGGCACAAATCCTACTGGGACAAAGCTACCCATGTTCAGAGTCTGTTCTCCCGTGTTCCCTTGTCAGAAGCATCCTCCTGCTAGAGGAAATCTTTCCATGGCTCTTTGATTCAGCCCTTCCCTATTGAGCAGGTAACCTAGGAAAGATGGCAGAAACAGAACGGTAACGAGATGGCTTGTGTGAACCCCCKCCCGTCGCCGCTGTTTCAGTAGCTAACCACTTCTGCAGTAGTCACGTTGCATCCGTTATTCGGCTGAATCTACTCCCTTCGTGACTAGAAACAATACCCAGCTGTGTAATTGTGTAAGGAGGACTCCAGTCAAAGTGATGAGAGCTTGTCGCCTCTGCAGAAACATAAATTGTTTCCTTCTTGTAGAGATGCAGAGTAGAGTTTTCTGCCCGAACCTCTGTGTACAGCACAGTTGCAACACAGTCTGTGGAAATAGTTTTGAAATTTTACTTTTCTTGGTTAAATACCAGTTTGCCAAAGTGTGATTTGTCTTGGTTTGGTTTTATTTGGCTTTTCTCGTTTGTGTTGGGCAGAGGGGATGGAGGGCAGAGTCTTCCCAACTCTTGCATGTGCCCATTGCGTTAGCTGAGCCATCGGAGATGTGTCCTGTGTGCTCAAGAGGTGGAAAGACAGCCACTAAATGAAAACTTGCAGATCAGTACTAATAAAAAGGTATTGGTTATTAAAAAACAAACGAACAAACACCTTGTAAGAGCTTACTGAGAGAATTTGCTTTGACACTATATAAAATGTAGCTGAACTGAAAAGTTTTATAGAGAACAGTCTTGAATTAAAAGATAAACCAACCTACTAGCTTACTGGAATTAACTATAAGAATAAAGAATGTAAAAGTCAGGACRGCAGTAGACCTGTAGAATTAGACATTGATTTCTTGTTAAACTCCTTAGCCATGACCTTGTTTTCATGGAGTACAAAGAAGTGGCAGTGGTAGAAAAGTCTCAGATGAAATCCTTTTGTTCCGTTCTTAGATATTCGGTCTGTCTGGACATTGAATACCATGTGTTTTTCAAAATTGTATTTAGTGAGGTGATGTTTTTGGTTTACCTGCATCTTTTGCATCTTTTGCACGTGGCATCTTTTTAGTTACTTACTTTGAAAATGTTACTGAAATTTTAGATTTGATGTACACTTTGAGTATTATAATAGACGTGTAGGGTTGGCTTCCAGTCCAGCAAGTTTAGCTGCATCTAGAGAGGAGAGAGCTTTGCAGCAGTGGGCAGGGGTTACGTGCCGGGGGAGGAGCTGTGTTATTTCCCCATCTGGGAGCTCTGCGTGGTGAACAAATGGACATCACCACTGTAATAAAGCTCCTAGTCTTGTCTGAATGTGCGTCGCCTGCTGCAGTGTTTTCATTGCAACTTCTTTGCTTTTGTTGTTGTTGTTTTCATTGTTGCAGAGAAAATAACGATCCTGTTTTTCCTGCTTTTCAGCACAGGCAGGTAGGTGATGCTTTCTCAGTCATGGCAAGAAAACCCTGTCTGAAGATCTGGTCCTTGTCTTCCAAAAATCTAATTCACTGCTCTCTACCCAGTTTTGYCTCCAGCTCTCTGGCAAACTTTGTTCTTATGTCTGCCAGTCTTCAGCATCCATTAGAAACTCGCAATTTCCAGTACAGGGTTTTGGTTAATTCACAAKCAAGTTAAACACATTTCTGAAAGCTGGCCCTCCAAGCCATTTGCTTATCCTGCGTTCCCACCATTTGCACTCTTCCCACTGCTTGGCTTTCCGCCTAATGTAGCATTTGTTGTTTGCAGTAGGTATGTCAAAAATGGTGCCAAGCAGGTTGAGTTGCTTTCCATAATCCAGATAACTTATGATAAATACCTGTTGTTTTAAGATATGCTTTAACAGTAAATGTTTCTGATTTTTTTTTCTCGTTTACTCAGCTTCTTTTTACAGCCTGAGAATAAAGTGTAATTAAAAGGTTAATGATTTGGTCTTAGCCAATATATTTTTTTCTTAAATACCCTAAAGATGAAAATATAGTCTCTCCCAAGGCTATTTATTTGATAAAATTGATAAAACAGTTGCATAGATGAATTGGTGGAGTTCATTGGATATTTCTTTTTTTGGCGTTTAAGCAATTCAGGCTTGAATTGCTTAAAAAATTTCTCAAGCTTTAAATAAAGAGACCATTTGCTTTCTAGCTTGTTTATATTTCTTCAGACCACGAAATGGAAAAACAGACCATCAGCAGTACAAGGGTGCACCACCTATGTCCCCTGTGATGTCTGCGTAGCTAAAGGTGCTGTTTAAGAGCAGCTTTGGAGACCCAGCTGGTGAGGTGGATGGTTCATGTGCTACCAACCACCCTCCTGCTCCTCAGCCGCGGGCTGGTGGCTCCCGTGGGGAGCAGTTACCAGCAGAGTTAACCTTGCTCCTCCTTGACTTCCTTGTGCCCTGTTGCTGGGAAGTTCAGCTTCTGTGGTTAAAGGCAGATTCCTATTGAATAGGTTTCTGTCTGTTACCACCGTTYCCTGTGGGAGCAAAGGCAGAAGGGCTGTGGATATGTCCTACTGACAGCCGCTTGCGCAGTGCGTGGAGAGCGGGGCCGTGTTCGGTCTCGGCTGGACACCCCTCGGCTGCTCTAGCCCCACGGAAGTTCTGCTCTGTCAGGGAATCAGTCCCCCAGTCTCGTAGGTTGTTATCGTGTATTCCTGCAATACACAAAGTATTTGTGGGACTGTAAATACAAGCACTCTTTMATCTGGGAGCATCTAAAATCAGCGTCGTCTCATCTCCTCCCTTTGCACTCCCTTCTRCCCATCACTGGTACATGTGTGTTGCCCGTTAATCTCTTGTAAATGAAGTCTTAGGTATAAATAACCAGTAGCCTTCTGCACATATCCAGCAAAAAGAAGAAAAAGAGGCTTAGGGAGATCTTAACTAAGTCTCTTCCTTTTCTCCTCTGTCTYGTTCCTACCAGTACACTCTACGGTGCGATATGCGACGTTCTCTGCTGGCAAAAGACCTGACTAAAACTTGTGAATTCATTGTGCACTCGCTGGTAAGAATGCTTCATGTTAAATATATGAGGTGATTTTTTTTTCCCTACCTTCATTTAAAGTGAACTTCTGCAGTGCTTTTCATAGAAACAAGTAGCAGTGCTGCAACTTACAGTGAGAACACCTCTGATGTGCATGAGTCAAAACAGCTCCTCTTGAAACCAGAGTGCTCAGTAGAACAGAGGTGTCTTCTCTGCTAGGGGTTTCTTCTGGATAGAATTACACCTCTGTTGGTTTTTCTTCATTTAGAGAAGTCTTACCTGGTACAAATGTGATTTAGATAATAAGATGCTTGTATTCGTTTTATTTTCTTACTCATTCTCTTCACTTCTGAGACAGTGGTAGCTTTAGAAGCTAAACATTACAGTGGTCTCCTAAACTGCTTCAGCCAATCTGAGCCTTTCTTAGGCAAAGATGCCAGGCAGCCTCAATGTCAGTGGCGGAGAGGGGAGTGCAGTGGTGAAGAAAAACACCTGTCTTCTGTTCTGGAGATGATTAACTCTGCTTTAGAGCATTAGCTATCTCRGAATGCCCACGTTAGGAGGGCACCAAGCTGGAAATAGGTTTGGCACCGTAGTGTTATAAAGCAAGCCCATGGTTGGCAATATAGTGAGCACATATACCCGGGGTAACTAATGTTCAGATCCTGCAGATAGCAGCACTGAGACAGTTTCCTCCTGTCGCAGTATCTTTGTGGGACTGAAGTTTGCCTGTCTCACAGGAAGTGCTTTGTCCTGTGTTATCTGGAGGTTCCCATCCCAGCTTGTTGTTTCGAGTTTTCATTGGCTTAAACACATGCTCAGAGCATCTGATATCAGTACAGACCRTGCAGGCCTAATTAAATACTTTTCTTTTATCCAGAACTTGCTAGAACATACTGCTTGCATCGCTCCTTTGAACTCTGTAGCAGGGCCCKAAAGCATTAGCTTGTTTTTATCTTATTCACAAATACTGGTGAAATTGCAAAATGGTGAAAATGTTACTACTGTGGTACTCCTTTCAAAGTTTTGTCTAGGTGCTATGTAGAGGGCTCCTGTTGATAAGGTTTCGTTATTTTCTAAAATATATTATGCTGCGTTATATAGGTCCATTATTAGAAGTAAGCCATGGTTGTCAAAACAGTGAACAAATTATATATTATGCAGTTCCTGGTTTCATTTCTCGTTGCCAGTGTAGCTCGTGCTGGATCGTGAGTCAGTAAGTCAGGCCAGATCTCCCAGGCAGGGAGAATTAATGAGGTCTGCCTGCACATACCCTGCGCACTGGCAGCGCTCGCTGTACCGGGTCCTTTAGCCGCCTGCTTGACCAGGATTTGTCGGTCACAGAAAATACAGTCAGTCTTTCTGCTGATGCCTCCCATCTTGCAGCTGGGCAGCAGGAGCTATTTTGAATTCTTCGGTAGTGAAAGCAAATCCTAACTGGAGTATTTTCCAGTTCCAAAGTCTCGTTTTGCTCGATATAGCTAAGAAGCTAAACTGTAACACTAAAACAGCACTATACTGGATTCCATCAACTGAGGATCTCCTAATAAACTTCAAGATGGCTTAAGAGACACAAGCCCTTTGCTGAAAGGGCAGCAGGTAAAATGGGAGAGAAGGAAGATCAGAGCACTCGCAGGTAACAGAGGCCAGAGGGAGACTTTACAGAACATGGAGGATACAGACTTATGGGCCAGGCTTATTTATAATCCCCTTCCCACCTTGAATCATTTTTCAAAATCCTAATAGTGAAAGGAGACATTACAAGGGGCAAATGAATTGTCGTTGTTTATAAACACTGAAATGTAAAATTGAACTTTGTTGCAYAGTGCTCCAGGATGTGCTTCAGGGAGATTAGCAGTGCGTTTTCCAGGAGTTTCCAGGAAGTTTGCAGGTGTCAGCTTTGGTTTTGGCCTTCAATATAGGAAGGGTTTATGCCAGTGATTTATGAAGGGAGACCTTACAGTGGTTTGGTGCAATGACAAAAACATCCACAACTTAATGCAGTCTATCTGCACATTCAAAATTGTGCCTTGAATTTAGACAGTATCAATAATGAAGGTAGGAAATGTCAGATCCTTCATTACATAGATGCATCCTTTCAGCATTAACAGCCCTAAAAAACAGCCTAGGCAACAATGCTCGACTTCATTGGGTTTTTTTAGTAGTCAGCAAATATTTTGTAAATCATGTAGCTTATAGTTGAACTTTTTTGTCCCTCTATAGTCACAGAAAGGGAAGCTGATGCCAAGCCCAGTAGACTTCAAAATTACCCCTGAAACCTTGCAGAATGTTAAAGAGGTAAGTTTCTAACCTATATATAATGTTCAGGTAATTCTAAATGAGAGAAATAAAATAATGATTAAATGCCTTCCTGTAGGTAATTTCTTCTTTTTCTTTCCTTTTTTTCTTCTCTCTTTTTAAGTAAAAATCTGTTGTCTTCTGGTTGTGTGACTCATGAGAAGTTGCATGGTGAAGGAAAGAGCTAAAGGTGTGGGTAGAAAACGTGTTGTTTCCGTGCACCCCCCGCGCTGGAGCTCCCCTGCACCGGGAAGTATCCGGGGGCCGCCCCAGGAAGCCCCACAAGCTCTTACAGGAGCTGCGAGGCTCTCGCAGCTCCTGGGCTGTCCTCAGGCAGCTGTGGCCGCTGCTGCGAGCTGGTAGGAGAGCAGCCTCCCTCCAGCTGCTCTGAGCGAGTGTCAGCACCTCTGCAGTTGCCTCCTTTTTAKCAGGCAGGAAGAAATGCTGCTAGAAGGGTGATCCCGCATCCACAGCTGCGCTGTTGTCCAGCTCTTTAACCGGTGTATAACCAGCATACAGTACAATACAGTTTGAGTCAGATGAGCATGGCAGATGTCCTTTCCTTCCTTGCCAATATTTGCTGTTGGAGATAAGGTTGCAATGCTGGGAAGAACGCTGAAATGACGGCCCGTGTTGTAGTCCGCGACAAAACAAGGCACGGTGCCGCTCCTCGGAGCGCTGCCCAAGCCGACCATCCCTTCCACTCCTGCCAGCCRGTGGCTTCCAGCCCGCATCTCCCGCTCCGGGATGCGCTGCAGTGTGGAAGCGGGGTTAGATCCTCCCAGGACAGATTGCCCCTGGGCACGGGGATGCTTCAGAGGGGCAGTAAGAGATAATATCCTAATGCATCTGTGTACGGAGGCCTATTTAAAAACATGCATTAAGAAAGTTACTTGAGCCATTTCTGATTTTATAACCGCAATAGATAACTTTTCATCTTCTCTGTAAGGATGTGTTTTTGCCTCTGGCACTTCTTACAGTTATCCTTTGGCTTTGTTCCCTTCCCTCCCTGCCGCCCCGTCCTTTCAGAGAGCCTCGCTCCCGAAGTTCCTCATCAGAGGCCACCTGAGCTCCACCAACTGTGTCATCACGCAGCCGCTCACGGGGGAGCTGGTGGTGGAGAGCGCCGAGGCGGCGGTCAAGAGCATCGAGCTGCAGCTGGTGCGCGTGGAGACCTGCGGTGAGCTCCCTCCCAGCACCGCGGGCAAACCCTGCACGGGGCTCCCTTGGCSCCGGCAGCTTAGATGTGCTGCCTTGGCAGAAGTCCTGCAACTCAAAAGACTTTTTTGTGTGTGTCGGGGGGAATTAAAGCTGTTGCAACCAAAGCATAAATTAATGTAAACGATCTCCACAGTGCTAAACTCGAGAGCTCTCATCTGCAAAGTTACGGCAAAGGGCAGAATGTTTTGGGGTTATTCCCTGGTAAATGTGTGTTTGAGTTTTGACTACTGCTTTGCCTCTTCTCTTTCCTGCTCATCCTGTGGATCCCTCCCTGTCTCTCCCCAGGCTGTGCAGAGGGCTACGCCAGGGACGCCACGGAGATTCAGAATATCCAGATTGCAGATGGGGACATCTGCAGGGGACTGCCCATTCCCATACACATGGTGTTTCCCAGGCTCTTCACTTGCCCTACGCTGGAAACAACCAACTTCAAAGTGGGTGAGTGCAGGGGCCGGGCTGGGCAGGCATCTGTGCTCGGAACGAGCCCCACGTCTCCCTTCGGCTCCTGGCGGGAGAGGTAACGAGAAAATCGCTGTCAACAGAGCAAGAGAGCGGAGGGAATAGGTTCTCCTCTAGAGGYTCCTCGAGCAGTACTGTCGTACTGCTGTGCTCCTTTTTATTCCTCCTCCTTTCTGTTTCCCACTGTCCTGCTGCACAGATCGGAAGTACAGCTGCTACAAAACTTCACCTCTTGATCTTCATGGGCCCCGTCTTACTGCTTATTTTTGGCCAAATCCCGCATTTTCATTAACAGACACTTAAAGCCCAGGTCCCTGTCCCAGGCTTTTGTTCTTCTGCTTTGCAAGTCAGATTTTCTAATTTGTGCAGCATTTCTTCATGATCCTCCATGACAGCCCGTTGGTTTCTTGTGGATTTGTTGGGTGTTCCCAGCTGTGCCGGGCTCGAGCTACGAGCCTGTCGTGCYGGGACCGCCTCCGCTTTCGTGCTGCGTATCTTTGGACAAATGAGGGAAAATTTTCCAGTTTAGAGTGCCTGTTTCCTCAAAAACATGTTTGCACCTAATCTATACAGTGATTTTTTTGTTTTTTTTTCCTGTGGAATAATCAATAGCTTTCTGTTCTACGTGTAGCACTTCTAGTAATTTATAATGACAAATTGCGACTGTTAATACATCKCTTCTTCTCTGAGAAGAGCCTTTATATTCTGTTACAAAGATACTGAAAAAAGGATAACAACTTATTTATATGCATTTATTATATATAAATACATACGTTATTATATATATCTTTCTCTCTAGTTCCTTCCAGTTAACTTCCTGTGATTTTTGTATTCTGTCTCCATTTAAAGACATAGCTCTGATCCRTGTTCTTTTTGGAACAGCATAGAATACAATTGGGTACATTTTCTTTTGAAAACTTATTCATGGAATGCAGGTCATCATAGTTTTTTAATTTACTGCTTAGGTTCCTTTCCTGTAAAGGCCAAAATGGTCTGAGAATATTGTATTAAGTTCTGTGTGCGCTGACAGCACTAACAACCAGGTCTGTCTGCCACCTCTTTCACTTCCTACTTTCTTCTAAACAACAAACATGGTTTGGAGAAAGACACCCCAAGCCAAAGACTGTTTTTAGGGCGATGTTGGAGCTCCCAGCAGAGCGGGATGAGCCAGGGATCTGTGTACGGGTGGTCCCGGGTGTTGGGGTCAGGTTCCGCCTGCAGCAGCTTGCTCTTCCCTACGCTGCCGSACTACTTGGCTGCAGAAGAATCCTGAGTCTTCCAGCAGCATGGAAGAGCCCTGAAAAGTGATGTACGGGAAAGCAGGTGGAACCTGCTGCTGATGCCAGAGTTCATGCCAGTTGGAACCTGTTCTTTTTTCCCTCTTCCCGCAGAGTTTGAAGTTAACATCGTTGTCCTTCTGCATGACGATCATCTCATCACAGAGAACTTCCCCCTGAAGCTCTGCAGAATGTGAACAGCCACAGGAGAACCCTCTAAGGAGCTACCCAAAAAGGAGGAAATGCTTCCAAGACAAGGTGGAATTTTGTCCATGGATTAGCTTAACTAAAATCCCATTCCTTCTTCCTTACTGCGGGTAGTTTTCATGTGTTCAGCGCTCTGTGCATCTTCCTGAAGGCTGCCCCTCTGCTCTCAATACGTGAGGCAGGAGTGTCCCGCTGGTCGCCCTTGCCACCCATCTTTCTGACTCAACAGCTGKGTCTCCCTGCTTTTTCTCAGACAAATCCGGAAGGGTTTGTGGGTTTTGGCACTTCTACAACTTGCACGATGTAGTAAGTTGTCTCTGGAACAAGTACTATGTTCTGAAATACGCAATGTTCTTTAGACTTCTTAAATCTTTAAGTCCTGTTATATACTGTGTATATTATGTATGGGGAGATACTGAATGTGTGATATAATGCACAATAGAATGGTCTAAGATATAATAAACAGTGCTGCAAAAATATCACATGGAGTTGCATGGGTACTACAAGGTGAATGTGAAATAACAAGAAACAAAGATTCTTCTGGTCACACAGGGAATATGAATCTGTCTGGAACAAATGATCTTGGAGATGAAGTTGCTTGTTTTGTGTGTGTGTGTGTGCGTGTGTGTGTGTGCGTGCGTTGTGTGTTTTGTTATTTCCTCCTCTATTGCATTGGCTCTTCCTAGCCTTAGACAAATTATACTCTTTAGCTTTGCTGTTTGCATGAAATAGCCTTAAAGAACCAGGATCAGTTGAAAGTCCTAACAGGGGACTCTACTTGATGTATTCTCTGCATCATAATCTCTCCCGCTTATACTTTCAAAGCCCAGTGTTGATGTGAAGAGGGGCTTTGTAAACTCTTGTGTTGGGGATGACAGCCGGCACAAACTGCCTTGTTGCCTCTTCTGGCCGACTCTGCTCTGAAGTAGGGAAAACTGCTTGGAAAGATGTTCCTGCTGTGGCAGGTTGTGACTGAGTGCAGGACTGGGCACTCCAAGGGTGACTAACCCACTGCTCTTATTAATGAACTTAATTAATATTGGCATGCATCTCAGAGTATAATCTATGCTAGAATGGTAGTGAAGGAAATCATATTCATTTACSCTTTTAGAAACTCATGAAAATGTTTCCCAGTATACAGCTTAGACCTTCCTGTGAGCAAGGACAGTGAGTAGAGGGGAAGCCCAAGAAATAACTTCCCTCAAAAGGAACAGAGAGTGGACTTTGTTTTGTAAAGTTAATGTAACAGCCACAGCTTTCCACTTACTTAATCGTTTTCAATAAAATTTTGTGTAAGGAAGGTGGCAGGCTAAGAAGGTGAGGAATAACATAAGGTTGTCACCTTTTTACTCATACTTAAAGCAATAGCGTGAAGAAAACTACTCAGACAAGTTTTCCTGAAGCTTTATGCAGTGATACGGTGGAGCTGGAGACCCATTTTGCGCTCTGTATATAAGAATAAGGACCCGTGCAGCCCGCTCGAGSTCGCCCCTGCGCCCCGCACGGCAGCGGACGCCGCCCCGGCGGTTACAGCCGTTACAGCCGTTACACGGGGCGCGGCCGCTGCCGCTCGGCGCGGGGCCGCCCCGCCCTCGGCGCAGGGGCCGCCCCCGCCTGAGCGCGGGCCGCGCGGAGCTGCCGCTGGCGCCGCGCGGCGGTGCCGGTGCTGGTGCCGGTAATGATGTCGGTACCGATGCCGGTACCGCTGCCGGTACCGATGCCGGTACCGCTGCCGCCGCTGCGGCTGCGCGAGGCCGCCCCCAGGCGTGACGGCTGTGCGGTAGGGTGCCTTGAGCCAGCAATGGCGGTGATAAACCTGCCTTACAAGAGCCTGAGGGATCTGCCCTCTTGGAACTTGGTCTGAAATGGCTGGCGCTGTTTACCTATTCTAAGGCTTTCTCTTTAAAGAGGTAGAAAGACTTGCCTGTAAATAGCACTAGAATCCATTGGGTATTTAGGGAAGAGAAAGGACCAGGTTCCTGGAACAGTAGCTGCCCTGGCCTTAGCTGGGCTGTGGCATGAGACCTGAGGAGGAAAGGTACYGTGGCTGGTCACAAAGGTGCCTATGGGGAACGGCAATTCCTGGCCCTGAACAGGCTCARGGCGCTGCCCCTTCCTGCTCACGCAGTTTTGGCCCTGGGGGCTGATGCCCAGAGGGCCCCTTGGGGCAAGATCTGGGATTGTCCCTTCCCCTTTGGGGAAACAGGGAAGGAAGCAGCACAGCTGGCAGAGCAACCCCCCCAGCCTCAGCTCCCCCTCCGGCACCATCCGCAACTCAAGAGACTCAGCAAAAATAAAGGCAGGAAAGCGCAGGGGYTGGAGGAGTAACTTTATTTTGTCACAGAATACCAGTTATCACAGTAGCAGGCTGAAGCTTTAATCAATAGCTTACTCCATTTGGGAAACATACAATCATCCTTAGCATGRGCTACTCTAATCTCTTACCATCAATGTGATCCTGCTTGTACCGAGGCCACAGGCSTTCCCGCTTTTCCTGAGTGCTTTGCTGGACATGATCTGACTGGTCTTTGGGCGATCTGAGGCGAATCTTACAATAAAGAAGGGACACAGGGAGGGATTCCAGCCCTTTAGCTGTTTCGCTTCTCTACCTCACTCTTAGCATTCCTGCACAGAATGCACCTGAACAGTGTTGCCTCACCAGAAATAAAAGCCCTGTAGTTCTGATTGAAACAAATCAACTCTTGACCGAGGAGGGAAATTTGAGGCCCCTGCAGAGCTGAGCTGAGCAAGATTGAGCCCAGGAAGCCCAAGTAAGGCTATGCAACAAAGTCATAAGAATGCTTAAATGCTTTTTATTTTTGCTTCAAAATAGTACTAAAAGAAATTGTTTAAATGGGTTTAATTTGAGCTGATGATTTATACAGAGGCTAGAGCCACAATAATATCAACTTCATTTATAATGTAATTAGGCTTTTCATGATCATTACCAGGAAAAACGACGAGGAAGAAGTCAAAGCTGGGCTGTCCAGAAGACTGCTGGCGTGTCCTGCACATCACCTACTGTATGATACTACATTTTATTTGTAACATGTCAGCTCTGGAGGGCAGCCTCCCTCCCTGCTGGAGCTGTGCCCAGGCCTCACCCTGTGCCGAGGGAAGGCCACAGGGAGGTCAGAGAGCCCTCAGCCAAGAGCCTGAGCGGCGGCTCCCGACACTTGGATTTAGGGATCTGGGCCTGCGGCAGCTCCAAAGCGGCCGCCTGGCAGCTCCGTGTCCAGTAGCGCGGGGGGCACCGCGTGTGCTGCTCTCTGCAAGCCAACCGGGGCGACATCCTTTCCTAGGCTCCCCTCACCCCTGCTTTGCTTTCCCTATCGTGGTGGTTAGTTAGTGCAGTACCAGTGCATTTCCTTAGCGTTTGATCAAATAAAGCGAGGTTAAACGTRTTTGTTTCGCGGAGAAAGTTCAGGAAAGTCTTCGGGTAGCAGCGCGTGAACACGGCAGATGGGGCAGGTGCTCGAATGTTCCTTGAGCCACGTTCCGATGCACTGCAAGGAGAGGGAAAGCCAGAAAACAGCTCAAGGCTGGTGGGAAGCACTCACCTCAGGTAGGCTAATACTTACACCCTCGGCAAACCGCTTTCCAAAGGGTCCTGTAGCCTCTTGTTAAAATGTGCAGTCAGAAAATGGCTCTCTAACTCTGATGCCGTACTAAGCAATCTACACTGGACGCTATTTTCAATAACAAATAAGCAGCAAACAAATGTGTTGGTGGATAAAGATCACTAGCAGCAGTAACAAAWTATTAAAATATGCGTTTTTTTACTACACCAAGTTGTATATGCAGCTACTACCAGGTAACAAATACAGGTTTTGCAGTGCTAGTCCACGCTGTAGATATTCTGCAAACAGAAAGTGGGACTTTAGCAGGGACTTAGAAACCAAGCTGACTTAGCCCCTGAGGAGGAAGCTTAAACTCATTCTCATCAGTTACTACTTTGGGTAAGAGCTAAACACCCAAACTGGAAACAACTCACAGRGTAGGACAACTCCTAGTGTACAAACTACATAAAGGAAAAGTGTGTGCACTTTTTAGCCATTTTCTTTTGGCTTTCAGGAAATGTTGTGTCCACGTAAACTCACACAGAAAGGAGAGCATAAAATCCTTACTTCTCTGTGAAAGTGATGTCCACACTCCAGCTCACACGAGTCTCTGCTTCGCTCCTCGTGACATATTATGCAGAGTTCGTTGTCGGAGGCCTGTAATAGACAGCGTTGTGTCATTTGAAAGCTAGCACCAATTAACTATCCAATTCCAGAAAGCTAATGATTATAATGTTAATAAAAGCGCCCACGACATCCTTGGGTTATTCCATGTCTCATGTTAGCCACAAACAGTGCATGTTAATAACTTCAAGGCCAGTGAAATGGTAGAGAACTTACCGGATCATCTGACTTTTTCCATTTGGACCTGGATGTTGCTCCAATCTTTCCCCAGGGCTGGGAATTGGGCCGAGATGGATGTGGGTTTTGACTTGTGGCGCTTCTAGGCCTTGCCTGGCCCGGGCTGGGCACAGGCTGCTCCGCAGCTGCTGCTCGAGCTCCGCTCTGTCCTAGGGCGGCGGGAGGCACCGACCTCGCAGYGCTCCCTGCTGAAGCTGGAGCCTGGCAGGCAGCGGAAAACAGGATTGAGCAGTTCCCAGCCCGGAGCTGAAGAGGGGCTCTTCAGACTCCGCCAAGCTTGTCTCCCACCACGCAGAAACATCAGCACGTTACCTTGCTTTGGTGGTCCAGAATGAGCTCCGTCACCCTCCCGAGGATCTCCTCCAAGCCCAGGCCGGACAGCGTGTTTCCGTTCTGCATCTGAACTTCTTTTACGAAGTTGACCAAGTCTGAACTGAAAGACAGGAGTAATTCSAGGCTGTTGATCCTGCGGCTCCTGGGCTGAGCGCAGCACTAGAGCCTGCTGCCTCCTCGCTGCGCGGCTCGTACCAGTAGAGCCTGTAAGGGACGCCAGCTTTCCCTATGCGATGCAGCCCTGCTCGCGAGAGCCTGCTTCCAAACCCCCTCTCAACAGCCAGGCTCTAGCCAATGTAACTGAATATAAAAAAAGCCCCAAATATTAAAGTGGTGGTTCTAGTAGAAAAAGAGGTCAGCACTGTAGATCTATTCCCTTATGGATCATCTCCATGGAAAGAACAGAACCCCTTCCTCTTCCTCTCTAAAATTAGAGAAACATCTCATGAAACATCCACTAAGACACAAGACATATAACTAGGGAAAAACATTCTTTTGTATTTTATCCTTTGAGGTCTAGTGAAGAAATGCATTAAAGAAATACCTGCTGTAATTTGGGAAGATGGCCTGCAGACTGGCAATGACTCTGTCAAACGCTTTGGGCAGCCCTCTGCTGTTGGGGGGCGCGGGTGGCCCCAGCTGGGCGGCCGCGTCCCCTGGACGGCTCTGGTTGGGCCGGCCCTTGTGGGAAGCTGCTCCGGGGGCRCGGGCCGGAGGCGCTGCCGAGGCTCCACCGGAGCGGGCTCCTTCCAGGGGGCTGGCGGGCGCTGGGGCCGCGCTGCCGCTCGCAGGGGCCGCGGCACCCGCAGCACCCACGCAGGCAGCAGCGGGAGGTGGCGGCACCGCAGCCGAGTAGGAGACAACGGCCGGGTCGCCGAGGGGAGGCCRGCTCTGCTGCCCCTGCGAGGAAGCAGATCCCCCAAGTCGGTAACGGGCCTGGGCAAACGCTCAGCGCGTGGGGCAGGAACGGGCCGTGCCCGGTCCCGCCGGGCAGAGAGCAGCTCCCGGCAGTTCATCTGCACCGGCCCACAGCCCCTCGGCSCGCGCTGCCCTCGGCCCGGCTGCTGCCGCTCGCACCGCTGCCCTGGCCCCGTTTGCTCCCCAAAGATTTGGTGCCCGCGGACAGCTCCGGCTTTACAGGRCGGCTGCAGCGGAAAGGGCTGCTCCAATAAATGCCCCCAGCCTGGCAACAGAGCACCCCCCTCTCAGCTGGTGGGGCAGCCTGCACAACGCAGCGTTGGGGCACACGCTCTGCCCGCTAGCGTCAGTGTCGCGGAAGTCGGAGCTGGCGTCGCCCAGGAGGACTTTTTCTTTTCCTCTTTTTTTTTTTTTTCCTCCTCTCTTTCTTTTTTACCCTAGCTACTCCCTTCCATAAATGGAAAGAGCTCCTAAAAGTGAGCTTGCTTGTTTGACAGCATCGCTGCTATCTGCTCCAGACCTTCACTGCTTTAAAAATGTTTTCCAAGCTACAGAACTAAAATTCTATAGTTATTCAGGTTTGAATTGTAATGACGGGTTCTCAGTGTTTTGGTTTAACACCTTCCTGAGGTGATATTTTACCTKCTCTGTCTCCTTTGTTTCCTTTGGAGAAGGCAAAGAAAGTAACTAACTTTTGGAATAAGGTATTGATCTATGAAAAAAACAGAAAATCCTACACTTTCCTGAGAATATGAATTTGTTTTATATTTATAGGTTATCAATCTAGTTTTACCAAATCAAACATATAAAGGATGAATTTAAACATTACATAGTAAAGCAGTCTCAGATTGCTAAAACCGAGATGAGTTTTTATAAGTTTCCATATTACTTAGTTCATAGCCTTATTTATTATATTTATTATATTTTTTGTGTACAGAGAAGCCTAAGCTTCAAAGATAAACTTAAGTAGTCAAGAAAAAAAGGACTTTTCATCACTAATTTTTTCATTTGGATTCACTATTYACATATGAAAGTTTTGAAGCTGAAAGAATTACAGGAATATCTGTCCTAGGAAGCTAACGTTGTGTCTCTGCAGGGACCAAAATGTTTCCAGTTGTGTTTATCTGGGATGCGGCCGCTCTAGGTTAATTCCCATAAATGGGATAAACTCCCTCTAGCTCACGGCAGATGCAACCGGGAGTTAATTTGGGCATCCGCAATCAGTTACACGTGTGGGCAGAATGGGGGCCTCTCTCCAAGGATTTGAGTGCGACAAGCAAGTCCCAATATCCACGAACGTGCCTACTAATTCAGATTGAATACGAAGGGTTCTGAATTTAACCGTCAGCACTCGCCCCTAGAAGGGCTCGGGGATTTGTTCCTCACTGAGCTTCATCCTGCTGCTCTACGTCGGTTAAGCTGGAGATGAGCAGGGCCGGGTGACCCTGTGCTCACAGCTGCAAATCCTGGTTCTAACGCACCTGGCTTAGGAAAGACAGCCAAGCTGAACCTCCTGGGTGCCTGGGAGCACGTGGCTTGGAGATGCAAGGTACGTACCAGGACACAGGGAGGAGGCGGRAGCGCTGCCGCCTGCCTTTTGGTGAGGCAGTTCCTGGCACCATTTTTCACCATCTGAATTTTTTCTTCATATTGAGACTGCAGACAGAAAACAAATCCCCTTCCCAATTAGCACTAATTTAAGCTCTTTCCTTAGTCAAAGTTGCATAAACATAACTACATTTTGCAGAACAATAAAAACACCATGCCTTTCAAATGGGATAGTCGGGCTGCAATTTGGTATAGAAACATATCTTTGGTAAAGTACTTGCATTAGCCTGAAAGGGTTTGGGAAACAGAGCGTGCAGCGTGTTCACTTCCACTTCTTAAACTTACCCCAGACATTTTAGACAGCTTTACTCTTCAAACATAACAGAAAATTCACTCTCACTATAAAGAAGTTGCATGGACTGCTGATGCCCAAGAATTGACTGCTTGGACTTGTTTATCTGGGAACCAATTTTGAAGTTCTATAAAGAACTTTTTTTGCTTTATAAAACCCTAAGCCGTTAATTGCAACTTAACTATACTTTAATAATCAGCATTTATTGATGCTTTCTTTTAACATTACAAAACTACTCTTCAGTATTTGGAGGACAAGCTACTGAAGCTTTAAAGTCAGTTAATAAAAAAGGGAAAKGCAGAATCATTTAAGAGACACTTGTGCTTCTCCAATTTCCAAATTGGTTTGGCAAGAGAAATCAAGACTTACCTCTACTTCTTCCATTTGTTTCTTAATACTTAGAAGAAATGTTTCCCAAGAATCTATTTGTGACTTCTGCTGGGGTAATAGCGCTGCTGAACTGCGGAAATACAAAGGTTTTTGGTTAAAACTCCAACATTCCCACTCCTTTTAAGACTAGTATCTTAGGAGAGCCCTTCTCCCCCCATCTCCCCCCCAAGCTAAATCCAAGTTATGGACTGCAAGGAATTTATATTTAAACTACTGGCACCTAGATCCTATCCACTTAGAAGTGGACTCCTCCAACAGATAGCAGTATATGGGCAATCAAAACATGAGGAGGGCTTTTCAAGTACCCCACATCCGGGTAAATTACGACATCAAAAACAAGTTATACTTAATACAACACAAAAACCATCTCGAGTAATCACGCAGCAGTTTCTCTCAGTAGGCAGCACTAACTGCTGCATTAAGTCCCTACCTGCCCCCCGACTTCAGCGCCCGGAGAGCGGCCTCCGCGCTGGCAGCCGCGCTGTGCAGCCTGCACAGCTCCGCTTCCTTCCAGTTTTGGAGTACTGACACCTGGAAAAAAATATATATATATATATATTTGTTTTTGTTTTATATATTTTGTTTATATATATATGGTTTTGTTTGCTTTAAATGCAGTACAAGCACTACTTCGGCACCAGGACTAAAAACTCGTGCTAGATTCCAGTAGGCATCTCAAACAATAGTTTGCCGATGCCGAATGGGAAACCCATTCGTATTAATGCGGCTTCCAGGGGCAAGGAAGGCCGAGTGCAGGGACAGGCACCACAGACCCTGGACCAGAGCAGGGGCTGCAGGTCCAGCAGGAGCCACCTGCCTCTTACAGCAGCATTCAAACCTTTTGTAAAAGGAAACCATACTTCGAGATAGTTGTTCAACACATTTCCAATATAAAATATATTGGATGGCAGAGATCTTCATATTTATCAGCACTCCCTTCCTTTCAGYGAAATACTCAAGTGAATTGTTGAATTCTGAGTCTACGTGCTACAGAGGTAACTGTCTATTCACTCATCATGACTTACTTCTAAAATGAATTCTTACTTTCCTTAGGTTAATGCATCTATTCATAATTGTGTGCGTGTGTGTGTGTATATATACATAATATATAAAAACAGGATAAGTATTAAACTGTCAATCACTAACTGCATTTTATTTGGGGCAGTCCTAGATGCCCCAAGCRTTCTGTCTATGCACTTTTAGTATTAAGCAATGATAAAGTGCCTTGACGAGCTGAAAAGTTTGGCAGGGCAGTGTCACAAGCAGCAGTTGTCAATATTTAGCACTTTTGATGTATATTGCTAAGGAGCCTTAGAAGCTACTTAAAAGCAAAMAGTCTTCATTAAAACTTCTCACCAAGTGTTCTCCAGGCCCCCACCTCCTGACCCAGGTTCCAGCAAAAAAGTTTGAGGATTTTTGGTTTGTTTGTTTGTACCTCTGCGGATATCGCTCTTTTCACCCACTCTTGGCAGTCAGCCTGGCTCTTTTTTATAAGTTCTTCCAGTTTTCCTTTTTCATTAGCAAATTTATTACTGTGGGGAAAAAAGAAAAAAAAAAAAAGTGATGATTTGATCATTTGATTAACCTTTACAGCTAATGGAGCAGTGCTGAAAAGCGGGGGCAGGTCTGTGCCCCTGCATCAACAGCGCAGTGCTGCGCTCGGCAGCCCCACGGCGGCCCTGGGGGCAGCCCCACGGCGGCCCTGGGGGCAGCCCCACAGCATTTCCCAAGCACATTCTGCTCTGCGGGGGGAGAATCTCAGAGGACTCCGAGTACAAAACTGTGATTGTTCTGAGCTTAACACAATCGGTATAAGAGATGTATTTGTAAATGACATCCTGACTGTACAATACACACAAATAAATAACTTTTAAAGTATTTAAGATGCATTTACGTAAAGCTAGAACTAGACATGTGCAGAGATCCTAACTGCATACAACATCAGTGTGTTTGTCCCACATGCAACTTSTAATGTGCTCTAAAATACATAAAAATACCATATATCAAAGGAACTACCTAAGAGTATTTTTTAAAACCCTTTTATTTTGAATTCTAAATACCTATCTAACATTTACCTGTGCTAAGGAACCTGTATCACTTATTCTGTTAGTCTACTTTTTAGCATGCTTATTTCTTCTGTGCATTCACTCCGAATGAGTGAGACCGACAACTCTAACAAGGACAAGTCAGTAGAAAAGTGTAAATATTGCTGAAGGGTAAGAGAGTTTTACCTGGTCTCGAGGCATGTATTGAAGTACAGCTTATACTGCTTTTCCTTCTCCTCAATGTTCTTAGAATACCTAGAGTAATGAAACCCTTATTAAACATGCTCTGAAAAACATTTCTTCACTCACATATAGGTTTCACATTCCTCTATAGCCATAGTGGACAGTTATGCAGTAAATCTATATATCTGATTTATAGGCTGTTCAAGTACACTGTAAGGGTGCATATATATAGATATATATTAGTCCTAATTAAGGACTAATCCAAGAACTGCATTTAACACATTTTCAGAATGATGCAAGTAGGGTCACAAGTTTGGGCTTTTGCTCTGCGTGCTTCTCTCAGCTACTCAGTGTTTTTTTCATGCTTTTACATAAAAAAAAGAAGTTTATTATTATTTAGCTGCAATCTAGAGTCACTACATAAGACTGAAACTTATAAGTCTGTTGGATACAACATTATTTACTATTGCTTGAAGAACAAGGTACTGTAAATCTGCATTCAAAGCGAGCACCTACGTGTCATTGGACTCAGTGTGCTTTTTGATGCTGTGCCTTACTGCTTTTAAGCTCTCTTGGTTTTCTTTCTTCTCCTGCTGCCATTTTTTCTTCCTTTTTTCTAGATCTTGATCCAGCCACTCCAGCTCRCTCCTTGATATCTAGGAGCAGCAAAGGAGAAAGCAGAGGGCATCGTTTCCGAGAAGCCCTTTTCCCACAGCATGCGCTAAAACGGATGGGCTGCTCCGTGCGGGAGCGGGGCCACACGCGGCCAGTGCTGCATGTGCTGCCCCGGGCCCCTCCGCGCTGCCCCCCTGCACGCCTTGCCCGTGGGGCAGCCTCCAAATGGGCAGCCCGGCCCCCCGGGCCGAGTGGGGCACCCAGGCACCCCCAAGCGCAGCTCACAGGTCTGTGATGCAGCCCTGCAGCTGCCCTGATCGCGTTGAAATCACCACGTCAGGAGGGAAACGGGCGCCACGAAGCCCAGACACAGGCACCCGCATCCGCTGCGGACAAGTCCAGCTGTCCTGGCCGGCTCAAACTCTCCGAGTTTCCGTTTTGGGGAGCACCCATAGAGAAGCACGGGCGTGAGGCTCCGTTCTCCCCGCTGGGCAGTTTGCCAGGCCGCTCGTGGCCAGCACCAGCGCGAGAGTTCGGGAGGTGCCGAGGGGCAGCGCAGGGATTTAGGCCAACACGAGCTGCATCTCCTCAAGGAGCAGGGAGGCAGCACTGCAGAGCTCTTCACTCCTTGGATCCAACCCAGACCGAGGCCTACCCAGGGACAGAGGCACCCAGGCCCCGTGCGYGCGCTCCCCAGACGGGCAGGGTCTTGGGGGTCACTGAGCTGGGCTGCACGGGCGTCAGCTCTGCCATTTAGGTCTCCAAAATACAGTGAATTGATCACCTGCAACATGAAACTAGGGAGTCTGTCTTTACTAACCAAACTGCTGCAGGAATAAAGACGTTACCTCTATTTTTTCTGCACTTTTTTTTAAGAGCTCTTTTAAAACGCTGATTTCCTCTGAGCTTCGACCTTGTAACTGTTTGTATTTTTCCTGTGCTTCTTTAAGTTGTTCTTTTAATACCTGGTGCTCCTTTTCCATACGCAGCATATCTCCCTGCAAATCAATGAGGAAAGAGACTCCAATGGTCATTATCCCCAGGGCAGCAAACATCCAGGACAGGTCTGAAATGAGCAGTCTACTTCCAGGTGAGATTCAAAAAAATCTGTAGGATTTTTCAGAGGAAGCTGTGCGACAGTCGGAGTAGGTTTCAGCAAGTTAACGTTCACATCTGAAACTAATGCAATATGAAGAGTCTGAAGGCCATATCCCTGCTCATCTGCTGCTACAGGCAGGAGACTGACACGAACAACAGCCTGGGCTCTCTCGGTGCCCAAGTGGAATATTTGAACAAATTCRAGATTTTTGAGGGGAAGTATCAGGCAATGCACTTTAACATCTACATAGCTACAAACAAAACCCACACACCTCCAAACCCACCTTCTTTATGGACCTGAGGTTTATACCAAGGGCAGCGAGGAGTATGTCCCAGCATGAAGGGCTGAAGGCCATAGCTGTTATTTGCATCTCATTTGCTATCTTATTTAGCTTATTTGTTATTTGCTATCTGAATTGAGGAAAGCTGTTTTTGCACTACTAGGGACTCCTTTAATGTGCCTCACGAAAAAGGTAAACACGCACATAGGTCACTTACCTGATGCACTTCAAAAGGATGAAATGGCAAGGTATTAGTTTCCCTGTCAGCTACTTCACGAGTTACCTGGAATACAAAGCATCCTTAGCCAAGAAGTGCTCCTGGCTGCGTGTACAACTAGCAGGACAGTTTTCCTGCCTTGGAGGGCCTAGGATACCTAGCTGACAGTCTTACAAGTCCACCAATTTGCAACACATTCCTCTACACTCTAAGAAGAAATTAAGCAAYTGTTTGCAGTCCATCTAGGAAAAGCACCTTAGTACTTTCCAAACTGTCATGYTCTTTTTGACCATGACTCTCAGAGAGATAACTCAAAAATGAGTTGCACTTTCAGCAGAAACATGGGGAAAGATGCTGAACATTTCCATTAATTATTAAAAAGCACTACAAACACTTTTTCCATCTTCATTTCTTACCTGAAAAGCTACCATCTTTGTATGAGGATTGTTTTTCATTAAAGGTTTCCCTTTCCTTTCTTTTTCCACCTTGATAGCTGGCACGCAATGCTCAGCTTCACTCATACTATTTGCTGCAGCAAAGCTGTCTTCAGCCAGGGCGTTATCCGGGTTCTGGGGCAGGCCCTGAGGGTCTCTGCACGTCTGTGTTTCAGTTGGCGTAAAATTATCATCAGAGACATTTGCATCTGTAACTGCTGGTTCACTATAATCCTGATGAGCTGCGTGACCACCATAAACATAAGGTTGCTTGGCAAAATCTGAAGCGAGAGGCATCTGGAAAGGTTCTGGCAAAACTCCTTCATACTGATAACCCAGCGAAGTCTGAGGCAAAGATGCATCCAGATTTTTAGTATCAAGGCAGTCCAGTAAAGCATCTGAAAAGGAAGACTCATTTTCTATGGTATTCACAGCATCCAAAAAGGAAGGCTCGTTTTCGATGGTATTCATATTCTGACTATGGAAAAAATGCATTGATTCGTATGAAACAGGTARCGAATAGGCCAGATATTCGGGGATCTCGTAGCTTGTGTCTGATCTGTCAGTAGAGGATGAAACACGAGGCTGTTGAGTGTAGGACAGTGGCTTGAATTCCTTAGCAGTTGGATTCAACTGTATTTTGCTCCGAGATGAAGTTCCTTGAGTATCAGAGCATGTAGAGATTCCTGCTTCCTTATCCCCGCACTCATTTAGATGGGTAATTTCTTTAATCAGCGCTGCATGCCCTAGTAAGCCAATAACATTATCGATCATAACGAAGCGAAGGGAGCYCAGCAGAAAGGGCTTCAGACCACCTGCATCTTCAACAATTTTGCGAGCTTCTTCGGGGAAATCTTCGTATTCTCCAACTAATAACTTATCAGTAATTTCCATGGGACCATGCGCTTCCAAGATTTGAGAAAAATAGCTTTAAAAAGAATATATRTAAGTTGTTAATCAAAGTCTTTTAATTAAATTAATCAAAGCACCAACACAGGATAATTCAGTCAAACAGAAGCAAGAAGTATGGACATTAAACACATTCAGTGATCTCTAATGTAAAGCTGGTGACCTGTAAGTTGCTAATACACATAGATGTATATCAACATAACCATTAATAACATTTGTATTTAGGTATGTACTACCTTATATGCCTTAATTTTATCTTGACTAAGAGCAACTCCTGCGATCACCAGTAAAATAAATAAGGCAATTCCATCTTCAGRTGTCAGAAGCACCACCCTGCTTACAAATTCAGGACAAAACTCCACTTTTTATCCGACTGTTTTTCTATGTCACTTACATGCACATTCACAAATATAAATTCAAGGCCTTAGTTTCCATACACTGGTCTTAAAAGAAAATAATAACAACGCAGTTTTGGTAGTATTAGTCATTGCCAATTGTCAAGAACTGAAGAAGTTTTGTTCCCAACTACTACTGCCACTTCTTTCTGGAAATAACTCTCTAATTCCCTAATTGTCTAATGCCAAAGTACAGAATTTACATGGATATAAGCTAGAAAATTCAATCATTAACACAACTGAGCACAGCAACRTATACATACTCATATAAACTCTCACAGGTTGGATCCAGGTGAGTATCCAAAACRCTTTGGTAACTGTTACTATTTGAAACTTCACAGAGAGCCTCAAATTCCTCCATTTGAAGATAGTCTGGGATTACAAATGGTTCATAAGGATTCATAAAGTCTCTGCAACAGGTTAAAGAAAAAAAAAAAAGAGCATGTGAACAATTGCATATATATTTTTTTTCCCTGAGAAAGTAATCATGTTTTTCTAAAACACTCAAAACAACTCATGGTAACTATATAGTCCTCCAAAGACACCCCAACACCAAACTTTTCTAACAGCCAGAACAAACATTATCCCCCCAAACACTCAACCACTCAGATTGTTAGGAACGGATAATGAAAGACCAACTGCAGGAGCAAGGCGTCACCCTGCCCAGCCTTTCCCCCCACATCCAGGCCTGTCTTCTCACTTGGAGGGAGTTCAAGAGTTCAACTTGGGACAAATTTGGAGTCACACACACTGATACATGGGCTGCAGGAGATCCCAAATCGACCTTAGCATCCTCTTGAATTAGTTGAGAGAGCAAAGACCAGCTGTGACTGACAGAATCCATATCAATTTGTCAACCAATTTCTTCTTACAGTAAAATAGAAGAGGAGGAAAGGAAGGTCCTACTTGAAAGAACAGTTTTCAGTCTAAAAAATGCCCTGGGCTGCAGCCAGGTCACCTTGTGGTTGCCTCTTACAGCCTTTTTATAAAAGTTAATTACAAAATAAAACCCCTTACAGCCTGCCTGGAGGAACAGAAATAATGGCCCTCTACAAGTTTATATCAAATTCATATAAAACAAAACAAACAAACCCCCCGAGATGTGAACCCAGGCTTGGTGTTTCGAAGCTTTCATCTTCCCCATTACGCGCAAAGCACTTTGGAGTTTGGGCAACGAGGCAAACGTGCTCCGTGGTACTTACAAAGTATCTTCTTCTATAAATATATTTTCTTCTTCTAGTGGTGCTGTACTCACTCCACTGGACAATACTAAAACAGACTAAWGAAAAACAGATTATTAGTTTTTAAGCTCCCAGTAGTATGTATAAGATGATCTGCTCTAAAGCGCTTGAGTAACTTAGTTACCAGAATGATTTTCTCTAATATCACTGTGTTCARATTCCAGAAAATGAGCTGGAAAGCTCAACCAGGGAAGTTTAACTACCCATCCTGCAGTCCATCCCCAAAAGTTTATAAATAAATTACCAGATTCTTCTTCAGAACTTAGCCAGGATACAGGAATTGGGATATTYCGCCTAGCTTGTCCTTTTTACTGATTTAATCTCAACACTAAATGCATTGATTTTCCACCAAATGCAGATTAAATAATCACACATGCAAACACCCTATGGCTTCACTGTTGCTAACATTTCTGTTCRAGTTCTTTCCAGTGGGCTACAGATCAACTGTCTTTAAGAACCACTCCAGCTTTAGCAATTTTACTGCAAGTTCTCACTTACCCTCAGACCAGATTGTTTATGTCTCTTGTGTTCACAATTATAAGCATGGCATTTATTTATTTATCCTGTAACTTTAGGAAAATTTAGCTTTGTATATGTGCATCTTGGACAGGAATAGAAACCTCCCCATTGATGACCATAGTAAAGATCTTAACTTTTGAAATTCTATTAAAAACAAAACATGAAAAAAGGCTGGATACAGGGAGGGACAAACAGAAAGATTGCATTTGATGCTTTCAGTAAAGCAAGTTGTCCCTGAGGCAGGGCAAAAGACAGCATACATGCTAACTAGGATACTATTCCTTACTGAAATTTCCTTTACCGAAATAAAATTTTTCTGAGCATTAAATGGAATATTCTTCACTTCTTCAGTCCCTGACATACCCTTAGAAACTGCCAGCAAAGTCAGTTGAAGATACAATTTCAAATCGATTTTATCAGAGGTATAAGGACATATTTTGCTTTCTCAGGATGATTCCAAAAAGTTCATTTTCAAATTTATTGCTTGTCACTGACAAACAGGAGCATAAAATATTAACTGCTTAGAGCAGCAGAGTGGTAACTGCAGCGGTTCTGATTCTTCTTCTCCAGCTCTGCTGTCTGCACAGAAAGTTTGTCCTTCCCCCCCCCCCACACACACACTGCAAATAAAGATTAAAACAGGGGTTTAGTATGGAGATTTTTTGTGTGTGTGCAAAGACTGGGGGTATTTATACAGGATCAAAGCTGATACTATTTTTAAAAGACTTTCTTTTTAAATTAAAAACTTCTTCTACAGTGATACGTTCCTACTGTAACAAAACAATTACTATTGTACTAATTGGCTCTCTAATGTATTTTCTATTTCAGAGAAAACTACCTCAAAATTGAGTCTCCATAAATTATTTAGCCTCTACAATTATACAGTTCTAGTATCGTAGCAGTTCCAGTAAATAACGTATTTATAAGTAAGTGGCTAAAAATATTACTGACCCGTGACTCTTTTGGCTTTTTTTTTCTGTTTTTGTTTTTAACTTTGATACTGTTAGTCTGAAACAGAAAAAAAAAAAAACAAGTTAATAGTTTATCAGAACAAAGTTATGCTTCCAAAAGCAATGTGTAATTTAAAAATTTTACATCACAATTTGAAATTTTTGACTCTTGGGGGGAAAAAAACAGAGCAACATTTACAGGGTTAGAYATACATTTCTCCCACCTGCCCCTGTGGAAATACACAAACAGGAACAGAGTTTGCAAAATCTTATCTGTTCTGGTTTTCATCGTTCTCCTCCTTAAATATGCAGCACATTTAAAAGCAAAATATTCAGTTGTGGTTACATCTCTGCTCCTGGTCCTTACATGAAGCAGAAAGCGAGTCTGTCATCCCATAACGGGGCAGCTGTCACAGCACAGAGCGCAGCTCCAGGCAGGAAAGGAGAGGCCAACAGAACCTACTGCAAGTTTTGCTCAAATTTCTAGGGAGACAAGCAATGAAGGAACTAAAAATCCATCTTTGCCTTTTAAAAGGGCAGATTATAGGTTCACAGTTTTCTACCTACCAAAGGCCTCATTAATCATGAGGTTATTTTAGAAGTAGTAGTAGTAGCGATGGCTTTAATTTCATTCTTGCATTTCTTGGTCATGAAACTCAAGAGCAGCCAAGGATTTCACATTCTCTTGAGATATCAATTAATTAACTCTAAACATTTATTCTGTATATCAGAAGTACATGAGAAGTAAATCTTGGTTTTGTAGGGATCAGTTAATCTGGAAGCAAGAGTAATTTGGGAATTKTGAAGTGCTTCAAACACAAAATGAACCAAGATCTCATTACATACTTCTGCCAACTAAAGACCAACCTTATTAATGCTCAAGACCAAGAAGTGATTCAGAGTGCTGTAGTTTTTAAAAGTTATGGCTTCAATCTGAAAAATATCTATAAAAATTGTAGTGAGAAGGCAAAATGCTTGTGTCAAGCCCCTCAAATTTACTCTGCTTATTAGCAGAGCAAATTACTAATTCCTAGTCCTGCAATTCCACGACCTCTGTAAGTAAAGCTGCGTTGGGAGGAATCCTCACGTTGTTTTGCACTGTGGAACAGTACAAATTACGTCCATTCAAGAAAGCAATCGGCTTCAGTTCCAGTTGTTACGGGGATTATGCAGATAGGGCATCTAGCAAAAGTCTGCTTGCAAGTTGGGCACTTCTTTTTCCCTCCTCCAATGCTACTTGCAAAGTAGCATTTAACATCATATTTTTTAATCATATTTTTTTGCCTTTTATTAGCCACTTTTCACATTTAACCACAAGATGCTGGTTTATTATGGGGCTTATTTGCCCCATCTGAAGGAGCAGGTGCAGCCGGTCACAGCAGCCCCTCTGCTGCCACCGCAGCTCCCCCTCATCTTCCTCTTCCAGATCCTCAAGCTAAAACATATCCCGTTGCTTCTCTTTAGAGAAAACCCTACACAAATATTTCACAGAGGAAAGTTTAGAGAAAAAAGGAATGTAGTCTTCAAATACTTTAAGAGATGGGGAAAGGTGGTCCCAAAAGAGTAAGTCATAAATCTCGATCACATCTGAAGAGGATATAAAACAATATATGTTTCTGCTCACTCATTTTGGCACATTTTTGAAATGAAAACACTTTTTTTTTGAACTTATCCCAAAATGGACATTAAGTTAACTTACTGAAATATCTTCATTTTCCTGCTTCTTTAATATAATGGTAGGGTCACCTATTAAAAGAGTAACAAAGTCACTTTTTAAAACATAAACGATATTTTTTCATGTAACTTACAAYATTAAACTATGGAATGACTAATGATCATTATACAGCTCCATCATCAAACATGAGAGTCTTCTCAAGACTTAGAGAGCAGTTACTTAGACTGGGCTTATTTTGGCAGGTCAGTTTGTGTACCAGCCTTGGACAAACTTGGGAAACAAGCAGCAAAATGCAGCCTTTAAGAGGACATCTTGGTCCTTTGGACTACACTGTATTTTAAGCACTGAATGGAAAAGATTGTATGGATGAGGTGTTTAGAAACTGGCTGAGTTTCATCATTTTATGGAGCTCATCAAGAAGTGTAGTACAGCGGTCCCAGTAATGAAAAGATTTGCATATTTACCCATTTTATCAAAGAATTCATCTAAAGCTAGATGAAGAAATGGATATTTTTCTCTGTTATCTTCTAAAAGCCATATAAAACAACGGGCTTTTTCCAAAGGCGCTTGTAGGAAATAATCAAGGATTTCTTTGTCCTCAAAACTGGTCATCACATAGTCCAGTTTATTAGCGTATTTTTCATTCCAGAGCGCRGTTAAAATACTAAGATCAAGCTCTTTTAAAAAATGCCCATACTGAAGGAGAAAGGTCTTTGTAGCTTTCAAACCTAAAAAAGAAAAGAAAAAAAATCATTTAGTCCTCAGGACTCATTTAGTTCTTGAACTGTCATTTTCTTCAAGGAGAAACATTTTTTTTTTCCAAATACTAAATATAAGGTAACTAAAACAGATTATACAAAACCTATTCTATCTTGCAAAATTCCAACATAAGTTATCAGTGAGTTTACTTTTATTGAGCAATCAGTTCTGTAAAAGTAATTTAACTTGATTTTTCTGTAGTGTTGGCTTGCCATTTCCTATTGAATTTAGATGAAGATATATTTTTGAAGATATATTCATCTATATTTTGAATATAGATGAAAATACCTGAAGTTTGGGCAATTTGTTGTTGKTTTTTTTTGTTTGTTTGTTTTTGTTTTGAACTCCATTATGTTGCTTCTGTGTCCCCACAGAATTTATATATATTTCTTAAATTACAGACAACTAAATTTGCATGATAAAAAGTAAAAAAAGAAATAAAAGAGTCAAACAAATAAAAAAAGATAGCTTTGGTTTAGGAACTGAAGCTAAGCAGCAAGACTGCAGAGCAGATAGGTTTTCTTTTCCTTCATAAACTGCAGGATTACGAYGTGTCAAGTTCTTCTGCTGTCACTTTAACGGGGGACCTACCCAAACTGTTGAGATGTTTCATCCACTTGTGCAACTTGGGATCTACTTCTTCCAGTTCACTTAGCACATGAACAAAAAGCCTTGTTTTAACTTTGTTTTTTTCCTGAATTAAGTTATTGATGAGCTGTTCCATCACTTYGTGTGACGTGCTGGTCATTTTGGAATATGACATGTAATCCTCCCCACTGATGACACACCAGGAAAGCAATTCCTTTAATAGTYTGGAAACATCAAGAACAGCTGTTTTTATTTTCTCAGCATTCTGAATAATACACTGCAGGACTCTGTCACCAGCATACATGGACTGGACATGACCTGCAAGAGGACAGAAACAAGATTTCATGTCTTTTTAAAGTCGATATGCTTTAATTGTAGCAAAGGACAGATCATCTGGACAAAACTGCACTTTTTTCATATTTACCACAAACCCTGCTTGAAGAACACAACCAACTTGTTATCGAAATTATGCTTACCATTTTTAAACCTGCGTTTGGTCCATTTTGTGTGTGTTTTAGATAAGAAGCTGAGGGTTGTTTCCTTACCTCAACCCGCCAGCAACAGTAGCCTCAAGCAACTGGGTGTGCAGATTTCTGCACGTGGCCTGCACAGGGCCAGAGCCAGGGCAGAAGGAAACCTCAGCCCCATCCCGTTAGGGAGCCACGGGCCCCTTGACTTGCCACTCTTCAACTTCCTGCAATTTCTCCAGTAAGGAAATGGACTTTTCTTTATCTGATCTCTCTCTCTTTTTTTTTTCTTTTTTTTTTCCCTCCCCCACTACGCCCCCATGTTTAGGATACAAAACTTTATCTAAAAAGCACTTTTAAACAGGTAAGGTAAAAACTGAACCTCTGACTCAGTGCTTATATCAGTGCTTATATCAGTGCTTAATCAATGAAACAAGAACAGAAGTTTTCTTAAAGAACTTAAACAGCCATACACTAACAACATTTTTCAAAAATAATTTTGCTTTTATTCCGGTTCTATTCTTAAGTATAAATGCAAGCTTTTTTTTTACTTTTTTTTTTTTTTTTTTTTTTTTAAATCTCTTTTATGAAGGAATCACATGTATTTTTAGTAATCTGTTGGAATTTGATTTGGGCCATTCGGAACTCTATTCATGCTACCCCATAATACCTCTTAACAATAACCTGTATTTCCACATACCGCTGTGACCATTGCACTGTGATGGCTCACTTCCCCCTTGCTTTTCTTCTGTTTTCCTTTTAGCAGAATTCAGGGCCTCTTCTCGTGCACGTTTTCTTCGAAGTTTTTTTTCTTGTTTCATTTTCAACTTCCTAAGACTGATAAAAGCAATTAAGCAGTGAGCCTAATGACAGCCAAAACAGACACGCTGAGCTCCTCTGACAGAGCAGATTATTTTCTATTTCTTACAGTATTTATAAGCTTTTGACTATAAAATACAATGTTAATTTTCATTTTAAAGTTATTAAAAGACCACAATTTCATTAAAATTTAATAACAATCAAGTATACTACTATAAGAATAACTTACACAATCTTGCAGAAATCTCGCAAGAATCTTTTACTTCCACTACTAATTCCTGAATTAGGATCAAGTGCCTGAAACGTTGTCAAAAGTTTTTTTTTTAAGTCTACACCTTTGTATTTTGCACAAAATATTAATATTGAATTTGACTTTTTTGACTGAGGACATTTATATTCAAAGGATAGTAAAAATGCATTTTATTCCAACTAATTCAAGAGCCAAAACAACAACAGCTCTCCAAACTGCCTGCAGTAGTTTAGCAGTTCTTAACAATGAGCCTGTAATCCAAGCCTAAAGAAAAACTTTGTTTGCAATTTTATTCAACTTAGTTTTAAACGGTAGAGAGCTTACCTTGAACATTTTTGTTTAATACTCGCCCTGGGAGGCTTCTTAGTTCTTGAGATTTTTTGTTCAAACTGTCAACATAAGTAACATCACATTGATTAAATTTAAAACAGATTTTAAGTACATTTTTTTTTTCATATTATGAAGTATTGACATATTCATTCATGCCTAGGATAAAATAAAAGCAGCAGTACAAAACAGACAGCACAGCCTCGTAGGCTGGCAAAGCCTTAGGAAGGCTGCCTAACAGCAGCTTCCACTACCCCAGCTTGGACCACAGCAGCTCATCTCCATCGCAGAGAGGAAGGTTGCAAGAGGACAGTCAAGGCCAAGAAGAACCCGGRGGCCACTCTGCTTTACTGGTGGGCAGGAAGCAAGTTTTCAATCAGGTTTTTGTTTCACCCAAACTAACACTGCTCAAGGAAGAGGATCCCATCTTCCACTGACTCAGCAGAGAATAAAAGCACTGTCCTAAGACACCTGCTTAGCAAGGGTRGTTTGCTTCAATTTAAACAAGTTTCTTCCATATCATGCCTAATAAATATAAAATAARGCTGCAGTTCCCATCAATGAGAGCTCCCTTATGTAACTCTAAAGGAGCTCTAAGGTAACACCTATTCCGCCAAGCTAAAACAACAGTTAAAGTTTCTAAATAATATTCAGATTCTGTAATGAAGATAGCATATTACTTAGGAGTTTGTAGTTAAAGTGAAGACCAGAATGCATCTACTTCAATGAATAAATATTTTTAAAATGACATTCATATTTCTTACTAATATTTACTTACTTCACATTTTATCAGACCAGAAGAATTGAAAATAACTATTTTTGAAATAAGGCCTGTACAATCAGGAGTGAAACATAACTCTTGAAGAAAATCCTGTAGGAAAAAAAATGAATTACAAGAAAGAAAATACTTAATTCATACAAATTCTGTGTTCTTATAGAGGTTACAGTTACGTAATTTGAGGTGGCCCAGGTGTTTAACACTAGCATGGGCCTCASATCACACTGGATGAGAAGAGTAAGTCCTAGGAAACCGGGTAAGAACCACAAATCAGCTCCTGTATCTGTAGCATATAACCCTTATTCTGAAGGCTACAGAAAAGCCCTCTCCATCCAACTTTAGGTTCAAGAATCAGCATTATGAATATTAGTCTATCAGCTCATGAATGGAAATCTGGGGGAGAACATATTATATTAATATTCCCTGAATAGTGGCCGTCAAAACTGCCTTTTTAGGCGCACTGAGCATCAGACTATTGCTTCAACCAGAGCTTGGAAGAAATCAAACTTCCTTAAAGCATGGAATAAATGATGCAAGAAAAATGGGCCTCACAGAGAGGCCTTTCTTCTGCACAGAGCTGCAGCCTTTACGCACACCTGCAAATCAACACAACCTTGCAAGGCTCTCGACTTCCCTGCCTCTCCTCCCACCAAAAAGAAAAAGCAGCCACTTCAGTACAGGTAGAACATCAGGCTGGAGCTCTCCATGCATCACAAACCACTAAAATCCTTACTGGGATAAAGGGAGAATAAAACGGTTCCCTTGTGACACAGATCTTACCTTATCGTTCCTATCGCTGTATTTTGTAGTTTTCAGTTTCTTCCAGCAGCTGATATGAAACTCCACTTTGCACTGCTGACAGCAAGCAATACGTATAAAGCCCTAAAATCAGGAATTTAGAGTCTTTAAAAGGAACAGAAAACAGTGTACACTTTAAGAGAAAATATGTTGGAACTGTATTTTCCAGATAGCCCTCTATTAAGAAAGGGGACATAAAACACGGTAAGTTTTAATTTCTGAAAGTCTTTTAAACCAAAATTTACCTTAAAGCCTGGGTCTGTAAAAAATATTTGCACTTTGGAGTGGCCCTGGCATTGCTGGTAACGGCAAACGGCATCTGGTTCCGGAGGAAACCGGCACTCCTCAATATAATGCTTCAACCTCAACTAAGAAACACAACATGATAGAAGACAACTTGCACACAAAACAGAAAAGGATCAAACAGCTACTTAGAAACTTTTAGCACGCTATAGAGTAAAAGGGACATCATTTTTTGATCAGTAGACAACCAACACCAAGAAAATAAGTCTTGTCTAATGCAAGTTACAGAAGTTGGCCTTTTCATTGTGAAATTTAAAAAAAATGTTCAACTCTCATCAGATAAGTAAAAGGCAGAGCCATGTCACACACTGCATAACCTAGCAAGCTCTGCCGTGTCAAAAATGGAGGCAGCAGCTCACAAAGTAATTCCATGAAAGACCAGTAATGGGAAAACCCTTCAAATTGACAGTGATTTGATTATTAAAAAAAAATTATCAGCATGCAAGAGTGATGTGTCAGAATCCTCACTACATTTACCAGACCTATACAGATAATAGTGCTGTTTGATTTTAATATCATCTGTGTTATTTTCAACTTCACATTCTCATTTATTCTAATTTTGCTTGAATCTCTCTATTATTATATTGTATATAGTGTTCACATGGAGTTCAAATGTGATGACGTGCAACTGAGAAGTTAACCCCTAACAATTCCTTGTAAGAGCAGATTGAAACTATGCCATTACATGAAAATATCCAGGTGTAGACACTTAGATTTCCCTGCGCTGTTACTGGGTTGCCTTCCACTATATAACTTAGTGTCACACACATTTCAAAAAATGAAAAGAACAAAAGCAAAACTGCTGCATCCCTACGAGCCTTGGACTTGAGAACGTGCTAGACAGGGAGCAAGGCAACCTGTGGCTGTTCCACACTAAACACTCCTTTCTGCAGCCCCTTCACCCTCTTCGGTCTCGGTGGTGGTGGTGGGGACCCAAGGACTCACTACTGATCTTGGGCAAATGCACTCAAGTTTCAAAACATGCCTAGGAAGGCTCTGTTTAATAGAAAAGGATCTATTAATGTACCTGTAAATTCCCTGTCCGGGTCTCTTCAATGACCTTCGATGTTGTGGGCCACGTTAACACTCCAGGTACAATCTTGTGGTTAACCATCGTTTGTGATTTCATGAACTGATCCAGCGCATCTGCAAATCTGAAGTTTAACACGGGAACAAAAGGTTCAGAGCATAGATCAGTAACTTACATGTGACGTGCAAAATATTTCAGAAAATAAATCACCACAGATCCAAGGGAAAAAGAAATACCCACAACTGTAAGAATGTGTAGAAAGGAAATGAAAGAAGGTGTGGTTCATAAAGTTATTTAGTTAAGGAATATTCAGTAAAATAGAAACAACAAATAATAAGGAAAGTAACAAATGTAACACGCAGACATACAGCACAGCTGAGTGAGGATAACGGAGACTGCAKGGAAGACCAGAACTTCTCAGCTACTGACTGACGAGCCATTATTATTATTATTATGATTGATGAGAAACTATATCCATAGTTTCTTAACTTCCCGGGCACAGCCTCGAAGGAGCCCAGCCTGAGCTTTGCCATTGACAGAATGGGGAAAATTTGGTTACCATGAGGAGTATAGAACAGGAGCGGGCTTGTGGGACTAGGGAAAACTTACTATGGATCAAAGGGAAGGGTCAAAGGTAGAGAAAGGGAAGGAGCAGGGTGCACCTGGGAGGAAGCAGGGAGGGAGAACAAGAGGAGGGAGGGGGAATGCGGCTGCTGACAGGCTAGCAGGCTGGGGGTCAGCGCGCCCCACACCCAGCTGCCCYGGCCTGTCCTCCAATCCTCCCACATTCCTCCACGTCTCTATTCCCACGTGCGGGCGCTGCGTGGTTGATGGGCGAGTGTCACTGCTTGGGGACCCCCGAGCTGGGTGTCCGGGGGGGCAGATCTGCCTCGCGGGGCCGCGCGCTCGGCCCCGCTACGGCCACAGCCGCAAAGAGCAGCGGCGGCCGCGGCCGTGAGGCTCGCCGAGGGCAGGGGACGCCTCTGAATTCCCCCCGAACCTCTGCCTGGGGAYGGCGAGGCCCCTGGGCCTCCGAGGGCACCCCGGGGAGCGCAGCAGCCAGGAGGGAGGAATTCCCATGCCCTACAGTCTGCTGGAGTCAGTGGTTTGCATAACATCTCTAATGGTAACAAACGTAAAGCTGTAGTAAGTCAGTCTGATATATAAATTTAGTCCTTAATAAAGGACAATGAAAACAAGACCTCTGTGCCTTCTCAACTGCAGCTTTTGCATCAAATATTGAAGCCTTACATTATACTAACCTGTTTTGTCTGAGGTATACTCTTCCAATTCCATAGTAGGCCAAACAATCAAATCTTTCTGACTGGTACTGTTCAATTATTTTTTTGAACTGGTCTTCTGCTTTTATCAGTTCCTTCAAAATAAATTTAAGGCAAAATACATGACATTTACCCAAATATTTTTCATTTCATTTTCTCCCTCTCCTCCTYTTTTTCCTACTTCCAGAAAAGCAGTAAATTCAACACGCCCTATTTTAGGAACAGTAAAGTGCAATAAATAAATCTTACGCTCACATACAAAGGATTTCTTTTCTTTAAGGAAACTTTGGAGCTACCTAAAATAACAGACTGAGCTGTCATACACTCAATATTTTTTAAACAATACAGAAAAAGAAGTCTTCTATGCTAGTATTTTCCACAACCAAAAGCATTCTTTCCTTTTTTTTTTTTTTTTTTTTTTTTTTTAATATAGTTTTGATTGAAAGCAACATGGTTGTTCAATGACCTACCTCAGGCTGTCCTATGCCGAGAAGGGCAGTGGCGTGTCCATAGATGATTATAACATAATTAATAACACGAAGGTTCAGCAGCTGCAAAGAGAGTTGCACTGTAGTAGTGACACGCACAGAAACTCCCAGCCAGTAACTCCTACTATCTACTGTAAACTGATGGTCCTTATAGTAGAAATAAGAAAATATTACATCATTCTATTTATCACAGCCTGTAAATGGATCACGGTTATAAGAAGAATAAGAAGTGAAGGTTAACAAAGAAGGTTAACAAATTTGACTTTTTCTCATGGCCTTGTGATCATATGGCCACCCTGTGTATTTCAACATAACACATCCTGATTTTTTGCCTTTAGAAACGCTTTAACTGGGCCTTAAYGTTGACTTTATATAATGCAATGAGTCCCTGCTAGACTACAATACTCAGTTTCTCAACTTATATTCACAAGTGAGAGGATTCTACTAATAAAAAAACAAAGAAATCAATCAAGCTCATCTTCTTCTTATAAAGCAATCATGACAGTTACAGATGCATTGATGCATCAGTTACTTAGACAATTTATATAAGACTCATTCTTCGCACTGCAATAGCCCTTTCGGGAATGACAGCGCATGCACATACACCTAAGCACACAAAGCTGACACCACAACACGATACTTGTGAAACCAAAGATAACAAACAGATTAGTAGCTTAGATACCAGCCCACAAAATTTCAGTGTTTTTTTTTCCCCATCAAGGAGCTATTTGACCAGAACCTTCACACTTTTGACCCCGCGCTAATAGGAATAAAAGTGAAGCTGACCTCACACAGTAGTGTCATATTAAATGTTTTGGCAAACAGTGCACCTAAAAATCCATGTGTATATGCTCAACATTCACATATATCCTATAATACTATAGCTTTCTTATCCTGTTCTCCATTGTTCTCATTTGTAAGCTTGTCAGCGCAACACTTATTTCCATCACTGCTACATCTATGGTGAAGTCAACTTGACAGGCAACCATTCCTTACTAGAGATTATTCTGGGAAGGGAAAGCCTGAAACACAGTTTTGAAGGCATAAAGCTCAATTACTCCTAATATACAGGTGATTCTCCTCAATTTACCTTTAACTCGGAAGGACTTAGCATGCTCAGCAGCTGTGAAAAGACCTGTTCAGCAATGCGACACCTTTGGTCCATCAAGGCTGTATAACCTTCACGAACAAGAGATTTCATCTTCTCCGGCAACACAGTTAAATCCACCTGAAATAATTGAGAAAACAGTAGGTAAGAAGAAGCATTCCTTTCTCTTATACTTTAAATGAGCTGTTTCCTTAGAATTTTCCAATAAACTATTGTCAAAATTCTGTTTTCTACAGTTTTATCAGATTAATAACCCTGTTTCAGATTCACCTTTKGCCAGACTTACTACAGTCAATCTCTTAAAATCTGGTCTTTGTTCTACATCTAGATCCCATTCTCTTCAAAGTCTCACAAATTTAGTCCAAACACTGTAGCACTTCCTGCTTGTGTAAAAGTATTCTTAAAGTTTAGGCTAATTCAGCCTGCCTATTCTCTCCACCTACATTCATAATTAGCACTCAAATGTATCAGAATTCATTAAGTTATTAGGTTTTCACTACAGCTGCTGCTTCAAGTCAGCAGGACTTTCCATCCTAAGGCTAATTCCACACAGGTAGTTTCAGAATAAGACTTTTTTTTTTTTTCCACCCTCATTGATTTAATAAAACACTAAAATAAAGTTAGTTTTGGGAAGCAGATCATTGTGCAAGGATACAAGAATTAGAAGAAGAAGTAGTCTATTTAAGAAGCTCAACCACCATTTATTACTGCAATCAGAAACAAAATCAAATGAGAAGGTGGGGGTCAAGCCATGCACTTCAGGCTGGTGTACTACTATTAAGCTTTCCATTCAACATCACTACCCCACACTTTTAAGTTTTAATACATTAACATTTGAGCTTATTTCTCCATCGTGATTCTAAAGGCAGCATCGGAGCAGGAAAGAAACAGGGTAGGAAGTTGTGGGCAGAATGAGACATAAGAACTTTTCACTTGTCTAATTCCTCTACTGTTGTGCTGAACTGCGTTCTTAAGTGCTGAATTAGAATTTTGACATACCACATTTGATGCTCATCGAGAAAAGAGCGGCATGTGTCACTTCAGTGTCAATTCACATTTGTTTGTGTCAAAAAATGTTTTAAATGCTGTTTTAAGGTTACATTTTAAGGTATTTTAAGGATACATTTCTGAGTGCTCTAACATTCACCTGGCAACAGTGTAAACTTCGCATTCAGAACAACACTGATGCCACTGCAGAGAACAAGAGCCTTTYGTGCCAAGATACTGCTTACAATGACCTGCCTGCAGTGCTTGAATGACTGACACCTGGATCTGTTCCCCCAGCACCACCTACACTAACACAGTCATTACGACAATTTGGCAGACRCTCCTGCTGCATTAATCTAGTTTTTATAAGGCTATTTAGAAGCAAGGAGTCTGAGTGAAAGCAGAACATGTCTTTTCTTGCATCTAGTTTTGGCTTATATGGTATAAAAACAGACTAGTCAATTCTGGTATCTGTTCTAAATAAAGTGCAAAAGATACATGAAACGCATCCCTATGGATTCATTCAGGARCTTTGATGAGAATTAAGATGGAGAATTTTCAATTTGCCAATTTTATTAGGTTCTAAATAGTCATTCAACAAAATGTTCCACAATTATTTCCAAACACACATATCAAAATCGGGAAACTACATTTAGAAGGAACTCTGGGAACTACACATCCCTGAATGATTCCCAGKGATCTTTTACAATTTTTGCTTACAAATTGGGAAACAAGAGAGCTACACTACTCATCTATGCTTCTAACTATGTTATTCCRTGACTGCATAGGAAATCAGTGTAATAAAATTCAGCAAGAAATGTTATGAAATGTGAAGGTAACTTCATTGTACAAAACTGCTGAATTGGTTTTACTAATCCATACTCACATACCTGCTTTCATACCAAAAAAAAACGTTCAGGTGGTCTAGACAGGATGACTTTGATGYGACACGGAATGGCCCTTATTGACCTCACAGCATCTCTGAGGCTGATTTTGACYGATAAAGACCAGCAAGTTTTAGAGTTACCTTTCACACCATTAACAGCAAGTGCTGGTTGGATCTTTTTYCGCTTTGTCTTGTCACTCATAAGTCTTTGACTAAATCCCTTATTTTTTCCTGTTCTATTTTTCCTTATCCATGTATTTCATGGCTTCAATTCTGCTCTCCATGTTCTCAACATCTTTAAGTGACTTTTTCCCTCCTCTTCACTTGAGCAGAAATCACACATTCAGTACCCTGTGGCAGCTGACACTTACCTTCCTTTTTAACAAAGCTGCATTTTTCTCTGGCATTTGTACACATGTATTTTCATTCATATTTCACTCACACTAAACTTAATGTTTACATAACAAATTTCTGCAACTAACCTATAATGGCTCTTCTGGTAAGAGCCACAAGAACAGTCCTTTTTTTTGCCTGTGGGGTGGAAAAACAGTTTGATCTGAAAACCACTAAGGGCCTGGGTTAACTGTGCAGGGTAATACCATAACTTACAGTCATTAAACAGATGTATAAWATTCTAATGACGTCAATATAAAGCACACAATTTTAAAATATGCCTAGTGAAGTTATAATTAYATATGCATTAAGTAATTCTGAGAAAAGTGATAAAATCAGGTAAACTTCCTGAAATCAATAAGGATCATCTTGCTCTATTTTTATATGGTCACTACAATAGATTTTATTTCTCCCAGGCAGATCCTCCATTTCAAAAGGATTTTCAGCATGCACCACCACGGAAATAGGCATCCTTTCTGTCCCATTATGGTTAGATTTTTTTTGGATGGGGAAGAGACAGAGAGAGTGGGAGGGAAAGAAAAATAGAAGAAAGATAAAGAGAATTCTGAGCAAGGAAGGAATACAATCACATCACATAAGCTCTGTTTCCTGATAGAAACAAGTCAAACATGAAGCAGTGGGTTAGTGTTGTGGCTCWAGGTACAAACCAGGTTAAGGTCCAAATTAAGGTCTCACACCACCCAATCCCCATATTTACCTGTTGCACCGTACAGAAGAGTTTGTCTTCGACAGTTTTACACTCTATCTTCAAATCAAGGTGCTCTCTACAAATAAAAAGAGAAAGGTGTCACAAGCTTGTAGGTGTACTTCATGTGCAGTCTAATTGACAAGAAAGAAATGCCAGTGCTTTAAGCACCAGGCAACATTCACTTGCGCACCGGGAATCATCAGGGCAGCATCTTTTCAACACAGCAGGAACAATCGCTGGAAAACTACCACCATTCATGCAACTGTTCAGCCTTTCGCCCTGGGAACCACTAGGGCTTCGGGGGACCCGGGGCGCTCTCCGTCTTCGCCTCCCCTCTGTGTCTCATCCTGGGCCCATCGGCTCGGGTTAAGGAGCGGGGGAACTCGCAGGGGGACCCTGCCCCACGTCCGAGGCACGGSGGCTGGAGGGCAGCTAGGGCTCCAGGCACTTGTGACTGCCCTTTCCAGGCACTGGGAAAGAGGCTGCTCACATCCTCTGTTCCAATTACTCCTCCTCACCAGTGGAAGGGAAAGGAGAAAGCAGCTAAATGACACTAACGACCTCTCTTGTGGTTCTGCTTCATTTTCTAGTTACAGTGGCATTCAAAAAGTCATGGAAAAACACAAAGTCATTATACCACAATAAATACATCTTAAAAGAAGGTAGGTTTTGTGGTTACGCTCAGGTTAGGGGTAGAGATAGTCAGCTGCAGCACCCAGGTTTTCCTATAGACTTGGACACTTCTACATGAGAAGTGTACATTAGATAAAAATCTCATTTAATAGAAACTTGGATCAGCTTCCCTATTTTCAATAGKAACAGATTATTTTGCTCTCTTATCTATTTTTAACCACCCTAAACACAACTGAGAAAAACACTAACTGAAGTACAATCAAAGCAAAGTCAGAGCTCAATCGGACGATCTCCATAATTCAGAATAAAACACTGGAAAAGCTTCCATCTCTGCAYGGCCCTAAGCAATATGCCAGTATTTGCCTCACTAAACCAGTTAGCAGCATGGAGCTCTTCCTTTCTTATCTGGTTAACAGGGCAGAAACTCTCCAGCAAAGGCCATTACATAGAGRAGCAGTGACTTCCCCAACTCTACTTGGATCTTGCTGCCCCTAGTATCACATGAAACACTGCTTAATTTTTTAATTGTGTTTTTTTTTTTTTTTAATCTTATGACAGATGGGAACATGCATTTTTGATTAAAATTCATAGTACTTTTTCATCTCATCTAATTTAATATTGGCCCTAAACCATCAAATGTATGCACTTATATTCAGCATGTTCTACAGGGGTTATTCAGGTACTTGGAATTGGACAGCAATGTTTTAAGTCAAGACTCAAGTCCCACTAAAGGATTGGAAGCAAAAGCTCCTTTTTAGTATTAGTCCAAGACTGAGTTGCAATGCTTTCCTCAGGCCTGCCTATCTTCTTCTAATTTTAGTAAGTATGTGAAGTATCAAAAATGAAAAACTATTTGATACAAGTATAGAGAGGCCTTGAACATAAGACAGAGCTTGAACTATGCTGTGGTCCAAGTTTAAATGCAACAATTAGAACAAGAATCACATTTTCTTTTGTTGCAAAATTTTCATGTGTATTGTTATGGCTGTGAACAGAATGAAATGCTTGGGGGTAACTTTATTTTTTTAAAGAGAGCTTATTAAAATTATGCTTTTGTTTACAAATTCAATTGACCTTTAGCAAAATATTTACTTTTCAAATAATAACTCAGCCTCCCCATGAGAAGTGAATACTGCGAAATTTAATCTGCTATCTTAACACAAACAATATCCCGAGGAAGATACAAGCAACGCAAACATACACTAAGTATGCTAGATTTGAAATAAAAAGTAGTTATCAAGTCTCTGTTATACTTAATTCAGGCCGTTTTCCCCCATTTCCCCTTTTGCAGTTAGAAAAAGGAAAAGTTGCTTTCTGCGAGCCTTTCTCCTGCACACTGCCAACAATTTCTTGAGTTGCTTTCCCAACTCGCATGGAAATAGAGTCTGCAGTGGAAAACATGATRTACCCATTCTGCTCTCATGCTCTTCACTTGGGATTTGGAAATAGCCAACAGGCTGGCCAAAAACTCCTGTGTTAGAGAGGTAAAATCATTCGGACAACACCAATGTGCAAACTGCTTAACAACGACTAATTCTACTTGCTACTTTTCCTACAGATCCTCTTCTCTATCAAAGGGAATCTGAATGTCCAACCTTGATTATGGTGCTTGTCACCCTGGCAGAAAAGAAATGATTATTTTCAGCAGCCAGGCACTAATGCCATAAATGCTGATATGAAGGCACTCAGCCTGCAATGCAGCAAAGGGCCATCACCTGCACTGCTCGCAGCTGCTCCTGCCTTCCGCTCAGGAGGTTCCCCAGCGGGGGAATATCAGAACTGAAGTGTYCCAATTAATATTTAACCTAAAAATTTATAGAATAGCAATAGAAAAATACTAATAGTAATAATTAATATAATCTTTTTAGAAGTATTAGGATTAAAGCATTCCTGATGACAAATAATATGTGATATTTAGGGAAAAAATATGGCACGTGTTCTTCTACAGATTACCTTCTTTCCTTTAACTTYACCAAAATGATCATATTATATCTAAAAAAACATGCAACACTTCTTTGGAAACCAATCCACTAATTAAATATAATGGACACTTGATTTAAGAGGCTATAAAGAAGAAAACCCCACACTCTTAAAAGAAGTAACTAACAAAGAGCAGAGAGCAAATAGATGAAGCACTTTCAATAAAAAGGCATTTATTTCATGATAAGCATTGTCCATTCAACAGTATAAATACTAGAAGACAAAGTGGCAGCAGCACTTTACATGCTACAGAAAAGTATCTCAAAATAATAAAACTTGCCTCATCTTTTCAGAATCACTGGTTTTGTTCTTTGATTTTCCTTTGCATTGGTGACTCTGATCTGTAATGGAAGAAGAATTTCAAACAAAATGAATATTATTTWAAAAAAATAAACTCAAAGTTTCAAAATTCACATTTGATCTCACAAGTTATAAAAACTGAACCTGCTCAAAATGTTTTGTGAATCATTTATTGAAAACGATACTCAAACACTACTTTAAACGGGTGTCTGGTGACACAGCTCACACAGTAATAATTCCGAAGCCACACCATCTCACCCTATGGCAAGTTCCCCATAAAAGAAACCTTTAAATGCAAGAAAAGAAGAACCTGTTTGAAAGCCAGACTTTTCAACCACAATATTTTACCGTATACAGTACAGTGTGTATATATATATATATATATACACACACACACACGCATATATGGAAGCTACGTATGTGTGTATATATATTCCAGAGCTACAGAACATATATATATATTTATTATTTAGGTTTCACTTCAGGACCTGGTACATCATTCAAAAAAAATTTTAATGAAGAAAAATATTATTTTTCTTTGCATTATAAACTCTCCTAACAGCCTGGAAGTAAAGAGCTTTTCCAATGTTGTGACCAAAATCAATATGAGTCTTTCTCCCTACCAAAAAGATGAACTTACGAGCACTATTTTTTCATTAAATGAATTCCATATTAAAAGCCCTTCAATAAAAAATATTTAAATCAAAATAATCCAGAAGCAGTAACTTTTTAAAAATAATGGTTAAAAAACAAGGCTTAGCAAATTATAATAAAAATACTTATAAGAGAATACATTAATTCAATAGCATATATAATTCACTTACCCCACCAGCATTTAAAAATATTAAAAATAGCATTGCTTTTGCTAGACATTCCYACTAGGAACAAATAGAGGTATTTAACAAAAATACAAATGTGCTCAGAAAAGCAATACATGCCAGCAACAAGTGAAATGAAAAACAACAGCCAGATAAGATAGAGTGGCATAAAGTTTCTTCCCCTCAGTCTCCTGCAGGTCACTAGCCCTCCAGGGARCAGAGGGTAAGAAAAGGAGCTGCTCTTCCCAGCCCTGCTAAGCTCTGTACTAGTGAGTCATGCAGAGCAGGGCTCCTCCTTTCCAGGCAAAGGCAAATGTTGTCCTCCTCCTCAGGACTGACCTAATGAGGCTSAGGAGGAAGGAAGAGGAAGGCAGAACAGAGGGCGAAAAGAAATGGAATCAGTAAGTACTCCTGGTTTTTATTGATTTTAAGCTAAAGTTCAAGAAAACATTTCATGTTTCTATTATCTCTCCAGCCTAGAAATGTTTTAATTTCTCTTCCAACTCTTTTGTTACTCACCTCCCTCCTTCACTGCTCCAACTACTTCAAAATTCCCTATGGCAGCTGTGCAACTCGCACTTTGCCCCTCCATATCATTTAAGTGTATTTCTGCAAAATACCTTTTCCCTGCAAAATTTGACTTCCCCTTACCAAAGCCCTCCCCGAATTACACTTTCTGCACTAGATTCTTTCAATGCTTTTCAGTTTCTTTTTTAGTGTTATTTTAAACCTACCATGTCACACCTTTTCATCAGTTTTTCTCAGCTTGTCTCTTTTGCAACCTTTACATATGTTCCATGCCACAATAAACCTCTCGGTTCTTCCAGGTGTTCACACATGTCCCAGATCTCCAAGAGATCACTGCACATCTACACATAACTCTATGATACACCTTCACAGGCTTCTTAAAATTAAAGTGCTCTGCATTTTGGCACAAGGACAGAGCTGGTTCAGATTCCTTATAAACATTATAAATAAGAACAATTTCTGAAGGTCAAGAAAGAGATCTCAGGCTTTTGCAGTTACAGTAGACTTTACCAAGAGGGGGGGRAAAAAAAATTATTTTCAGAATGACAACTACTAAAGCTTGGAAGGAACACTTCTACCACAGGAAGGTGTCTTTGGGACTGTGGGAGGGKTTTTTTTAAGTGAATTGTGTGGAGCTTTGATTTTAGTACTTATAAATGAATACTGAAACTATGCATCATGAATATTGAAACTATGCATATACTTCTCCAAATTAGATTGCCTCATTTATAAATCCTTTAAAATCCTGAATCTGTCTTCAAATTAATAATAATTTTGGAAGTATATAGTTATAGGCTGCATTTCTAGCCCATGACTCAGCATTGTACTTTCTAGTTCCACTTTCAATTCCAACTTCATCCAGAGGAGTTAGAGGAAACTACAGAAACAGAAAGCAAGTAAGAGGGAGAAATACAGGAGAGAAAGTGTCTAAGTAACTGCATGAGAACAAAAACCAGATGGGTAACATGCTAGTTTTGCACTGTAAAGACAACACTAGCTATCCTTTTGGTAAATAATGGCAATAGCAACAACAACAACTGCCTCGGATTTGATAAACAGTAAAAACAAACTCACCTGGTAGAAACTCCAAAGACCAACTTTTGTTTTCTGTTCTTTGTGTATTGGTTACCTAGTAATGAATACATGAATCTGGTTTTACAAAGAGATTAAAATAAATGTGTGTGTGTATATATATAGTGTGTATATATACATAGATATATACATACACACACATATATATAAAAATCAGGCTTTATATTCACTACTTTCATTTTTCAGATTTAAGGACTTTATTTTTCATTTGCCCATTTCATTATTATCTGAAAAGGCAAGATTAAAATTAAAAAAGAAAGTCACAGTGATAATACCATATATGATGTCCCCAATTAAGAGGTACAAAAATACTCTAAGTACCAAGAGGTGGGTTCAAGAAGAGTTTCAACKGGAAGCCTCTTAAATGTGAATTCAAGACCAGTGACAAATGGGTCTGTATTTGAGGGATTAGCCGCTGGGAGGACAGCTTGAGAGCATGGTGCCACTCAACAATGGCTCTGGCCATGCCAGCRTGCCTTGTGCCACCCAAACCAAGCAGAGGCCGAAGGGTGCCCTCCACCTTCCTCCCCCTCCTGCTGCAAATCACTGAGATCACTAACTAGTGCCCGTGAGCAGCTCTGAGAAGCTGCGACGCCTTGAGAGCTTCCATGAGAGCACACGGCAGCAGCTGCCAACACAACATAGGACACAGCAACATGACATGGGCATCCATTACACGCCAAAAGCATCCAGCAAAAACATCAACCACAGCCCAGTTCRGCCTGGATATAAACTAAGCCCATGGAGCTTCGGAGTTTGAGGCAAGTCCTCCTCAGAAGCAGCAGGCCTGCAGCGGGGACACCTACATTTCAGGCCCTTGTCTTCCACATCAGCAGGCAGCTCTAGCTACGCAAAGCGTCTGCATGAAGAGAGTTTCAGCGACAGCCACAAGGAGACATCTCCCATCAGGAGACAGAATTTGGACACCTTCAGCTTCACTTCTGCTCTGCCGGTGGCACAGGCCACCAGCCCAATTCATTTTCTCCTTCCTGCAGCCACGTCACAACTTTGTCATGGCCCCAAGTACAGCATAGCTAGTCTACATTATTCAGAAACTAACTTTACTGTTAAGTATTGGTAATAAACTTATACCTTTAAAATTTTCATGTATTAGTAACAAATGCATCAGGAATTGCACTTATTTCAAGAGCTCTCAGGAAATAGCAATGAAAAATTTGAACTGGCCAGGATGGGAGCCCCAGTGCCCTGCTATACGCTGGTACTTCTGGCCTTTTCCTCCTTAATATCCAGCGCAAGAGTTACTCAAAGAGTTTGTCTTACACATTTCAGTGGTAACAAAGGAGCACTGGAGCATGTAATATACACATATACATTATATATACATATATATACACACACACACATATATATATATATTTTGCTGGGAAACTCAAACATTCATAAACCAAACCCCAAAGTTTTACCTCATCAGTAACAGAAAGGAAATAAGCATCCATAACAGTTTGAGCTCTGRGGAAAAGGCAGCAGTGCTTCAGATTACCAGTTCTATTACAAAGCTATGATCACCCAGTGTTACGAGAAAGATGTACCATTTGCAATTGAAAAAATAACCTACAACACTTTAAAGTAACCCTTACAGGTCAGGTAAGGGTTATGTAAGGGTTACGGTTAACATGTCCTCTAACATGTCCCTGTCCCCACCCTGTCTATCTATCCCTCCCCCCCCCAAAAAAAAAAATCTCCACTACACTATACCTTGCTGTTTGGAGTTGATATATTATTTTACATTTATATTTAACACTTTCCCAATTGTATACTTACAAAACTAAACACTAGCGTTTTTTCTGCAGTTAGTATCAATCCTAAAGAAAGACAAATTTAAGATCTGCATTGGAAAGTTTTCCTACGATAAAGGCAGACGAAAGGTTTCACAAGTTAATCAGCAGCTTGGAGCCCCTCTTGCACGTTCTGCAGCTTGCTACTTYTGTTTTTCACTGCATACTGCAACTTTCATTTCCTTTCCTTGCTTGGTTTCATTTTCTCTGCACAGAGTCACACTCTGCAGCCCCACCCATCCTGTGCATCCCCAAAACAGAGTTTTCACATGTATATGCTAACCATATTGATCCCACCATTAAAGCTATATCATTTAATATCTCGCTTCTGTGAGGGCACGACAGGATTGTAACACACACTCGATATACTGACTTGGAATAAATAAGCAGTTTGTAGATTAGCTAACAATAACAGTAAAGAAAATCAGAAAGGGCTACAAAAGTTTCTCTTGAAATAACAGTAGTGTGAAAGAACAACTTCTTGTAAGCAGACTAAAGCTACTAAGTTATATTTTCACTCCAGTACTGTTATATCATGATTGCCAAGGTCTGAAGGCATCCAGCAAGTCCAGCTCTCCAGAGAATTAAGGTACAAACACRCTTCGTGGCCTCTCCACAATTCTGGGCCTGAGATAGGAGCTAAGACAACAACAGCAGGGAACTCTCACTGACAGTTAATAAAATCCACTTAAAAGAAGGTAAGCACTGACATTTTCACTGACAAAAATCCCCACACGTTTCCAATGATTTTTTTTCAAGGAATAAAACATGGCAAATCATTGCACTTGCAACAGTAAAATAACTTTCTGAAAGGCCCTGATTTTACTGGGGTGTTCCTTTGATTGTTCTTCAATAACATATAACCTTAGACCCTCACTTCAATTATTTCTCAGTAACAAAAATACAAAGTGTTACAAACACAGTGAAGCTTACTCCACTCAGCGTCACCCTCTTTTTCATATAAAGCCCTCCTCATATAAAAGCCAGCATAGGTGACATAGGGGAATGTCAGCTGGTTATTTAAAATTGTWTTTTTTTTTCCTATACTGAAAGAACAAATCTGAGAGTYAAAGCACTTTTAAAATAACACAAGTCTATTTTGCATTTTAGAGGTATCCATACAAGCCAAATAGATATTTGAGAAACACAAATTCCTAAACACAGTTCAATTAAGGGTACTATTCAACCAACACTTCTTTCTTACAGAAATAACCTGTTCACAGAGCAACAAAATCACCCTCTGTAGCCCCTCTTATCTTCACTTAATGCCAGTGCATGGGTCAGTGCAGAACACTACGCWACAGCAAAGGCCTCAGGTATGAGGTAACTTGGGCTCGAGCGTCTTGCACTGAACTTCATTCGCTGAACTTCAAACGTTCGTTCACTTTAACTGGAGCCTCTCAAAGGCAAAGGGAGGCCTGTGCCCGCAGGCACATCAGGAGGCAGGACTGGGCCACTGATTAAATCCAATAGGCCTGCAGAGTAACTCTGAAGAAACTCCACTCTCTCTCACTACAGAAAACCTTCAAATTCACATTCAAGCAGCCGCTTCCAACCTTCTTTAAAATCTGAAGTTCTAAACTGCTTTTAAAAGTTAAACACCACTAGAAAAGTGTATTTAGCGGAGCAACACATACACTTGCTACGAAATTTGGGCCACCACTTCTAATAAAACGTTTCAAGATGAAGACATTCTAGACTGTTAGTCTTGAAATTCTACTTGTCAATAATGTAACTTACCCTGGTATCATGTCTTTGATGACACTGATGATCTTTAGGACCAGACTGTGTTCTCTTCTTGTCTTTTTCTATTTCTTTTGGTTCTTGAGAAACAACCAAATGAGATTCTGGAGAACTGCAATCTCTGATAAGTAAAAAGAAAAAAAAAAAACCCTTGTGTTTCACACTTTTTCACAGAATATCAAAGTTTTTGATCCTACAGTGATATGTGATACCTCAGATTGGACAGTCTATGGATAACCAAAACTTCCTCAACTAAAAAAACAAAATACTCCATTTCAAAACAACAAAACCCACCCCCTCCCCCAGTCCCCACCTCACAACACAAGCACCTATTTTCTATGTAAGAAACACAAATTGAACTAGGACACATTTAAAAACCAGGTCCTGCCCAAGGCCAAGTGTTACCAATGCAGTTCAGAAAAGGAAATAAGAAGATAAGTTTTTTCAGGATTTTCAGTTTTACAAAAAGCTTTTTAAAAGTTTGTTTATTAGAATGCCTTTGACTAACAGATAGCACTAGTGCTTCCAAAAGTACCGATAAAAGTCAAAAAGGTGTTTCAGCAAAATAGTTTCCTATAAAAGCGAAGGCATATACTGTAACATAGAACATGGGATTATGGAATATTTCTTGCTGTCTACAYGCAAATGAAATGGTACCCGAGTAAATCAGGTTTTCATTAATTAGTATGCTTTTTTTTTTTTTAACCATTGCAAAAACGCAGATGAATTTGTTAGCGCTCTCTCTCTATATACATATTTCTTATACATATTTATAACATATATATACACACACATACACACACACAAAAAAGAAGCCAATTCAGTCTAATCTTTTAGTGAATCTTATGTAGCAAAGCTAGCATAAAACAGTGGGGTGATTTCACTGTATTTTTTAGGCACTAAATTACCTCAACAGTTTAGAGCACTTCAAGTAGGGTGGAGAAGAAATAAGAAAATATAATTCTCTGTTATTTCCAAAACAGGTGAAGCTTAAACTGCTGAAAGAAATCACTTAGAAGTGGAATATACCACAAGACAGCTTATTTACTTCCTAATTGCTCTTCACTAATAGGCTACAGTCTGATACTACTTTATTTCTTTATTATTTTTTTGCTGATAGGTAATGAAATTTAAACAGTATCTATACAGTGCACTACTTAATCAAATCTTACATTAAGCACTATTAGTTTCAAAARAAAAGTAAATAAATCCAACTGTTGCTTACTTTTTCTCAAGAAGTGATTTCTTTGGTTTCGGCTTATATTCTTTAATACCTACAAAATTATATAGGAAGAGAAAAAAAAATAGAAAGCTTCAAAGGAAAGTTACCAGTGAAGGAATTTTGTATTGTTTAAGGCAAATCTTGAAACCAGAAAATATTACCACTGATTTCTTCTATTGTCTTCTTCAACTTGTCATTTTGCTGTATAAGATCCTTCAGTCCTTCAAGAATATTCTTGCACAGTTTCTGAGCTCTCTCATTAGCTTCCAAAGCCAATTCATGTTCCCCCAGTAAAGACAGAGCCTTACAGAAGTGGTAATGACCCTAAATGAACATTAATTTAAATGAGAATCAAATTTATGTTCTCCATCTCTCTCCAGAAAAAAAAAATATATATGAAAAAAAGCCTTCATAGGATGGTTGAGGTTGGAAGGGACCTCTAGAAATCATCTAGTCCAGCCCCCTTACTGCAGCAGGGACACCCAGAGCACGGGGCASAGGGCGGCATCCAGGCGGGTCTGGAAGATCTCCAGAGGAGGAGACTCCACAGCCTCCCTGGGCAGCCTGTGCCAGGGCTCTGGCACCCTCACAGTAAAGCTCTTCCTCATATGGAGATGGAACTGCCTGTGTTTTTTAAACTTACATCCATTTCCCCTCCTTTAGGTCTTGGTTTTCTTCAGGTCAAGAAAAATGGAAAAATATATTTTCATAGTAAAAAGATGCTAAATATGTTGAAGAAATCTGTATATTCTTTTTGAAATACTGCAGTAATATAAGTACCCAAAACAATGTAATAAATGCCTTATTGTACCCTTGCATGTTCAGTACAGCATCCAATATCACTTGTAAATATTCCAAAATAGGACTTTTTATATAAAAACACAAGCAAACTATTCACTTGGCTGACTGCAACAAAATTTTCAGTTCATCAGATACTGCATTCCTTCTTCTCCCACAGATGGGAACATTTAACATCTACCAAGGTCAACGCTGTAATTCAGAGTCTGGGATCTACGTTGGTTTACAGTGCTAACAAACACAATTTCAAATGAATGCCAAATGACAAAACTAACCTTTGGCCAATCCGGCTTCAAAACAGTGGCCCTCTTTCCATCAGTGAGGGCTCTCCTTCGACCGGGGAAGGGGGGAAAGTGAAAAAAGAATTATTTATTATTCATATTTCAGAAAAACTTTCAGACCAGAGTGCACTGTGCAAGGCACTAAAATTGTAAGATGAGTAAATGAATACTCATCTATGATGCCAAAGCCTGGTCAGACAGTATTTCTCAATTGAAGCTGATCTGAGTTAAAACAGTGTTATCCTTGCTATCTCACCCATCAGACACCACCCATCAGGTATTTATTCTTTTCCTCCCTCCACTAAGTCTTTCAGCAGATCATTTTACCAAGTATCTCATCAATATGCAATTGCAGAACACAACATTGGAGTTTAAAAACCAAGGAGTTACTTACTTATATTGTCTGGTGTGAATTAAGCAAAGAGCTCGGTTTCCATAAAGAAGGTGGTTTGCAGGACTTAAAAAAAAATTWAAAAAAAARRAAAAAAAWAAAGATAACGTACACCAATAGTGAGAAATTGTAAGAAAAAGAAGTTAAGTTTTCAGAAGAGCTGTCTGCAAACATTCTGGCACCAACATTACAGACAAGTTTCCCCAAATATTACCAGTGTTTTACAAGCTCAGTCACTGAGTTAATCACACACTTTGATTACAAAGATTTGAGACCACTAATGCAACTTGCAATCAATTCAAGTCACTCAACCTATTCTTTTTTTTGTTTGTTTGTTTTTTGTTTTTTTTTGAAAACAAAGATTTACACTCCCTCCCCAATTGAGAAAAAATGTTGTGAGAAAAAAACAACTAACACAAGTACTTCCACAACTACACCTGAACTTGCCAAAACCAGCACCTGCTCCAGTACAACACAAGCAGCAACACAGCAAGCAAACAATCTGCTGCTAACTCGCATTACATATGAATTATAGGGCACCAGGGCAAGTGCTCTATCTGCACCAAAAAAATGCAGCTTTAATTTCTGTATACCTATCCCTTCACAAAGTGAAGAAAAGTCCCAGAAAAGTCTTCCAAGATATTCYAGCATTGGGGGATTAATGGAACAAGAATTATAAAAGAAAATTAAGCCCAYGACATAAAAAGATCTGTCAAGCACTTACTTAAAAAAAGAATTATATGTACTTATTGCTGCTCACAGTAGTTTTGCATCACGCTTGAGATAAATTCTTTATGAACAGCTGATTCTGGTATCATCCCTCCTATATATTCTTCTAGCAGAACTAACTCACAAATATTTATTACTTTCAGGTTTAAATACTTACCCTTACTCACCCTAKATCAGGTTTAAGCTCTAAGAGGATGTGTGTGTGTCGGGGGCGGGGGAGGATAGGCAGGAAGAAATGGCCACTATCACCATGAAATAAAATAACAACACAGAAATAAAGTAGTATTTTTTTTTCTTCTATTGAAATATCATTTGGCCACTGAAGTGATACRTCCACTTCATATGTAAGTGATACACATACATATGTATGTATGTGACACATACAAATGAAGATGCATCTGAAAAGAGCTGTATATGACATAATAAAACCATAACCAGCTCAATTCTTACCAAAACTCTATGGCCTTTGTATATGAGATAATAGCACAATAGAAGTTTCCTTGGGAAAATTCCTCATTTCCTTTCTGTTTCATAGATTCACTGTTCTGTGAAATCAAGAGAAAAAACAGTTCTGTAACACCTGTAATCATACTCAGTTGCAATGAGATGTTAAGACAACATTTGGCAAGAGTCAGTTCATCTTCTTTCATGCTTKTATAAACAACATATTACATATTCACTATTAATTGTAACTTAGTATTGTAATGAGCTAATGTAAAAATATATAAAAAACAAAAAATAAAAAAGCCACACTGTTAAGAATATAATTAACAACAATTACGAGGTAAGACTAACATAGCAGTAAAACTAACATATTCCTGGGTTCCAGAATATTGACCTTATCAAAGGCAACCACGTGTCAAACTGCAAGTAAGGGAGTACTGCACAGTCCAACTAATTCCATGCTTTTTGGCAGAGCTCCTGAACTACAGTGTTGTACCAAGGAAGGAATTAGTTGGACCTGGGTAGAAGAATCAATCTGTACTAAAGAAAATCAAGGCAAATAGTTTATCCTTTTTTTTTTTTTTTTTGGTGCCAAAAGGATCAAGTCAAACAACTTTCCACCAGCACTAAACAAAATTCTTTGAACGTTCTAGGGGGAAGCGGGAAACATCCACTCCCATGAACACAGGCAATATAAACAACTAGTGCTCTGTTTATTAGGCCAGGAGCTTAGTCTTTTAAGTTTTTGAAATCAATGCATCTCTAATCGTTTTGTTCTAAAAAAAAAAAAGAAAAAAAAAAAAAACCTGAATAGGTCAGGAAGCTCTATCTAAATCCGGATAACAAATGTCTGAACTCCAGTCACTAGTTGATCTCGTATAAAAAAAAAAAGAAAAAAAAAAAAAAAAGCTGAAGTGCATTCTAATATCTTCTCTTACCTTCCTACAATTTTCACAGGTCACAGCTTTAAATTCTTCAACTAAATTACACCCTTCTAATGCAACTTTAGTAATATAACGTTTGCCTGCAAAAAAAAAAAAAAGAAAAAAAGAAAAAATTAAAATAATACAATAGTAGAAGTAACCAAAGACAAGAAGTTTATCTTCTGCTGTTAAGTATCACAGCGTATTTTACAATTGGAAGCAAATTTTTACATATGAAATAACAGAAACAAATTAAGCAACAGAAATGTTCAAAAGAAAAGGAACTACGAGATTCTTGCAGATAGTAAAATATTTAAGAATTTACCTAATTACAAGCAACAGGGTGAAGTTACGAGTATTACATAGCATTTGTGCTCTGCTACCTAACTACAAAAAAAAAAAAAAAAAAAAAAAAAAAANCACTCAATTATTTACTGTAATAGTTAACTTAGAATGTGTACAGCATGTAACTTAAAGCAAAGCCAAACAGCTTTGCAAGCCCATTTTCAGACAGAACAGGTGTACTGTGAATATGAGCTACTCAAAGAACCAAGGAAGAATTAATYAGTTGAAATAAAAAAAAATAAAATAAAACCTATTTTCCCCCCACAATTTACAGAAATTTACATTATTTTTTCAGCTGGGTTCATACTTTCATACTTACATTCAAAAAAAAAAATTTCAAGACAGATTCGACCATAATCACCAAGTTCCTCCAGCTTCTGCAGGATATTGGCATCACCTATATTCCTGACCCAATCAAGAGCATCGCTAACATCCAAGAAACCCTATTTCAAATAAAGAGAAAAAATATAAATATATATAGACACACACACACACACAAAAAAAAAATGGCAACAATAAGTCTATGCAAAGTAAAATCTTCTGAAAAAATATCCACAGCAAAAAGAAAATCTCACTGGTAACATAATGCAAGTATTTCATGTATATGCACTTGCTCCCAATTTGTTAGTCTTTCAAACGTTTAAAATAGGTGTTAGGAAAATAYTTATGAGCCATTTATTGTTTATCTRTCACATTACAAGAAAGCACAACAGAAAATGTTTAACGGTATTTATATTTAGAAATATTTTATTAAATATCTAGAGAATTTGAACACAGATCTATGTGGCTTATCCACAAAAGTAAACATTTCGTTGTCTGTAGGAGACAGGAGAACCACTGAAATACATATCTTGCTTTAGAAGATTTTGTGATGCATTTAAAATTGCTTTAGTGTTAAAGTCACAAGACTGGCTACTCTTCTCCCACCAGTTAAATATGTAGACAGACCTGACCTAATTCTGTAATTCAACACTCCCTTCCTAGTCAAAGTAAATTTAAGTGTTCAAGTTTTATTTGAAAGAATTGGAAGCGTGCAGAGTGGTTGTTACCTGGGATACTCTCACATTATTTGGTTCTACAGACTTTTTAAAAAAGTAATTTGAAAATCCACAAGCCTAAGTCAAATAGTACCAAAAATTCAAGTACTGGGTTATCCAGTAGTAACATACAGYTGCACCTATTCTCCTACTGTTACCATCAGCTATGATAAGGTCTTCAAAACTTCATTTTTGGCCGTTACAAACCAAGTTACTTAAGCCAAGTCAAATGAAMAACTTGTGAGAAAGCAACAAGGGAAGCCACTAGCAGATGCAGAAAACCAACCCTCAGGCTCCAGCTACACGACCTAGCCCAACCCATCCTGACGCAATAGCAAACTTCAAGAGAAACCATTTCTTCTCAGCCTTTGAAGTACTCCCAGAATTCTCACTAATCTTGGTCTTCCTACACAGATATTTATTTCACAGGTCTTATCATACAGAATTTTCTTTTGTGACTCACAGTTACAAAGACACGCCGAGGCCTACATATGATGCATCCCAGCATGTGTAACTCGGTATGTGAAATTCATTTAACAGTTTGACATCTGTACACCTATTTTATTTGTATCTACACATAAAGAAGCAATCCTAAAAGGTGTGTGAGAAACTTACATTTTCTATTCCGCTACCAATTCTCAGTATACGACTGATAAAAGATGGAACGTTCTAGGAGAGGGAGAGAAAAATCAAATGTATTAAGTTAATAACTGTTMACTTCGGTTTCTGTCTGCTCAGGTTCAACTCAATATCATTCTCTGTTCTGCTTGAATGCAGTACCTTTAGGACAGCGGCTTTGGTCCATTTCAAAGTGTCAGGAAACACTCTAGCATTCAGTAGCAATTCCCTTACTGTTTTGTTGAAAAACACTTAAATGCAGAAGTGGAAAGAGTAAATGAATGGAGCCGTGCCATCTGCTTAGGAAAGCCAGCTGCTTTAACCACTTCTGCAGTTATCTACATAGCGGAGACCCAGTTGATACGTCCAATGAAAGACATCCAAAACAACAATCCTTCCTCTCCTCAACTCTTCTGATCCTCCAGATACACTCTACTATTGCAAATAAAACCTTCTACATGGAGAAAGAGATAAAGGCTGAGGAAGTAAGAAAATGGAAATGGAGGTAAACACAGGAATGGGAATGCACCAAGACTCTGTAATATAAAGACTAAAAGTGAGACTACCACAGGAGGGAGAAGAATAAAGCTCCTATCACATAAGACAAAATGGAAAAGTAGCAGGGAAATCCTGAAGTACAAGAAGGTGAAAATAGGGTGCTTGGTCAGCCTACAGAAGAAAGCAACAAAAAGAACGCAAAGTTTGAACCTACAAAAACAACTTGGTACATGATTGTTCAAATATATTAAGTCATGCAAAAGTGAGTGGGATGGGAAAGCTGCTTGATGTTGCACACAATTTCAACAATATATACATTTTTAAAGAATTACAATTCATTTGTTTTAATTAAAATCATGTGACCACTAAAAACATTGATATAACACTCTCCTCTGCACTGTTAGGCTGCAACTTTAAGTCAACGACAAAAGCACATTTTAAATATTGTTTACTTAACAAGTGAAAAACAATTGAGAAAAAAAAGCATATTTAATGTAATAATCAGAGAAAAGCACCACTTGCCTCAGCAATATAACACTCGTGACAGCTTTTTATATAACGATCTAAAATGGCCCTTGCATTGTTCGCTATACAGATATTTAATAAAAGTTATCACAACTACAATAAAGGCCGTGACATCACACTTTCCAGAAAAGTATAATTCAACTGGCTATCAGGAGTCATATATTTACTCCAGCATATATTTACTCTTAATCTTAGATATAATCACAAACTGTGTAAGGTAAAGAGTTAAATTGCTTATTATACTTGGGAACACATACAAAGTTAAAACATGATACTTACAGCAACTTTCTTAATTAAATCAATAAGGTCTTCCAAAAACTCTAAATCATAAAGTCTCCTCCAGTTCTGATCTAGAAACAGTGAACTGCTTAAAAAAAAAAAAAAAAAAATTCTTAAACAAAACTATGTTACAAAGTCTTAGCTCCTAATATCTAAACAAAACAACAGTTACAAACTCAAACCAAGCCCTTCATAGAAAGAAAATAGCTGAGAAGCGTTTGGTACATCTAAAATATAGGACATCCTTAGACACAGACTTATATTCCAAACCTCAGGAACCTTTTCTTAATACTTGCATCCCTATATTCACAAACTATGTCTTCTGACCTTGACTTAATTAGCTAACTGATAAAAACATTAAGACAGTTTATCTTACTGGAAGCGTACAGCAATCTTTCACAGGTAACAAAGAAATGCAAAGAAAACAACTACTTACCTCCAGTCAGCTACCAAAGAATTACTCTCACTTTTGAAGAGAAGCGGCCAAAAGATGCGTATTTTAATAATGTTGCAATATTCTCTTAACATGTCAATTGGCTGACTGCACCACACTTCACAGGGGTCAATATCTTTAATAAAATAATTAAAAGTAGTAGACCAATTCAGGCATTGCAACATTATAATAAACAAAGTCTAATTAAACCTTCAAAAATACGTCGCCCCCTCCCCCAGTGTATCCTTGTGTATTATCTCACTAACTAGAACAAGATAACTTGAAAATTCTAAATATAAACAGTGACTTGTAGGGATTTTGTTTTGTTTTTCTTTTAGAGACTCTGACTTTTATGGGTAAAGATCCTCTTTTAAGTACTGAGATGCTATCAACTGCCCTCAGAGAAGCAGCAGTTTCAGAGTGTATGAGCATATACAAAACCTGATTTTATAGAGGTGACTGCATTCATCAGTTTCCCACATATTATATACTAAGTTTTCATTTTGTATATTGAATAATTTCAAAGAGCTTGGCATATTCTACAGCCATCTACTTTTCTGCAACTACCAAAATCAAATAAATACACATAAAAAGAGAGAGAGAGAAAGAAAAGATTATCTATATAGAGCAAAGATTATCTCTAAGTAACTACTGCACTCCACACCTACAAGGATCATCTTAGACATCTCCTCAAACCTATRCCACTAAAATATAGCTATGATTACAGTATATGCAATCAACAAAGTTTAAAATCTACATTCTCATAATGTTCTCATACCATTCTCATAACATTAACTGACTATACGAATGTGTAACTGGGTATTCACACTTTTCTCACATGTTATTCTTCTGCATTTTATATTAAAACTAAATGACAAGAATTGTTCCAACCCRAAATTCAGCAATACTTCCTTTCAGAAGAGACCAAATAACAGAGTACGGAACAAAGTAAGGAGAAGAGTGAACAGCAACCCAAAGATCTAAGTAAAGCACAGGAAGTGCATTAGCAGAAAGTTATGTAAAACTAGTTTAATTTACATATACCTGTTCTAGGTTGGTGTGAAGATTGCTGCATAAGTACTCCATGACCCTAAAGATAAGCATATCAATTATTAATATTGCGTAATCTACAAAAGTATTACGTCATCTACAAGAAACAACTGCTTAAATGTCCCTAGATATTAAACCAATTCAAACTCCTTACATCTGTGAAAGGGAGGAAGGCAATTGTTTTTCAGAGTAATTATTACAGACACTTTTACTTTCACATCACAGACATGGGGRACCAGTATAAAAGACTGTCTATGAAGATGCCTTTACAAGCCAGCATGATGAAATGGGAGAAAAAAAAAGAATCTATAAAGCAAAAGAGCTGATGTTGAGGAGCATACTTGCACATTACATGCTTCTCAGGAAAGTTTACTTTGCACTAGTTTAAGTCTAGTCACACAGACTAGGCACTTAATAGAGGTTAATACTATATCCTTGAAAGCAAAGGTCATTTCACCTATGCTATATATTGCTGCATGGGAAGAGGAATTGTACATCAGTGAGTTTGCATTTGGCAATACTACCATTTCCAACTTTCCTTAAAGAAGAAAAAAAAGAAGTAACTCCAAGCAGCAAGAAGATGCAACCACCACCACACCGGGTATTAAGACTCCTTAAGCATAACACTAAAGTAAGAAACAAAMTCTGATGAAAGTATCCTTGGAAATATTAAAACAAAAGAATACTAGATTTTGTGCAATATGCAGCTAAAGTGAACAGAGGAGTTACTGGACTCATAAAAACTAGAAAATAAAACTGACAAAAGCAAAGAATAAATGAAGACTACACAATCAATTTGCAGTCTTGAACTTACATAAACTGATTTTGGAATATTCTGTGATGATGGAACTGAATATACACGAATCCCTCAGGAATACTACCYAAGCACAGGTCGAACTGCCAGCCAACAGACTAGTAAAACTATATCAACAAGATCTAGCTATATCACTGTCTAGTTTCACTTATCTGTCGCAGGAGAGTAGTTTACAGTGGCATACTTGCATTTCTTTGCATCAGTTGAAGGTCATCGATACCTGTAATCAGCCTATAGATCAAACTCAAGTATAAACCCCACAGGATCTTTCTGAAAAACCTTCATCACATTCCAAASCTACTCACCAGTTCACACCAAGATTTATCACGAGCACAAAAAGCCAAGACTACGGATTCAGATTCAGACAAAGGCTCAGCCATCGTGCACAACACTGAGAAAAGAAAAAGATAATAAGAACAATGCTGGGGGACAGAGGGAAAGAGAAAAGTAATGTATTGACTTTACAGGGTGGGAAGTTATCACAACTACAATTTCCAGTAGTTTCACTGAAGAGCTGTATTCATATTTCCACATTACAGTATTTGGGAAGATAAAGTGCTGGACAGTTGCCTAAGCTAAAAACTGTTTAACTAGGCAAACTGCCCAACAGCCCTGCCAGCCTGGGAAGTRCCTGGTCCCAGACAACACCCCAGCACCCTCAGGAAAGCGAGGATCCCCAGGCGGGGATGGGGGCGACAAGSACACCGTCCCTGTCCCACGACGGCGGATTCGGGCACCGCGCCCGCCACAGTCGCGGATGTCTCCGCTCGCCCAGGGCCACGCACCCGATTCCCCAGCTCGCCCCGCCGCCACCCCGGCCCGGGAGCAGCGGGGCTCTCACCAGCGACGTGTCACCRGCAGCGGGACAGAGGAGCGGCCGCCGCCACCCTCCTCCCGGAAGGGCTCTGTGGCGGCTGCCGGGACCGCAGCTGGACCCGCCCCAGGCGGGCCAGGAAACGGGCGCCCCTGGGCGGGGAGCAACGGTCCTAGCCCCGGGCGGGGTTGGGAGGTGGGGGAACAGGCCTAACCGTCACCGCCCCCAACGGCCGCACGAGCCCAACGGCCGCCAACGGCTGCCAACGTCGTCAAAGCCGCCGCCGGGCCCCCCGCTCGCCCCCCCCCCCCCGCGCCTGCCAGCCCGCCCGCCAGCACCGGCCTCGCCATTGGCCGCCTGCCCTTTGACGTCACGGGGTAACGCCAAGGGCCCGCCCACGTGGCTCCCCGCCCGCCGCGAGCTCCTGCGCATGCGCCTGCTTCCCGCGGCCGGCCGGGCTTTCCTGAGTGCGCATGCGCGAGGCGCCGCCACCGCCGACAGCACCGAGAAGCCGAGCGCGGGGTGCCCTCGTTCCGCCGGCCCGTAAGGGCGCCCGGTGCGGTTCCCTTCCCGGGAAAGCCGCCAGGGAGAGGGTGCACGGCCCAGGGAGGCGCGCGGCTCGAGCGGGAGAGGGTCAGACAAGCTCCTGCGTGTCCGTTGAGGGGCGCGCAGGGCGGGGCGGGCTGGGCGCATGCGCGCTGCGGGGCGGGGCGGGCTGGGCGCATGCGCGCTGCGGCGCGAGGGGGAAGCGGCGGTTGCGGGGGGTGCGTCACGTGTGGGTGGGAGCGGGTAAATATCCCAATAAACGGTTTGTTCTCCCGTTTCCTCCCGATGTTGTGTAGTGCGTAGCGAAGTACCCAGGGAGCTGTCGGTGGCACCTCCGCTTTGCTCCTCCCGCGGAGGTGGAGGGAAGAGGCCAGCATGGTTGAGAACTCTCCCGCCCCGCTGCCCGAAAGGGCCATCTATGGATTTGCGCTCTTCCTGGGGTCGTGGTTTGGCTTTAGTAAGTATATGGTGTGCTAAGTAAGGTGCCGAAAAGGGTTGCCGTGTTCCGGAGAAAAATGTAATTCACGGCTGTCCCGTCTAGAAGGGTTACCCCTGCCATGCCTTGCCAGCTCTGTGAGGTGTTTCTTAAAAAAAGCAAACCTTGCCTTTTGTGATCGTCTTGTGTTTTGTCTGTCTTTAACACTACTGTTGGATCAAGTGCTTATTTAAACAAAATCTCCCAGTCCCATGTTAGTTACTTCTTCCCCTGAATTGCATGTGCTGTTGCTCTTCTATAACCACCATAGATTCACAACCATGCAATGCCCCTACCTACCCCCAAGTGCCAAAGTCCTGGCTRTTAACAGATATTCAGCCCACAGCAGTGGGAAAGGACGAGGGTCCTACCAYCTTTTCTGAACTGTTGCAACAGATGCTTCCCAGTTTCACTGGGGGTGTCTTCCACACCCATGCAGGACTAACCCTACACAGAATAAATTAAGGGACAACATCTTTTTAACAAATGAAAAGAYGCTGCAAATAGATTGTAGCTGAGCAATAAAGTAAGGGCATTATGTAAGTCTTAAATGTGTTTTGGAAGTAAGTGGCAATGCAGCCAAGCTGCCTTCCATTTTTTTCCCAGTATTGGTTCCACGTTGAGTCACTGCGGTTCCAGATTGTGTGTCACTGGTGACTAAGCTGCTCATCTTGGGTTTTGTTAAAACTTGCTCTGAATTTATTGTTTGGGAGATTTTTTTTTTTTTTCTTTCTGAGTTTATTTCTTCCATCCAAGCCCTGCAGTTTTATCTACCCTTCTTTTAGTTATATGACATTGTGTTTTAGTATTCACTGTGTGCAGGGTCACATGGTGTGCTTTTGCTGAGTCTTTTCTGATGTAGTTCTTAAGCAGTGCACAAAATTCCTGTCTACCTACACAGAGAATCAAAAACTTAATGTTAAGGTGAATACAAAAATGGTAGTGTATAATCACTACAAAAAACTTGTCCCTATTCTGGGTGGCTTTTGTGTATGAGTTGTGTATTCAGCCACGTTGTYGTAGACCTACTTGGGTTTAAAATTAGTGAAGACAAAATGTTAAGACTATGTATTGGTGTGGAAGTAAAACTTAAGTAAAACCTAGCTGTAAAACTTAAGAAATCCAAAACAGTATCACTTGCACTGATAACTTTTTTTCTTTTGCACAGTCCTGTACCTTATCTGGGCATACATTCCTGAGACTTGGCTGTTCTCATTGGGACTAACATACTGGCCTCAAAAGTAAGTTCAGATGATTAAAAATTTTTAAGCAAACCTGAATATATCTATTCATGTGTGTTTATAATATATATATACAAATATATGTATATTTGTATAAAATATGAATAAATACTAATAATATGTATSTATGTGTATATATGTATATAGACTTGGTTATTTATACTTAAATATATATATGTTTTATATATTTATGTATGTATTTTGTTATATATATAATAGACATATATATAATATATACTGTATGCACAATATGTAATATATATTACATATAATATATATAAAATAAATATATTATATAATAAATATATAATATATAAATATATAAAATATATTWAAAAAGGTATATATTCTGACTTAAGAGTGTTTAGGGTGTATAAATGCATACACACACATATATAAATGCATATATGCATATATACATTTATAACACCCTGAATGAGTTTCTCTATTTGACATTTGAAGTTATATATTTATTTTGCAACTAGTAGCCTTGTATTTAGTCTGTTTTCCCCAATGATAAAGGCCTGTTGTCTTTTTTTGTGAAGCATTATTTTATAGCACTAAATAATTACCGTAAGGAAAGACATTGTGTAATGAAAGATATACTATCCATTTTAGTGTTTTATAATTTTGAAATTTTATATTAACCAGTTTTATTGATGGGAATTCAGTGAATTTTAAGTTTTATATTAAAAAAAAAAAAAAAAGTTTGCCTATTATAGCAGACTGGCCACAGTGACTCTGTAGTCTTGGGAGGAAACAGTCCATACTTAGTAGAGGTGTTTCTTTTCATCCTAGCTGAGTTTGTACTGGATACCATAACAGCCAAAATGTTACAATTATTATGTCATTGTATGTCATATTGTCATTTGTAAATATTATATGCAAATTTAAAATTTTTATTTTTCAGGTACTGGGCAGTTGCTGTGCCTACGTATTTACTAGTTACTATAGGAATTGGCTATGTATTACTTTTTGGTATTAATATGATGAGTACAGCTCCACTCAACTCTACACATACTATTACAGGTAATGTTGTGGTCCTTCCTGGAGGATTTTGGTTCTTAACTGGCTGTAAATATACAGATACATGCATGCATATATATACATATGCAGAAATACATCTACACCTGTATAAGTTTAAATAATATCACTCAAATTTTAAGCTGTTATTTTCTCAGCTAAGTTAAATAGGAGAGGAGTTCTTGGAAATATTTAATGTACTGGAGCCAAAAGATAAATATGAATTTGTCTCTTCTTATCTTCACTATCTTATGACAGTAGTGTCCAACTGGTTAAATGTAGTCCACTAATAAAATAGGCACCATGACCATTTTTTCTTTCTCCAGAGGGTTCAAGTTTCCTAATTTTGCTCAACATGCAATTGGAATGTTTATGCTGATACAAGGAAGGGAGCCGTGTGATGATGGCAACAAGCAACCAACATAAACGACATCTCAYGGTGGAAGTTCTAATATAAATTGTTCAAACAGCAGCCTAAGCCGTTGGGGAGGGGAGGTGGGGTGGCTGTTTGTTTGTTTCCTACACTTAGTTATTGTCCTACAGAAACTCAAATCAAATGAAGTATCAGATAGTGATTCCAACAGGAAGGCAGAGTTGATCTCTGCAGTGACTGTGTTTCTGAAGTGCTTTCTAATACTTCAGCAATTCGGAGCACTTTTGGCAATGATTTCGCTAGCTAAATGTGTGGAATAGTGCTTTATTATAAAGAAATGCTGTCTTTTAATACGCAGGATGTATTTATTGTTTCCTGTAGATAACTATGCAAAAAAGCAACAACAGAAGAAATTTCAAGAAGAAGCAATTCCTGCATTAAGGGATATTTCCATCAGTGAAGTAAACAGAATGTTTTTCCTTTCTGATAAAGACATTTCCAATAGCAAATAATGATATTAAAGGTCCGTCTAAATAAAATATTAGTAACAACACTGCAGAAATGAAATGCAAAAGGAAACTCTATCCATGCCAAGAGAGGATACCTTCTGCTAGTATACGAAATGTTTTCTTCTAAATTTCTATCTTAAATTTATGTAAACATACTTGATATTTGAAATGGATGAGCTTTTTGAAAGGGCCTTAATAGTTTGCTTTGGTCTAAAAATAATGCCAGATTAATTTAATTTAACCTTCTTATGGTTTAAAGGAAATGCTATGTTAACTTACAGATTGTTGCTATATTTTTCTCTCTCAGTGTTAAAGAAAAAAGAATTTGAGTCCAATTCTGTTTTTCATAGAATTCAGGGAGATTAAATGTACTCTGTTAGACTAATGCTTGAGGCTCTTGAAATTTTGAAATCTCTCCAGTTTACTTGTTTGTCTGTCTTTTTTTTTGGTTTACAAGACACACAAAACTGAAGTGTTTCCATTTTAAATACACAGTTTGTGTTTGTAAATAGTAATAAAGTACAGTTATTTTTACTCATTTTAAGTTAGCTTTTTTTTCTGTTATTCTTAAATCTATGTCTTGGGTCAAGGTATATAGAAGTAGATTTTCTTTATGCTTGACAGTCTCTGTTGATTTTTCTGCAAATTGGCTAGGACTTGTTTCCAGTAATCTTGGCATTTTAGTAAGAAAGATTACTGGAACACAAGCTGAAACAACCAACATTACAGAAAACAAGCTGTGAAAATATTCTGCAGCAGATCATAAAATTATTTTTTATCTTTATCCTTAAAAATATAGAAGAAATACAGAAATTATTAGCAATTTGAAGAAATATCTGTATATATCAGAACCCACAAGTCCATCTTGCTATTGTGTAGATCCTAACACAAAGCACATGCAGTTGTTTCAGCAGTGGCTCAGACATTTCTTAAGCATGGCATTTCTTTGTTTTTATGTATGCATTAATGAAGAGACAGACAATACATATTTACTTTCTTCTGAAGGCCAAAAATGTAATTATTACTGCTTTTTAAAGTATTTCTCTTCAGTAGTAGCAAATATTAATCTTTTTCGTTGTAAAGACCAGTAGATAAAGCCATATTCTGTCTTGGTAATTCTACAAGCCAACTTCTAACTACCAGAGAATAGAGTTATAGAAATTCCTATTTCATTACAAGCATATAGAGCTTTCTAAAAATTTATGTACGAAGGCTCTTAGGCCTTTAGAAGCAACTCAAAACAGCCATGAGTTTCTGTGGGAAATTTTTATGACCTGGCCACCATCAATCAGTTTGGTACAACTCTGAAAGTTGCTATCTAGGGCCTACAGATAGGAACAGAAAAATACCTTCTTAATTTAACAGAAGGTATCTGTGAGGGATTTCACTCTGAGGCAGTCGTCTTTGGATGTGTAGCTGTTAAGGAGCATTTTCTGAGAATGAATATTGGTGCACACGCTCCATGACTATAAATTAGTGTCATGCTTATTCACTTCATAGTTTTAGGCTGCCATGTGTATATTTGTGTACACGTTGGTGCTTTTTCAGCTTGTTGCTGCCATTGTCCTGTCCCCTCTCCTGTTTTTGCCTTTCTATTTACTTCAACTTGTACCTTACACACCTGTATGTAGGGTCAGTTCAAGATTTTATGGTCAGCAGACAGGAAGATGTGTTTACTATTTTGTCAGTAGTCTAAATACTGAAGTATTGACTGCAGAGTCATCTTATATAATATCTGGCTGCGTTTTATGCTCCTTTTGATTTCTGAGGAAGCACTTTCCTTTAATTCGAAATGGTCGACCAGTGAAGGCTGCATTGCTGCCATCCTGCAATGCGAAGATTAATTTAGTGCTCAGTTGAGAATAACCAAATCTCTTTGGGATAAAAGAAGAGCTACTGAAACGTGCCCTCAAGTCCTGAAAACACACACATTAAAGGACTGTAAACCTTGGACTAAGATTTTATCAGTGATGAATCTGCTGTTTCATTTGACTGCTGCCCTCATAGTTATGGGAAAACTAACTGAGGCATCTCTGGGAATAGACAAACTGGGGCCGTTTGTTTTAGTAAAACTTGCAGACATGAAACTCGATCTTCCCTTTTCTGTCACTGCCTTGTGACAGTGCTTCAAAGACACTGTAGTGACCTTTTCTTCCACTTGAGGAGTGTTTGACACATCAGGAGTTGCCTCTGTCACCAAAGCAAAGCTTTAGGTCCTGTAATTAACCTATTTTGTCGTTGTTTGTTTCCTGGAGGATTTATAACGCTTCCATTTTTATCCTTCAAACTTATTGATGGCATGTCGTTACAGTGAAAGCAGCAGTAACCTGTAGAATTAGACCAACTACTTTGTTGCTGTTGAAGTAAACTAAATACTTAAGTGTCAACAATGATTTTTTATGCATCTTCTTGGATTTTTGGGCAGTATTCATTGACGTGGGCGTTCATGGTGCTTTATACAATTCAGCATAAAGAAAATTCCTTTTGTAAGTTCCCCAAATACGGTAATTGAATGTATGTGACAAGCTGTCATTAAATAATCAGAAATACATTGGTGCAAAGGGAAAACATGTGCYAGTGAAAGAAGTGGGACACCACTTACCAAGGTTGACTGTACAGTAATAAGAGCTCAAGTCTTTCTCCTTTCTGTCTTATCTGTGAAAAGAAGGGTACCGGTGATGCAGGCAGTGTGTTTGGAAGCTGAGTTGATGTTGAATTGAGAGAAAGAAATTGGGAGTAGGAGTCATCCAAACACTGAAAGAATGGAAGTTCTTTTGGTTTTTGATTTTTGAAATTAAAGGAAGAATTTGACCACTGACATTGAGATAACAGGAATCTACAGCAGAAGAGTAAAWCAGAGAAGTAGAATATGCAAGCAATTCCTACAAAAAGCTAGCACAACTTTGGATTTCTTTGTGCTTACTGTTCCTACCAGTAGAGTGACCCATAGAGGATAAGGAAAGAAAAAGCAGCATGGAATCTCACATTTTATTTCAGTGAGTGACCACAGCAGCAATGTCCTTGCAGGAAACTGTACCAAGGAAAGAAGCATCTTCTGAGTAGAGCAGCCCTCTGCCTTGTAGGTTGCTCTTACAAGTAGGCCAACCTTAACTACACCACTCCTAAAGCATTCTGACGTGTCCAGAACATCTTCAAACTTTTTTTTTTTTTAATTTTCTGTAAGATTAGACATTTACCTGAATCAAAAAGTTTTATTCTGCTCACAATGTGCAGACCTGAAATTTTTCTGAGAGTAGGAGAAGGAAGGAAAGAAGGAAAGGGAGAAAGAAGAGGAACGAAGGGAAATTCACATTCATAGTGAAGCTCTCACCAACAGGTACAATGACAGACTCAATATTTTTAAGAAAGACATTTCGAATGCTTGGATTCTGTACAAGGCCCTTCCTATGGACTCCCATTTCATTTCTGGGAATAAATAATAAAGTATTTTTGGCTTACAATCAGAATAATTAATACGAGATTTCTATGTGAATATCTTTGGTTGCATAATGTACCTTTTCCACTGGCACTTCAGTCTGAGTGCTTAAAATGCTTGATGCAAAATCCCGCTTGCTTGCATACTGGTATGTTTTTGGTCAGCTGTAGAACAACTGAAATAATTTTTTAATCTCTTCCTGTTTTTTTTTTTGTGAATTGAGCTGTCTTATAAGCAGATTTTGGAAACATTTAGTCCTGCTCTGCCAGTGTCCTTAAAGAAAGATTGCCAAAGTACGTTTGGTTTGTATGTTGTGCAGTATCACAGAAGGGTTGAAGTTGGCAGGGACCTCTAGAGATCAGCTAGTCCAACCCCCTGCTCCAGCAGGGACACCCAGAGCACGGGGCACAGGGCGGCATCCAGGCGGGTTTGGAAGATCTCCAGAGAAGGAGACTCCACAGCCTCCCCTGGGCAGCCAGGGCTCTGGCATCCTCACAGTGAAGAAGTTCCTCCTCACATGGAGATGGAACTGCCTGTGTTGCAACTTGCCCCTTGTCCTATCAGTGTCCTGCAACCATTACCCCTTSTCCTGCACTAAGAGGAGTTTGACCCCTTCCTCCCTACATTTACCCTTCAGATATTTTTACATGCTAATCAGATCCGTTCTCAGCCTTCTCTTCTCCAAGCTGAACAGGCCCAACTCACTCAGTCTCTCCTCATACAAAAGATGCTCCGGTCCCTTAATCATCTTTGTTGCTTTCTGCTGGACCCTCTCCAGAAGCTCCACGTCCCTCTTATACTGGGGAGCCCAGAACTGCACACAGTACTCCAGGTGCGGCCTCACCAGAGCTGAGCAGAGGGGCAGAATCACCTCCCTTGACCTGCTGGCAACACTCCTCCTGATGCAGCCAGGATCCCATTGGCCTTCTTGGCCACGAGGGCACACTGCTGCCTCATGGTTAACTTGGTGTCAACCAGGATTCCCAGGTCCCTCTCCGTGGGGCTGCTCTCCAGCAGGTCGACCCCTAATCTGTCCTGGTGCCTGGGGTTATTCCTCCCCAGGTGCAGGACCTTGCACTTGTCCTTGTTGAACCTCATGAGGTTCCTCTCTGCCCAACTCTCCAGCCTGTCCAGGTCCCTCTGGATGGCAGCACAGCCCTCCGGAGTGTCGGCCACTCCACCCAGCTTGGTGTCATCTGCAAACTTGCTCAGGGTGCACTCCGTGCCCTCGTCCAGGTCATTGATGAACAAGTTGAACAGCACTGGGCCCAGYACTGABCCCTGGGGGACACCACTGGCCACAGGCCTCCAACTGGACTCGGCCCCATTTATCACCACCCTCTGAGCTCTCAGTGTATATGATGAACTTAAATTTCAGCCTGTTAGTAAAAGGAGCTGATAGATTAATCCAATTTGGAAACATGGTTATATGGGATGTAATCTACTTTATAAATATTTCAGTAAAGTTAGTGGATAATGCTTAAAAGGACGCAACAAAATCATGCAACAGACACGCTCCCATTCCATAYATTTATCCTTTAAGAGCTTGTCATTGCAACAGTGCTTGGAAGTAGAATTCAAGACCATTTTATATAATCATTTTAATTTTTAACAGGAATAAATACAGCAGAAGCATAAACACTGTTGATATTGTGTGTAGTTACTTCTCTAGCATTCTGCCAGTACCAGTGGAAATTGTCTTTCAGTGTTGTAATTTTAGATAAAATGAAATGGAAATGCTAAGGTAGTATTTGCTGGAAACATTACAGTAGAACAATAGCGGAAGTTCTGTGGACCAGAGATCCTGAACTAACATTTAATTTAATCTGGTCATGCCTTTGAAGTCGTAGGGTCATGATGAACTCGTTAAGGGGAGGTGCTTTGTTGTCTTTTTCCTGCAAATGATGGATGATTCAAAGGTTACTCAAGACTTCCCAAGGTCAAACCACAGATGAAGTAACAAAACAGAACCGAAAACTGAAAGTCTGCAGTTATTTAACAGAGATGCTGTAATGAGTTAATTTGTAGCCACCCCCTTAGTGATTAAGGATCTGGTGGGGGGTCCCGATATATATTTAAGTGTAACACAACACTTATTGTGTATTAACACAATAACCTATGGTCATGCAAGGGTTTAGGACAAATAGTCCCATCTGTTGATACTAATCCCTTTATGTTGAAACGTCATCTTCATACAGGAGGATCAGTGTAGCCTGCAGCTGGGACCGGCCTCCGTYGGTTTCTTGTGGACCTACGGAGAGCGGTTCCTCGCTGCTCCCGCGCAAGGACAGCGGCCGCAGCTCTTGCTGAACGTGGCCCTGCTGGTCTCCTGTAAAGGCCGAGCACAGCACAGCSGCGGGGCACGCGCTGAAGGGGGAAGGAAGAGGCAGCAGAGCCTCGACGGGAGGGTGAGGGCCTGCAAGGAGGAACCTGCTGGAGGACGAGCAGGGAACCTCGCTGGGGACCTGAGCCGTTCCGGAATAACCAGAGTGACCCAGTGGTTTCTGTTGAATCACAGGGAAAAATTACAGCCCAACATGTCTTTAAAGATGAGAAGAAGCCCTGCTAGAGCTTCTTGTAAGGAAGAAGTTGAGGYTTGAGGTACAATAATCTGACCGTTGTATGAGATATGTTATTACGGGACCTGTTAAGTGACCTTGGATGCTCTTCCATTTAGATGTGCGACAAATCAAGTATGATGAAGCTTAAATATATATATAATGTATAGATACGTGGTGAGAGAAGTAAGGGACGTGTTACGTGTCTGCCTGTTAGTTCCCAGTATTGTGAAGGGAAGATGTGTCATGCCAGGGCCTACAGAGTCAACTAACTTTTCATTTCCTGTGTTACAGGATGTCRTGTTATTGTGTAAATTTAATTACCAGATACTGATCTGGTGAGTTTGTGAGTTTGTAAATAGAGGGTTTGGGTTTTTTAATCTTCATTTTAATATGTTGGTTCATTTGAAAGCCTCATTTGCCAGATTTACAATTTAGAACACTATCACTTTGCCTAACTGCATCGTGCTAAGAAGAAGATCTGACACAAGTGACTCTTACAACCATCTCACATTATCTACACTACCAAAAGTTGTATGGGTAAGATTAAGAATTTTAGATTCTGTCTTTGAATCGTCTCCAGAARAAATAAGATAATGGAAGCATCATAAGTCTGAAACATGGTGTGGCCAAAAAGCTAATTGAACTACTTTAAAAATGCTGCCATAGAAATGCAAATACTAGTTCACTCTCTAAGGAAATAAAATTATGCAAAAAGAAGTTTGCTTTGCACATAACATTTTTTTTTTTGCACATAACATTTTTGCAGTTGCACATAACATTTTTTTTCAGTTCTCTGAATGAAATAAATTACACTGGGAAAAAAAACACAGGTTTTGGCTATTTGTCTGTGTTGGAATAAGTTTGTCTAAACTACATGTAACCATAAGGTTGCTTATGAAAATAACTAACGTAAGTCACCCTGAACATCATTCTAAAGAGAATTTCAAGGTAGTAAGATACACATCTAAACCACACTAGCTAGGAACCAACAGTATGCCAGTTATATTAAAATCATAGATTCAAGCACACTAAACTGTAGAAATAAGATTTGAATATTCTGGTTAGGACAAAAACAAACATAGAATTTAATGCATGTTTTAATGGGTCATTAAATCATAGTTTTAATCAAAATTTATATTTATTTCTGACTAAGAAAAAGGGCACTTTTCTGATTAGAGGAGGAAAATCTGGCAGTAACAGGGCCACAGATAACATCCCAAGACACGTAGAATTTGTTTTAACAGGGGATTATACTGGACTCTGGAATTTGGCATCTAGCATTGATGTCAGTRTAAGTGTGCCTCACAGAGCTAATAAGAAACAGGCTTAAATAATTTCAAATTATTATTTGAACATAACATTTCAAATAATGCTTTAATTTTTTGAAATTTGATGTTTCAAAACCATCAGGTTATTCGAGGTTGTACATTATAGCATGTACCTGTACTTAATCATTTCAAGTTTAACAGGRCTGGTATGTAAAAGAAGCAAGACACTAAATATGATGCTCGTAATATTCTTAGGAGAATTCTGGGAGTCACTTAACTTAAAATACTTCTGTTAAACTTTGAGGTTTAAAAGTTTCTCAAGAAGGCAAACGGATTTCCACCTTGTTTCCAGTTGCACTGACTCATTCTTTTTGGCAAGACCTTTATAATAAACAGTTTTCAACACTCTTTGATGCGTTTCTTCATTCAGTTAGATGTTTGTCCACACGTGCATTACAGATCCTTTTTTGTCCCTTGCTTTTTCTGTTCATGTGTTTGTCCAAGGCTAACTGCTGTTGGTTATTGGGCTGAAACGACCTCCTCTTCATCCTCCTCGGAGTCGATGTCATCGTTGTAGAAGTGAATTGTAGCTTGCACAGGGAAACTGGCCAGAACCTGCTCTCCGATGTTGCTAAGGAACTTCAGGGATTTGGACCTGGGCAAATAAAGTCTAATAAGAAAATATGTTTTAAAAGAAAAGGTAAACCTATGTGAATCTTTCACAACCAAGCTAGTGTGAGTACTAAAATTTATTTTAGTAGTCCTGGAGCTCCTTGATGCTGTCTCTTACATTAAAATTTGCTAAGAGGTACTGGTGATTTTCAGTTACCTCACTTTCTTGAATGAGATGAATTTTTTAGCACCAAGCTTCCAATTGYGGGAAGCCTGCAGAACATCCTGGAATTTGGGAAGCCCTCCTGATAGCAACTGAGACAGTGCTGGGTTGCTTGTTGCATGGAGGTTGATATTAGGCTTTTTTTCTGCCTCCAGGTGAAGGAAATGTACACCGAGAGCAGCTTGTTTCAAAATTTGTATTSTTTTGCATTGAAATTTTAAGCCTACTGTCTCCATTTACTTTTCAGGTTTTCACCTGCTTTCCCACTAAAGCAAACTTTTGAGATCATGCTATTTGTATACAAACACATATGCTTTTGTGTTCATGTGTCTTGCTTGTTTCCMCTTCGGCCAGTCTTCAGTTAAATTTGACAGAGGGAGAAAGGTCACACAAAGTTTAAGTTTCTGCAACTCGCGCGAAAACAGGGGCTTGTGAAGAGGAGGCTCCCTATGGCCCTATGTGATGTCATCAGTTCTCCTCCTTAAACAGAAAATCTACATGAGAKGTTTGTAGATCATTAAGCCCCAGAGAATTCAACAAATGGGAGTGAAAATTCTTATGAATTCCCCAACCATGGGAAAAGTTTACCTACATGCTCTTTAAGAGCAAATGGATCAACCTCAAGCCATTAGGAGCCACTAATGTTAATTATTTGGCTATGGGGAYGTAGCATCATACTAATAAATGTTAGTATAAATTAGATCAGGCAGGATAACGCTGAGTTTCTTTTCAGATTTTTTTTTCATATTTTCAGTATTAGCATGTTGCTTCAGCTTCTGYTTAACTTAGGCATCTTCGTGGGTGGATAAATATCAGTGGAGTTCGTTGAGTAGCTGAACAGCATTACTAAAAAGACATACTGCAAAGACAAACATTTCCACAAAAGGAATATGACTTTGGGGGAACGTTCCATTTTTTTTCTGTGTCAAATAATACGGTTTATCTCACCTCACTGGATGCTGAAAACCCAGGGCTCCTTTTGATCTAAAATTTCTTAGTTGATCATCCTGTTCTGACTGCAAAGAGACATTTAAAATAGAATATAAATGAAGGTTCCKGTACAGATAACTGTAAAATTCTGAAGTAGTGTGGCCTTTTTTTGATGTGCTGCACACAAAATCAAGAAACAGCTATAGACTATTTATTATTAAAAAAGTAATGTTTTCTTTTTATACGCAGATTACTAAACCTTAAACCTTGTAATACGTAGAGAATATTGTCCTTTTTCTTTGCTTCATTTCYCAGTGGTTAGAAAGTCTGCTGACCTGCAAAGTATTGGCACCTGCACACATACCTTGCTCCTGGCAGACAGGAAAGACGTTAATGTTGCAATTAGCTTTTCCACTTATACTTAGATTGAAACAGTGCCAGGCTCTTAGCAGGCAAGTGGCACATTTCATAGGTGGTCTGTTTGCCCCACACAGATGGGTAGAAGCCCAAAAGTGAATTAAAACTTTTGAGCCGGTTAGGTAGTTTTCTACAGAACTGCAATTTCAGTCTAAAACCACAACTTCCTCATTTCAGRAGCCTCATTGCACTGAAATCCTTACTCTAGGCGTGCAATTCTTCCCGTGAGGCTGGGATTATCCTTGGCCAGTTTACAGGCGCCTCTGACAAAGCTTGGACGCCRCTAGGAAGGAAGGAGGTTCCATGAGTTTTCCCCAAGCTTGCTGCCGGGAATGCAGCTCTCCCACTGAGCTGTCCAGCTACAGCCTCCGTTTTCAGGAGGCAGCAGGAATGAGAGAAAGGGCATTGCACACATTGGAATATTAGCAGAAATTCCCTTCTCTACAGGCTCGCACTAAGGCGAGCTGGTTTAGCCTGCCGAGCCTTTGGATGCAAAATTGAAGACATCGCTATGGATCTGAAGTGGCAAAAACTTATGCAGATACTTAAAATTGAGCATTTGAATGTGCTTAAATCTGTATTTTTTTTTCTTCTGAGCTTTCCTACACGAATAAGTAAAACTCATAATCACTAGATGTTTCAAAGGCACTTTTCAGAGATACCAATTTTTTTAGATTGAATCTTCTCTTGATTTCATAGCTGTTTCAGCTATACTAATATCCCTTCCAAAAACAATCAATAGAATCGTAATAGAAAGGTATGCTTGTTTTAACTAATATATTTTCAAAAGATATTTAGTTGAAGTCATTTTCACTCAAAATCTCCTCCCACAATACACAATATCACAGCCGGCCTGAAAATGTCCAACTGTGGATATTCTTACTATTTTTGTAATTAAGCAAATCAAAACTGATGTTAAAAAGAACATGCTTGCTGTAGCTCTTTAACAGCTGATAATAATTCTATATCTGACACAAAATTAGAGATATTCTTTTAAACATTATCACGTATAGAACAAAATGTAATTTGAAACACTTTTAAGACCACCAACCAAATAAAGAACAAGTGAAGAGAAAACCAATCCTCACTTGCTATGTTCAAACAGTTAGAGTTTCTGCCCCTATTTTCTAYCAAGATTATTTTCTCCAGAATTTGACTCACCGTCCTTGGACTTTCTCTCATTTCATCAACTCTTGCTGTGTGTATCCAGGGCCTGCATAGAGCTTCAGGGCTGCTGAAAGATCAAGATAGAGTAACACTTGCACAGGTAATTCATGCAGTGATTTCCACACAACATTCTCCCCTATTCTTTTGAAATAACGTGGGTTTTTTTTTTCCCTTCAACACATTTTGATTAGGTAAATCCAATATCTATGGCAAAATTAATCTGCCCTCTGTTTGGACAAAGTAGATAATCACTTGAACGTTTTTCACTATGGTAATATCTCCCCTTGGGATTTCACAGTTCAAGGCATGATAGCTGCAAATGATTAATTAATACTGAAATCTTTTTATTATGCAGCATTGCATGACATATCTTCAAAACAAAGGTAATAAATAATCCTCCCTGCCTGACAGCATTTCTAATAGGAGGAGATCGTATATAGTCATGATGTGGTTGATTATTATTGATTAAGCAACTCTGGTCTTAAATTAACATGGGTTATTTGAGCTAATCAGGTAAGAGAGCAGAGATAGTGGTGGATGCAGCATCTGCCTTCTGGTAAGACTATTTGGAGGGGGCCTAGAATTRCACTTGCTGTTTTTAATAGTAATTTTATTCTCTGTGGCTGGGTAAAAGGCCCATGTAGTAGGGAAAGCAGAGTGGTGCTTCCAGGTGGACAAGGAAAAAGAATTAAAAAAAATATATATAGTTACTGCACATTTAGTTATAATTCCCTGGAGCTGACTGAAAATTAAGTTCTGATAATTTGACTGACAAGGATAAAACATTGACAATTAAAATTTATTAGTTTAAAGTATCAGTTTAAAGTGAAATGTTTTCAGAAAGRTATTTTGCCTTTGTTTTTTTCTGAAGCAGAAATCAGTTTTCATTGTCCCTTCCACGTCTAAATCCTCACACTCACATTGCACCCAAAGCCCGAGCTTCCTAGCAGYCTTCCAAGGGACCACCCGCTCAGGGCACCAACTCTTTATTGCTCGTGTTAGGACGCTGCAGGCGGTATCACTGTCTAAAAAGGGATATTTGCTGATGGCTACAGACAAGCTCCGTCTTCTCCAACCACATYCCTGTTTTTAAGGGGGTCCCGTTGTTTCCAGCCCACGGTTTCCCTGCCGGAGGATGGAAAGGGCGGCYGGCGAGGAGCTCCTCTCCTGCCTTACCTCTGCCGCTGCTCTCGCGGCCGGGGCCAGCGCAGCCGGGCACCTCCGGAGCAGGGATGGACCTTGCCCGCGCTCACTCGGAGCTGGGAATCGKCCGCGGCACCCTCCATGGAGCCAATGGTCTATGGGAGGCTGGGTGCTCCCCTCGGCCCGTCGGCTCCTCCTTCATCCCGGCGCCCGAAGGTGCAGGTCGCCCCCCACCCAAAGCAAACAGGAGGAGAAAGGGGGAGAAGCTCCTTGGTGGGCTTTCCCTTGACTCCTCCAGGTGTTTCAAAGACAGGGATCTTGCTCACGTGGTTGTGCTGTCCTGGGGATGGTAGTTCTGGAGAAACGGAGGCTGCTTGTTAAGTTTCCTTAGCGGATCACATTGAAAATAATCCCTACCTTTTATCTTTCTGTCGCCTCTTTGCAAAACTGGCTCCATATGAAATGCCATTTTTTTGGTATCTCTGATCATTGTAATGGAAAGAATATGGTTTCTGAGCAGAAATTCTAAAAAAGCTTAATAGAGACTCAAATGTAAAAGAAAAATTTGAAATTTTACAAGAAATATTTTCCATTTTCTAGCTTTTAAAGAGAAAAAGATACCCCAAATCGATGAAAACAAGAGGATTTAAAGAAATGTCCCTTCCTCAAGGCTATAGGTTTTRATTCCTAGTTGAAGGATGGGAGAAAAATCTCATGCCAGGGAAGATTACATCAGGTAGCAAAGCCAGGTGCTTACGAATGGCACTGCTTTGAGCTATCTTCTATTTCAAGACAAGTAATAAAGCTTTACACCTACAAAGATTAAACTGAAACAGAGTTTTTCCAGGCTTCCTTCCTAATTCTCTCGTKTGTGCTAGGCATGGCTCGCAGCCTATTCCACTGTACGAGAGCAATTTGTTATCTGCTTGGTGACATTATCTGGTTTCCACCGATGTGGTTCATTGCTCCAGTTCTCTTGTTTCTCTTATTTCTTGACCACTGCAGAGAGGGGAGAGGTTTATAAGACCTTAATGACGAATCTTCTCCCCACTGGCATTGTTTACCCACTGGCCTCAAAGGGAACAGATTGAGCTCCCCAATGTAATTGGTTTCTCCCAGGAACTTTCTTCCYGGAGAAAGAAAAACAGTTCTATTTACTGAACAGGGAATGGCCATTGATTGTTTGGTCTCAGCTGTGTTCTTTCTAGATTGCTGAGCTGAAGAAACCACCAGAACAGGCAGTCTGAGGGACTGCCAGGACAGTGCGGGCTCTTGGTGGGAATCAGGCTCCTCCTCTGCAAGGAGCAGCAGCTCCAAAAGCTCCGGGGCAGCTGGGGGCAGCACGTGTCCAGCTACCAAGAAGGGCCACGACTCCCACATAAAGCCTACTGGACCCGTTCTTTGGAGAGAATACATTTTTTTTTTCCCAAAGTGCATCTTTGAGAAGGAAATTTACTGAAATTGGGAAATGAAATGTCTTCTCTATTAGAATACATTGTATAGCTCTCTGCGTATGTGATTCCCTTTGTGCCTTCCACTGATTTTGATTAAAATCAAATATCTTTCTTCTAGACCCTGGGGAGGAGTTTAGCTCAGATTTGATTTTCTTACAGGGATGCAAGTTGCACAGTTGTGTTAGCTACCTARCACTTCCAAAAAAACAATACTGCAGAAACTCTCAGGTATTTGGAGCAATCTTTAGTAAAATACTCTAAAAGCTGATTTGTTGATGTCAAATTTTTACATTATTTTTCTCTTGTTCTTCAAAACATCTGTCCTTGCTTTGACAAACAGCCACGGTTTAAATTTAAAGACCAAAGCCACTAAGTGCTATTCTGGGAAGGGCTGGGAATACAGAACAGCAGCTGAAAACTGTCCTGTCCAATCCCCCTACATTCAGATACTGTGTAATATCTGTAAATACATAAATGTCCCTCAAAGGGGACAATATATGCATGTCCTGTATAAAATTAGAATATAAAGGAAAGAATGAATGAGGAAGGTGAATAATGTTCAAATAAGCTATGTATTAAATAGGCAGCATGGGTCCTAAGGAAAAAAAAGGCAAACTTCTTAAGTAACCCAAACTTCTTAAGTAACCCAAACTGTGATTAAATATCTTGCTGAATTACAGCCTTGAATACACCTAGATAATTACAATAGCTGAGTTTCATATAGGTCTAATTTCACTCGACAGTTGAAAGGGAAGTGTGCCTTACATAACCAATGTCTGTTATTGCAATCAGGTCCTTCTGCGAGTGTAGCTAAGACTTASAGCCCCACACAGAACGTGCCAGCATGGGCATTAGTGCAGGAATGGAGCCTAAACTACTAGTGCGTGGCTCTTAGGAAGATGAGAGCTATCTCCTCATTATCTTTCAATAAAACTCTGCAAGACCATATTAATTACAAAATTATTGGAAATACGAATCGTTAATAAAGCTATAATTGAATGCAGTGGCTTTATTTTGTGTCATTTGTTTTGTATATCTGTGGGGGAAACCTTTTTTTTAATGTAGTTTTGCCATGAAAGAGCCCTAGCGYACTTGCATGATCAGAGAAGAACGCCGTTATCTAAACTGGTGCAAAGAAGGAGACAAGACGCCTCTAAAGAAATTAGTTTTAAGTTTTAAATAATTTCGGGCACTAAACAGCATGACATAGGCATTTATAGTCATTAAAAGGCTCTCAAAGAGAAATGTGGTGGAAAAGCTTTGAAGACACACAGAGAGCAGGAGGAGGAGAAAAAATGACACCAAGCCAAGCAAGGCCTGTTTCATATCCCTCCTCGGAAGGCAGAAAAAGAGACTCCTCTGCCCTGAGGCTACCCATGGCCGTGGCTCCCTGTCCCAAGGCGCCTTCTTCAGGTGTCTTCCTACACGACTGTTCAAAGAGCCTGAGGAAATCGAATGTGTCTAGACTGCAGGCGGCCTCGCTGAGAAAGCCTCTGGTCTGGGGAGACGGGCTCAGCCAGCTTGCGGGCAGAAATCCAAATTCAGGCCCTAYTCACTTTCCTCAGGGCTTACCAAGTTCCTTTAAACAAACTCGAGCCTCTGTTCCTCGGCTTGCAACATATTCCTGTAATCTTTTCTCTGTGATAAAAAGCCAAACATGCTGGGAAGTCTGAGAGTGAGGATTACTCACCGTCTCTTTCCAAGGCTTCCTTCCACCCTTTCTTAAGGGAAGGAAAAACAAAAAAAGACTGGCATAGTTATTTTGGGATACCTATTTTAGGAATTTTCCAAGGTCTTGTCYTCACAGTAATAAAAAATAATGCTTTTCAACTTAAATCCATGTTAATCTGAATTTATCATGATTAAGCCTAAGGTGCATTAGGACCACAACTAGGACAGGTTATCTACAGCACCATTAGCAACTTCCCATTGTTCTAATGGAAAACGCGCCAACATTTCGCTCTTGAGAGAYTTGCCTTAAAAACAGTGACCACTTTTGCCCATATGTTGTTCTGCTTTAYGTTCTCACCTATGCATGACTAAGGTTTGACTTCAGTTTTCTCATCTATTCTGGATAAGGAAGCCTCAAAAATACAAGGGCCAAATTATAGGTGGCTGCATTGGCTGTCACTGTGGGATACGCACAGTSTGTTCCGCACTGTCCAAAGCTTAGGCAAACAGCAGTGTCCTCRATGGAGAAAGTGGATGCCAGAGCCGAGAGCTTTCCTTGGAATGGGACTTTGCTTGTTGTTTGTTCTTCGGATGTGCCCGTGCAAGTGTCTTGGTTTCCTGCAGAAGGTAAAGTCACACCAAGAGGCTGGTCAGAGCAGTAGAGACTTTGTTCCTCTCTCTGCTGCACACGTACAGGATATTGTGGCACCTCAAGGCTAAGTATTTTGTAAGCTTGAGATGGAAGGAGAGAATGGTTTAAGCTCTTTGCCTTTCCCACCATTTCAGCCATGTGCTGTGGAAATCAAATTCATGTCACAGATACCTGTCATTTTGGAGAGGCTTCTCCTGTGGGTGCACATTTAAAGAAGTAACAATATACGTCTGTCATAGCAGCAGTGGGTTTCTGCGTGTTTTTGTTCTCATGTTGATGMCCGCTCCAAAATGCATGGTACCGATTTGTTCCATGTTTACCTCCAATGCCCAGCGTGCTGGGGCTGGAGATCTACTTAAGAAGCTGCTGCAGTTTTTTCAGATAACCCATTTTAATAAATTTCCAAGAATGAACAAGGCCTTGGCTTCACAATAATAAGAAAGAATGTGCCGTCATGTCCTGTTCTGGAAATGACTGCCACAACTGTTCCTGTTAGTTTCTTTTTCCAGCTTAAATCCTCTTTGTCTTTTCCTCCCCCTTTTCACTTTCTCTCTTCATTTACCCACTAAATCTCTGCTAGCATCAGATTGATATCTAAGTTCTTATTACACAGCTGAACGCTGTGGCTACACAGAGTACAGATACTTACACTCTGTACAGATACAGACACAGATACAGATACAGAACAATGAATGTTTTTCATTCTGTGAACCCAACTGTGCCAAAGGAACTGAAATCCAATCTACTAGTTCGAGCCTGTTTTGCCCTCTGGTGGCTATTCTAAAATCAGCACAGGATCTTCAGAGTGATGTTGTAATCACCGTGTTTGTAGTAAGAGAACACCCACTGCTTCTCTAAGAAATGATCAATTCAGAGCTAAGAGATGATCAATTCAGAGCTAAGAGGTGGTGATGTATCGTTTTTGAGGAAGATGCTGTAAGTACAAGCAGGAAATACTGGGGCTCTTACTGCTTTATCTCCCGGACATGCTTTTATATGACCAACAGCAGTAAGGCCAGATGCATTTGACAGGATAACAAATTCCTTAGGTAGAAACCTGGATTCAGTTCTCTGTATTACAGCAGATACACTGCAGACACTAATGGGTGTGAGGTACTTTTAGCTGAATGGCAGACCCCATAATCTGCCAATGTAAAACCAAACCAAACTAAAACCATTAAATTGTCACACTCACCCAAAAATCTTGTCCGTCAGAACTGGGTTAACCTTTGAAATCGGGAGTTCATTGATTCTCTGCGATTTTAATTATCAGCGAGGAATAATGCTGAAGATGTGTTGATGTTAACAGAGAATTATTTTTAGATAATTTAGATCATAGGGTCATATTTCTTGATAGTCTTTACACTATTTGCTGGTTTGGAAAAAAGGAAGAGGTTAACAATGGAGGTGGGAAGAAATTGCAAGATATCTGGTTTGTTAATGGAAAGGAATCAGCTGCTGATGACAGCGCATTTCCTCTCTAAAAGTAAAACAGAGAAAAGGGAGGGGAAACAGTTGAGAGGAAAAAAGAGAAAATAAGGCACAACTCCCCATCTGAGGAGAGGCAAAGGGAGGGAAAATACTTCACTGATTTATGTTGTCCTAGGTTGTTCAATTCCTGTCTTGGTCAGAGATTTTCTTTATAATTTTCAGTGAAGCATCTCACTGTCTGCTATAGCACTTTGTCTTAAAAATATGGCTAATATCCATCTTAGGGGCCTATAAATGCAAAATCAGTGACGAAATTCTAAAGTTCTCAAACAGAAGGGTGATAAGGGCAGTAGATCCCCCTCAGCCTTCTSTTCTCAAGGTTGAATAGGCCCAGCTCCCTCAGCCTTTGCTCATAGGGCAGATATTCCAGACCCCTGATCATCCTCGTAGCCCTGCGCTGGACTCTCTCCAGCAGCTCCACATCCCTCTTGTACTGGGGAGCCCAGAACTGGACACAGTCTCCAGATGTGGCCTCACCAGGGCTGTGTATAGGGGGACGACCACCTCCCTCGACCTGCTGGAGACGCTCTTCTTAATGCACCCCAGGATCCCGTTGGCCTTCTTGGCCACCAGGGCACACAGGGTAAGCTGAGGTGCATTGGGCAGAGTGTTGGCAGGATGAGAAACAACAGGCACAAACTCAAGCACAGGAAGGTCCATCTGAACCTGCGGAAAAACTTCTTGATGGTGAGGGTGCCTGAGAACTGGAGCAGGCTGCCTGGAGAGGTTGTGGAGTCAACCTTCCTTGAAGATACTCAAAAGCTGCCTCAACACAGTCCTCGCAAAATGAGCTTTCAGTGACCCTGCTTGAGCAGGGCRGTTGGACTAGATGATCTCCAGAGGTTCCTTCCAGCCCCAACTCTTCCATGATTCTGCAGCCACACATAATACATGACAGAACATATCCCCCAACCCCAACTCCCCTTTTTAACTTTTTTTTTCACTTTACATGTTGTTCAAACCACAATTATTTCCTACATCATGGGGRAAAAAAAGCCATTTTAGGCACATAAACGCTACTAGTGTGGTCGTGTCATTCCCTCACTGCCCAATGGAGCGTTTCCACCCGAGACGGGCTCGCCTAGGAGCGGCGCGTGCAGTGAGCGGCCAYAACGGCGCCTCGCGGATACCGCCTCTCCCCACGCCGACCGCTACCCGCGGGCTCCTCCGGGGGGCGCCGCTGTGGGCGGGGAAGGTCTCAAATGGGCGGAGCGGGAGGTGGGGAGACGGCGAGCCAATGAGAGCGGCGGCCGCCCGGCCCAACGGGGGAGCGCCTTTCTGTTTGGCGCAGAGGGAGGCGGGGCGGAGGGAGGCGGCCAATGGCGTGGGCGGGACCGGCTCCGGGGGGCGGGGTCCGCGCTCGGCGGCCGTTGGCGGCCGTTGGGCGGCCGTTGAGCGGCCGGGCGGGCGGGGGCGGGGCCGTGCGCCATGCTGATCACGCTCTGCTATCTCTACCTATGGGCGCGCTGGGGGCGCCGCTCGGCCGCGCTCATCCGCCGCACCGTGCGCCGCCTCCACCGCTCCCGCTGCTCTTTCACTTTCTGCTGCTGCGCTGGCCCGCCCGCGCCGCCGTCTTCCCGGCAGTCGCGCGCGCAGGGGCTGTCGCGGGCGCCGCTGCTGCCCGAGGAGCGCGTGTGCCTGCGCGTCGGGAACAAAGTCTTCTTCACGGGCGAGACGCAGGTGCGGCCGGTGGGGGCGGTTGCGGGGAAGCGTTGCAGGGTAGCGGCAGTGGCGAGCGAGGCTGCGGGGGGAGCGGGAAAGGTTGCGCAGCGGGCGGGTCGGGTCGGGCGCGGAGAAGGCGCAGGTGAGAGCTCGGAGGCTTTGCCTGGTGTTGCGGGGATGTTTGTAAAGCTGCGGTTCCCCCTGGGTACTGCGGAGAGCGGCCGTGGGCTCACGGGCCGAGCGCGGCTGTTGCCATGTGCGAGTGCAGCGCTGCTCCGAAAGCGCCGCTGTGGCCGCAGGAGCCGTCGCCTGGGCGTTTCTTGGCATCATGGCATTTCCTGACCGATAATCTGCTTTTAGATCAGGCGTTTTTGCGTAAAAACGTAGGCTGTGCTTATGCATTCAAGTTCTGGTGTTGAGAGATTTTAAAGTTGGGTGAAGCTGTCATGGAGTCCGAGTGCAGTTTTTAGGTACGGGGAATTGCACACTCCTCTCAGTAGAAAAACACCACTTTAATCGAGGGAGACATGAGCTGAAAAACACTTTATCACGAGGGGATGGTAAAATAGTGAAAAACACGATCTGAAAGCAGCTTTCTTGGAAGGGGATGGTGAGACTGTAGGGTGGCGTGAGGCCGTGGTGGTCCGCGGCCATGAAAAAATGCCATACTCGAAACTGAAAGCTTTAACTGCTCAGATTCAGAAATGGGACTCCCCTGCCTCTTGCTCCACCCCTGCAAATCACTCCAGATGTTTTGAACTACATTTTAAATTAATATTGGACTTGCCTACTCACTAACCACTAGGATTGGAGCGTGCAGGTGGGTTACCCTGAGCTGTCCCRTTTGGAAGTGTTTGTGCATGTGTGTTTGTGGGAATTATTTCAGCTGTTTCCTGCTCGGCTTAAGTGAGCATGACAGATGTATTCATGGAGCGCGCTGTTGACTGTATAGGGTGGCTTTTCAGAAAACAGAAAAGCTTTGCAGCAGTTGAATGGGTAAAGAGGGCCTTTTCAGATAAAATCAAATTACAAATACTGATGGAATTAGTTTACAAAATAGTCTTTCAGTTTTGCTATCTAGGGATCGGATTATTTCATGCTTCTTAAAGATGAGAATCTCTAACCAAAAAGTTAGATACTTGAATGGAATATAAATGAGCTAAAATCAGCCCTTGAGGGTGTGTGTGTGTGTGTGTGTATGTATTCGTATTTTCATCCATGTGTTCAGAGTGTTTTGTAAATCATGCTGAAACTGGGCAGTGCTGTCCTTTGCTCCACTTCTGCTTGTTTTTGAAATTTGTTCAGCTCCTTTTATGTTTCTGTTATGTTTCTGGGAATTGGGAAACCTTTTAGGAAACAGTAAGGTGGCTTAAAGTTTGGCATAAAGTCATGTCAGATGATATGACTAACAGGGCTGTCATTCAAAATGTTTTTATCTCCTAAAAATAGATGCTTTATGTTACTGGTTGTATCTCCTAAGTTCCTGTGGACGATGCAAGCCTTGTTCTGGGAATTTTACACAGATGTTAGGCATGTCTGTAGTGGTTTGCATTTCTAAATATGTGCCATTGGATATGTATATCTTTATATATATACTTTATATATATACTTTATATATATATGTATATATATATATATATATATATACTCTCTATATTCCTTAACCTAGTACTTAGGATCACAGTAAATTTCAGTCATGTAATGATAGTGAAGAATATCTGTGTTGGCTGATCAAATTGTACTGTATTTATTTATTTATTTGAATTAATCTATCCAAACATTTTGCAAAGATATTCACTTAAGTATGCTATAGTCTTTTTTTTTTTTTCGTTTTGTTTTTCTAACTTTGGTCCTCAGTAGTATGACAATATGATGATTCTATCCTGACTGTATTAGAGACAGCATCAGTGCAGAACTTCCCTGCTACTTAGTACACAAATAYTATGAACAGAAATAGATAAGTTATCTCGCTTCCAGCTCCTTGAAAGTTAGTTGAGCTACTTTGCTTCTGAAGTAGGTGTAAAAGCATGGACTGTGATCAATATCTCCCWTAAGATACTGGAAGTCATAAATGATGACCTCGAAAGGATTTCTTTGACCTTCCATCAAATCACATGCTTAAGATAATTCAGAAGTTCAGTTTAGTTGACTTTCTGTGGAAACTGGTTGTTTGCTCAGTCACAGCCTCTGTGCTCTGTAAGGCATTCAACAATTRCATCCCCTGAAATTTGGCTTCTATAAGCAAGAAAATATTTTGCTGTTTCCATTTAGATTTGGACTGCTATACACACACATTGTGTGTTAGGGGGAAATTCTCTCCCCAGAAAACTTTTGAAGGCGCACAAAGCCTGTGTTGGTTTGATATGTTTCTAGTGCAGTAGTATGAAAAAATTCTTTTAATGTTTTCCCTTTTTAAACTATGACAAGAAAAGAATAAGTTCTATGCACTATCTASAGAAAAAAATGCTGTAATATGTTATAGAAGCAGATTCTATATTTAGAAATTCTTTTAGAAGACCATTTAAACCTTCTTGGTCCATTGATGCCAGCTGTTGAGCTTTACTTGCTCCTAGATAGTAACCAGAGAGGAAATGATTTATAACTTAGAGAAGAAAACAATTTACCCAATGATTTCTTGAGTGAATAGCCTAACCTAAATGGCAAACTTAGATTTATATAGATTTAATAAAGATTATAAATTAATGCTGAGGCTGTGTGTGTGTCCACTGGCCTTAATTGATTTTGGAGAAAAAAAAAAGTCCTGCAACTCTGCAAGTCAGGTAAATTAGATATCCTGAAAATGAGACATGTATAACGTAAAGCGCTTGACGTAAGGTAAAATCACTTGTGGCGCACGATGTGATTGGTCTTTTGTCAGACAGGTTTATCAGCTGTCTGTTATTTAGCCTGTGGCTGTATGTTTCTTARAGGGCCTCAATCTGACTGGCTTGAAAACCCCTTCTAACTGCCAGCCAGTCTGAGGGACTCGTGCTGTCCCTGCTTCCTTAGTCCCTGCCAAGTTGCAGAGTGGGCCCTTCAGCTGCCAGGAGCAGAGAGAGAAGCAATAGGGGCACCACTGGTGTTTGTGTAGTGAGAGGGAGGCTGCAGTGAATGGGAGGGAAAGGTTGGACTGGATGGGAGATACTGCTAGTGACACAATCCAATGCTGGAGTGGCCCATGGAAGCTCACAGAGGTTTTCAGAGGCCCACGTGGTTGTGCAGCTCTGCTGCGAAGCTGGTACACGAGTTGCTGGAGAAGCATGGCTTGCCGTTTTTTCACTTTACTTTTGATACGTTCCTGCTTAATGGTGCAGACCTTTATCCCCTTTCCCTTCATGGGAAGTGTGAAGCAGTAGAGACTCTTCATTTAAGGATGAAGGATCGGGTTTGAAGTTAAGCTGGGAGTGATCTAAACATGAATTATTAAATCAGACTTTCTATATAATTACTTTTTTTTTCCTTGTTACTTTCAGTCCCTTGAAGATTTAAACAGGTGGAGTCTACTACTTATTTCTCCTTTTATTTACCCTGATAAGTTGCTTGAAGCAGAACATATAGCTTTTGTGACAGAAAGCATTTCAGCTCAAACAGATAACTCGCAGAAAATACCTGACTGCTCAAAAGAGGTAAGCAGCTCAGTTTTTCTTGCTTAGGAGGTGATAGTACCACTAAGTCATTTAGTAGATAACTTTCTTCCTTCAAGCCTTAAAAATTGTAAGACTAGACAATTTATGTATGTTTGGATTTCCTATTAGGAATAAGAATGCAAGCTGTATGATACTGTCAAGACTATTGTAATCGTTAAAACCAACTTGATCACTATTATGACTAATGGTTTTATATTATGCTTCAGATAAAGTCAGAGGTGTTTTATTGAGGTCTTCTGTTAGTAGCAGTTCACTTCTCTGGCTGTGGCTTGAAACAGCAGAATTCCACTGTGGCATTGGGAAAGGCATGTATGACTGGATGTGCTGAACAGGAAAAACGGAGTGTGAGAGCTGCCTCTSTAAGTCAGATCTAAGTCAGAAGTTGTTTTAGCCCAGTGTCCTGTCTAGTGGCTAAAGCAAATGCTTCAATAAGAATATAWAAAGTAAATGTATGCAAAGCTTTCCAAAGTATTTTCCAAGGCTCCAATTCAGCTGTTGTGGAGAGTTGTATTTGAAATAGAAACCTCTCTTCGAAACTCTCTTTGAGCGTGATTTATAAGTACAAGTTTGGAATTGCACATTTTGGATGATTTTAACCTCAATTCCAGTCACGGCTTTCCCCAGTTTGAAGCTGGCACTTGTGTTAAAGTTGGGAGCGTAGCCTCTAATTTAAAGCATACAGCTGACCTTGTGACCAATGCCAAGATACTGCCCGCATAGTTTCCCCTTTTCATCTTTTTTTGAAATAAGTTTGATTGCTAATAATAGGGGTAGGTGTTGCCTTGGAAGGTACCGAGCCAGTTTTCTTGGTAGGTCACCAGYATGCCTTGGGTAGCACATGTGGCTATTAAGGTTGTATGAAATCTAAGCTTCTTTGAACTTGTTCAGGGGAAATACTGTAAAATAAAAAGTCTGAGACTACATGCATCATATTCTGAAATCTATTTATTGAGGTAGATTGAAAGGTAATTTTGGCTGACTTTCTTATAAATTATGAACAAGTAGAATGTCCGTGAGCCCACGCTCATTTCATATACTCAAAATAGGTGTTTTCCTTACTGTATTTAATCAGTGTGTTGTATTTTATGCATAATAGTAAACAGCAGAGCTTCATGAAAGTAGTCTGGTGATGATAACTTTGAAGTATTGGAGTTACTGTATGAAAATTGCCCTGTCTTTCTGTATATTAGAACATGGTATGTGAGGAAGTCTACGTTTTTCTTAGGTCATGAAAGCAAGTGGTGCTTCATTGGCTCTAAAAACACCTTTGCAGGTGAACAGTAACATTTTGTATCCTATAGAAGACAAGGGCTGTGGGAATAAAACAATAAGTACTACTTTCCAGCTATGAATCTGCAGACAGTTCTGTAGTCTTTAATTAATATGGCTGCCATTCAAAACTCCTTTTGTSTTGTTGAGGTTTTTATAATTACACTTGCTATTTGTTCTTCAAGCCAGTGGTGGTGTTTAGTTTGGGTTTAACAGACCTTCTTGGAAGGTGGAAAACCCAAGTGTGTCRCTTTGATAATTAATCTTTTTCTGCTTTCTCAGAGAACTGTCGTTGTTGTTCTAGATAAGTGACTTGTATCTTTGATCCTYTTAGTTAATGCTCCTGACAGATTAAATTAATGAGTGTATACTTTTTTAAACTCCAGTAATTTGCAGTTTGTATCAGTATTCTTTCCATAATATATGTTGAAAGCCATGTCTTAGAAATAGAAAAGCATGAAGATTTTACTTAGAGAGGATGACAGTGCTTTAATTCAATCTTGTATATGTTTTTTGAATCCTTATGGCCTTGATTTTCTGAGAAAGAAGTGTTTGTACGCCCTCTTCCCTTTCAATTCAGTTTAGGTGTTGCTTTGTTGCTTCCTTTCAGGTCAGAATGGAAATGAAGCTGGTACTGTTTGCTGTGTGACTCATTCCTGAATGATGTTCTGAAATACTGTTTTGCTTGTATTTGGTCTCGAAGATTGACATTTGTAGGCATGAAGGATACACTTTTGTGGGAAAGGAGATTCCAACTTAAATTTTTATTTCTAGTTGAGATGTTTTGTTCAGTAATACCATTAAATGTATCTGTCATTTTAAACACATCAAGCATCATAGAAAAATATCTTAAAGGAAATTGTGCCAGTATAGCATTTTGTACCACTAATAACAGAATCGCAGATTGACTGATGGTTGGAAGGGATGTCTGGAGATCATCTAGTCCAACCCTCCCTGCACAAGCAGGGTCAGGGAGGGACAGCAAGCTGTGCTTTTTAACGTTTTTATTTTATGGCAGTCTTTAAAAAATATTTCTTGTCTTTGAATTTTGCTAGTTTGAATATTTTGCTTTCTTAATGTTCCTGTGTTGCCTCTCTCTGTCTCTAAGTAAGTTTGCATTTGTTTTTTTGTGCATCATGCAATTTCATAATACTGTTGTATTTGTTTTTTNTTTTTTTTTTTGGCAACACTTTTCAGTCTGAAAAACGTATTTTTTATTCTTAGGTTGTGAGGTGGTCAGATTATTGTTCACCTTTGGCCTTTAAACCTGGTGAGCCTTATAAATTAATTGCTGAAGCAAGCATCGATAACTTCAGTAACCTTGGGATAGCATTCATGGAAGACAGGCTGCAAATGGATAACGGGATGGTGCCACACAAGATAGTTTGTAAGTACCTTTGCAAATTGTTTTTAAGGGCAGACTGTGTTTTGTTTYGTGGTTATTCTGGGGTTGTGCGTAAAATCTTTACATCTACACACATAACTGTGCTTTTGTTTTTGTAAGGTGTTGTCTTCCTATTGTCATTCTAGGCAGATCACCACTCTGTCGTGTTACTGTCTTTTAAACTTGAAACTGCCAAATGCGGAGATTCTTGAAAAGTCAGAGCATTTCTTGAATGACTTGCTCTTTACGGAGCGTGTCACAAATGCAACATCAGAAATAGCAGGAAAATAAAATTCAAAAGATGTTGTTTTTTTTTTTTCTTTTGGTTGATGTTTAACAGCTGCTTTAATTAACCTTAGTAAGATGAGATCCCTCAATACCCAAGATACTGTGATACTATTTGCTAGCATTRAAGTGTATGAACATGAAGACAAAGTTAGAAAATACTATCTCTGTATGTTGCTGAGGTTAAGTCCATTAGATCATCTGATCTGGGTCCATAGGCTAGTAGCTGAGAAATTTTCCTGGAAGATGAGAAATCTTGCCTCAATTTTCTCTTCTAAATGAGGTGAAGAGTATATGGTTTCAAGGGAATTCACATGTTCTTAAGAGAGGAAAGTGAAACTTGGATCTAGTATGTTGTGAGCTAGCTGACTCTTTTATTAATCTCACTTCTCATTGAATTTCTTTGAGAAATCAGCCACAAAAATTAGGCATATACAATATACAGACAGCCTTGTGGGAGCAGAGGGATTAAAGCARATGTTGCCTACTTTGAATCATCTGCCTTTGATATTTCAAATCAACAGATGGAAAAAAAAAGCTATTTATTCTGAAGATTAGTTTTTTTTCTTTCCTTGTCCTTAATTGGCTTGCTCTCTGAGGTTCTGCACTAACAGTAATTATTTTTGACCTTGTCTCATTTGGGCTCCCCAGAAACATATTATCTTCACATTTATTTTTTTTAAAGCAATTGCTATTTGTCCCTTRGATTCTTAGCTCATGTGTCTTGATATGGAAAGGTATGTCTGCTTTTGTGCAGACTGGGAACAGTTCAGATTTTTCTGCTCCCTTTTCTTACTTGTGCCAAATTTTTTTTTTTTTTTTTAATGCCTTTAGTAATGCAAAAAACACTGGCCAGTGTTTCCATCTTACCCAATATCATCACTGTTAAAGGTTACTTCAAAATAGTTATTTTCAAAGYAGCATCATAGAGTTTTCCACCCTGCATTCCTTAAGAAGTCAGATTTTTTTTTTTCCATAGGTACTTCCCTTGCTTTCTGTCCCTTTTCAATCAARGAGACACAGGCAAAATTACCAAAATTAAACATTTAGAAGTGACACGTTTGTAAGATAGCCTCTTTACTTTCCTATTTTGCTAAGTCAGAATGGCATACAATAACATTTTTGTTTTATTTTTATGCAAATATGTCTGTACTCGCAATGAAATTTGTGCTTAAATATTCCCGCAAACTGAGTAAAATTGGATGTTGTTCTCTGTCAGACAATTCTGGAACAAAAAGAAGAGTTAGGGGTATAAAGGTATTATATTCTTAGAGTAGTAGTTTTTAATGTGTCAAATTAGTGAATTTTAGTAGTATAGATCACTTATTCTGAAATGAACCTAAAAAGCCCAGTTGCATGCTGCTATGATGAATATCATAATCTCTCTTTTGGTGTATTTTTATAACCCTTTTTTGTTATTCTTTATTCTTGCAGCTGTCCATTTGCAGGAGTCTACTCTGAAGGAGTTGGGGCAGGTGGACCCATCAGAAAAAGAGAAAAGCGTAAGCAGTGCACAGATGCATGATTCTGCAGATACTTCTGAAACTGCTGTTAAATCAGAATTAGAAATAGCTGCAAATCCAGGTGATCCGCAGTCAGAAGAGGAGAAATGCAAGCTAGAGCAAGCAAGCAAGCATGAGGAAGAGTCCAGTAGTCTCTCTGACAGAGAGATAGGTCCTGGAGAACATCATCACTTGCATCTTTCCAGCTGTCATGAATGTTTGCAACTTGAGAACAGTACTATTGAGTCAGTCCGATTTGCCTCTGCAGAAAACATTCCTGAGCTTCCTGATGATTGCAGCAGCAAACCGGAAGATAAAAATGTTGAATACATAGCAAGTAAAATAAAAAGAGTAAACCTTGCTGGAAAGCCCCCTAACATCTTGATTTATGTTGGCTCTGAAGGTTCAAAAATGCAGTTTGAGCAGGTAAAATCAGTCCTTGAAGAATGTGTTGATGGAGACAGCTACACCATCTACCATCTGCGTGARGAGCAAGTTCTGAGAGATCCCTGGGTTGATAATGCAGTGCTGTTGGTCATTGCCACAGAGGAGACTATTTCTGAGGAAAGTCATAAACAGTTTATCAAGTTTTTATCCAACGGTGGAAAAATTTTAGGATTTTCTTCCTTGTTTACATTTGATGATATTCAGATAAAGAGAAAGGACAAGCTGAAGACTGTTCGTGAATTAGTGGTCTCTAAACCGGACAACACTGAAGTTAAGTTAGATTTTTTGATCAGTGGCTGCATTTTTGAGGAAGCGATGAAGGAAAATATCAGCAAAGTGAAGCCCTTGAGCCACTTAAATAATGCTGACAGAGATCTGGTTATTATTCACTTGCCTTATGGAGACAATGGAGGAGAAGCTGTTCTTTCCCAGGTACTGTGTGTGTGGAAGTATTAATTTGCTTGTGGCTACTCTGTGTTGTGATATACTCGAAACAAAACAAAAAAAAGTCACTTGTGCTGATTGCAAACTTCTTGGGGCGCTTGTCAGGGGATGAACCAAGGTTGACGTCTTGGTGAAGACAAGGAATATGAGGAACATACGGGGAATCTGAATGCAGGACAGTTTTTGCTTTCCTCAGGCAGCTGAAAGGGAGGGAGAGGGTGTCCTCGCTGCTCCAGYTCTGCATCTCCACCATGTCGCTGTGGGTTCTGCTGCAGCACAGGGCGAGGCAGAGAGAGCAGAGTGAACAGTGAAGGTGCAGCTGCAGAGCAGAGCTCTCCACTTCTACCTGCCCGGGGTGGTTCTGTGATGCCGCTGTGCTTTCCCGTGCTCTGGGAAGYGGGAGCTGAATTGCTGGTGAACTCAAGGAGGAAGCTTTTACTTGMAACATTTAAAAAAAAAAATCTTCCTTATRTAAGTATGGATTATACTGAGACAGAGTTGGGAGATGAGGTAAAATAAAACAAGAAACTTGAAATGAGTCTGAAGACTTATTTCTTAAGTATATATTAAAATACTTAAGTATTGGCGGCCAAAGCCAGCCCTTTGGAAATCTCTGAATAGAGACTGAGAAAGTTCCAGCGTTTCTTAGCTGCATATAATATGTAGAAAAGCTGTTGTATAGTTTGATGCTTGAAGAAATAATTATATTGTAAAGGTTAGTCTCTGTCCTGAAATGCTACTCTTGATTTCGGTCTGCGGGTCGGATTTCTTTTGCAAGAATTGTTGATGTCTCTTACGTTTTCTTTTTATCCTAGTGCTGTGAATGAACCAAATCACTTAGTGGTGTTTTCCTTAGTAGTGTTTTAGTTAAGTTCTCAATAGATGTTAAATTCATGGCATTGGTGTTCTGTAAATAAAAGGAACTATTTTTTCAGCTTCCTCCTCCAATTAAAGCAATTAGATTGCTTCTATCACTTGCATTTATTTAACTTTCTAAGTGTTGAYATGTATGTTTTCAGTTACTAATACATACTTTCCATTTTTGTCTSTTCTGCTTAAAACTCTTGCTTGTTACTTCCTCAGTCTTCCTTCAGGCTTTAAACTCTAAATTTTGCACTTAATAATGTATAGTTCAGAGCATCTCTAATGGAAGTGTGGGGACAGTGAAAGAATGATCCCAAATCATCATTTCCTAGTGTGCATTTTGAGTTGGCCTCAGCGGGAGCCTAGGTAAAGGCTTCCTCTTTAATGTGGCTTTTTGTTGTTATCTCACTTRTATTACATTGCTTCAGCAACACAGGAAGAAAAGCAGAGCAAGGTTTATTTACCTGCTTATAGCTAGACAAGGAACATAATGGAGAACAAACTTTAGGAAAGACTCCAGAAGCTGTTTTTATTAGTGCTGTACCTGCAAGGGAACCTTTTCAAGAACCCAGACTGCTTAATTCTGACTGCCTCCCTATCAGGGAGCACTCGCTTTTCTGCTTTGTGTAATTGCTAGAAATATTCATTAAGTTCCTCCAGTGCTTTCCTCTCTTGTCAGCTTATCAGACTAACCCTGCTAGTTTTTTGAAAACTATTATACAGAGTAACATGTTTATAGTTTTGTGTGAAGAAAGTTCCCCCCGCCTCCATGCTGTATATGTATACTAGAAAATCAATTAGATGGCTCTTGCTCTCCATTTCTGCAAGCTGCATGGTAAAACCTTTGCTGTACCATTTAAATTGAACCTTGAGCTGTAGTAAAAGTTAATACTGCCGTGGGTTTCCCCAGAAAAAGGGCATTGCAGTATGACTTCAGAGAATCAGATTAAAAGGATCAGAGTGTCATTTTATAGTTTGAAATGATTTCCAGTCAGGATTTGAAAAGCATTATTGTTTTCTCTTCAGGGCGCTGACAGTGACATCAACCATTAAATATTCTGCACASACTTTGCTCTTTCTTCATTTCTCTTTTTTTGTTTCTCTTTTGTTTCTTCCTCATAAAAAGTGCCAAATTGTATAATTGCATAAATGCAAGATTGTAGTATTATATAAATGAACACAAATAGCTCAGTTTTTATGAGAAACAATAGTTATGCTTTGCTTGGTTTTTGGTTGTTTGTTCTTTACAAAATGAATGTGCCTGGGATAGAGTACAAATGTGTTTTAAATGACTTGGAACATTTGTTTAAAAATATTAGGAGTTCTAGACCAGATTTTTTATTCTGTATTTCATTTCTACTGTCAAACATCTGCTTCAGCCCTGAAGAGTAATTCTCTGCAAAGTTGTGTTTCAAGTTTTTTAGTTAACTTTGAGACAGCAACATTTCTTTAGCTCCCTTGATAGTAATTTAATTCTTTTGACACTTGTTCAGGCTGAGTTCTGCTGACCTTGTGCAACCCCTGGATGAAATACCTCCAAAGATAATGCAATTCTGCTCTTGTACAAGCCACAAGCTGGGCAGTATTGCTGGTGTCTCTAGGGGGCTTACAAATATAAAATTGGTTGCAAAAGGGAAGTTAGTAAGTACATACAAGTTTGAACAAGTCCTTCAGGAAAAGAGCAGTTTATTAAGAAGGGATATTTTGTGTAGACTTCAAAGAAAATTGTAGTGTTTTGGCAACTGTGATCCCCCAAGGAAGTTATAAATATACTGGGCTCTTCCTCCCCTGGTGTATTAGGATGGTAAAGCCCTACTTGGAGATATGATGTGACAAAGACATAAGAGATTTTCTTTTAAAGCACACTGGGTATACTAGATATCTTTTGGTAGCTAAACAATCATATTTAGTACCAAGCTGCTTTTAGTGCTGTTGTATCTATTTCTCTTTGCCACTCCAGAATGTATGATATAAACTCTTATTCATTCTCTTTGCATATACTTTCAGGTGCACTTAGAGCTGGATATAAACTCTATGGATATCCAAACTGAAGAGGATTTTAATTTGCTTAAGATGAGCAATACAAAGAGATATGAAATTCTGAAGGAGATTCTGATATCGCTTGGCCTGAGTTGTGAACTAAGGGAAATTCCTATGTTAACACCTATCCATCTACTGTCCTCCGATGAGGTAAGGCTTCTACATCTGTTGGATTGGTTAAATATAGCCCACAGGGTAAATTCTGTGTTCATTTTAATATACATTGCTTCTTGTATAGGTAGAAAATTCTTTGTATGTTGACAACAAAAGATGAAACCTGAGTTGCAGAGAATGGGTCAGCAAACCAGAACTGAAGGACCAGAGTGAATGGAAAAGAGTGTGTAGTTAACATTATTCTTCAACCCAGCTTTCTCCTTGAAGCTGGGTTGTTGCCACAACTAGGTGAGGTTGAGCCCTGCCCTTTCCCTGAGTTTTGAAAACCCACGAGGATGCAGAAGCCTCAGGCTCTTTATGCAGACTGTTCAAGTGTTGCCATACTGTTCTAGTGAAATTTTTATCCTGATTTCCAGTCTGAACTTCTTAAGAGGAGCTTTATGGTCATTGCTGCTTATGATATAATCTAGCACTGCTCAGAAGTATTTGACTCTGGCATCCTTTTATCCCTCCTTTGAGTAGTTACAGAATGTTTTTAGATTGGCAAAGAAGAGGCGAAGAAACAAACTGCATTATCCTGTCTCCCTCATCGTCCTCTTGTTGATCATTTGCTCTTTTCTCCCTAATAGTAGTACGTTGCTGGATCCAGTCCAATTTCTTCATATGCCTCTTGAAATTGAGGCCAAAATTTAGTGCAATGTTTCAGATACTGTTTCATCAGCTGGTTCCCTACCTCCGCTGCCCGCAGTCTTTCTAATGTAGCACTGAGTGCAATGTGCATTGTTTGCTATGAGAGCTCACCAGATAAGGCTGGCTGCTTGAAACTCCTTGAATTTCATGAGGTTTCTATTTGCTCATTGCTTAAGTTTGTGAAGGTCCTTTCTGGATAGATCTGCCACTCCTAATGTTGGCCATTCCCCTAACTTAGCATCATTTACAAGTTTGCAGAGAGTGAGCTCTGTTATCATTCAAACTGATGAAGACTGAATTACTTGGAGTCCTCAGTCTGCAGGATGTGCAGCAACTGCTCAGCTCATGTGGGTTTTTGAATATGAGTTACAAGAGAGTGGATTTCAGGATACTTCCAGGGGCTGAGATGGTGCTGCCTCCCTTTTAGTTCCCTAGTTCCACACCTGTGCTTGTGGTCCCTCCCCCCACACAGCTCTCCTTTCTTGGAAGTTGGGAATTAATTCTTTTTTTTTTTTTTTTTCTCCTTTTTTTTTTTTCCCAGCTGTTATGGACCTCCTACAGCCCCTGTAGCTTTTCATGGATCATATACAGTGACCTTGTAGGATCATATACAGTGACCTTGTAATTGCCTAAGCCAGTTCTTTTTCAGAACCCTTGGTTGAATCCTGCTTGACCCGTAGATGTGAACATATTCAGTGTCTCTTGAATAGTCCCTAATCTGATGATCCCTCCACTGTTTCTTTCCTGTTTCTTTCCCAGATTGTGCCCATACACACAGATGCCTGGGAACAGGCTTTGCCTGTGACGACCAATGCTTTAAAAAAAGACATTAAATGCTTCAGCTTTTTCTGTGTTGTGTATCGCTCATTTGTCTTTCCCATCAGTCATTGCACCCATGTTTTGCCTGAATTATTCTTACTCCCAATGTCCTTCACTAATCTTAACATAGGAAGGTGAATGCCCATCTGAAGTTTTGTCTCTAGGTACCCAGACAATGCTTTTATATACTTTGTTATTATTTATTCATACCTGAGCTCTCCTAACTTTTGTTTAAAAATCAGTTATATCTCTTGGGCATCCTTCCCATTTGTAGTTGTTTTCCAAGGAATCCTAACAATTCCTTGAAAAAGCCTAAATCTGCTTTTATAAGCCCTGTTCCTGCCTTCCAGGCCTTCTTGCGTTCACACGGTTGCTAGATCCAAGGCTGCCATCTCTGACAACATTTAAAATAAATTAGTTTTTTTTTGTTTTGTTTTTTTCCTGTTTGAGAGGAGTAAACTAAGAAGTTGTCTATTTGGGTGGCAAGTGAACAAACAAAAGTAAAACTCATTCAGACTCTTTGGTGTTAAAGATGTACTTGGAGTTTATGAGTTTATGCCTACTTATCTTTCCTACGCTCTTGCAGTTTGCGAACTGTATCATACTCTCATACTATGAATTAAAAAAAAAAAAAAAAAGTTAGCTAATTTCTATCCAAACTTGCCATCTAGTGGCATGTTACAGGTTGCAGGCCATTAAATATATCTGTCAAATACATCTTGTAGAGTTGAAAATTAGACCCCTAAATAATTTTAAAACTGTGATAAAACGATAAGACGTTAAGACTATAGTTTTTCTGTGTTGGTTTATGCAGTCCTTCATTCAATATGATTTATGTATTAGCCAGCAAGTGCTTCTGGAGTAGTGTGTGAAAGGAAGCTGTAACTTGTAAGTAAAAACAATAGTTATAATGGAGAGAGACATTGAAACGTGAGGAAGATGTTAAGCTTCCCAACACATTACTTTTTTTCTGTATGTATCTTAAGTTTTTTTCCTCACATTTCATTGTATTTTTTTGTTCTCTAGAAAAGTATCTGATGTTAAGTAATATGAGATATACTTAAATGACTTTAAGATCAGATGGAATCAGTAGTCCTGGAAATGGAGATGGAAAAACAGTATCTTACAAGTCTTGTCCTCTTAAAGTGTTGTTTTTGGTCCCCATTTGTGTCAAAAACTTGTCCGGAATGTGTCATTGGACTGTATTGAGTACCCTATTCCTTCTCTGAGAAAGAGCCTGAGTAATGTGTCTTCCACTGACTTTTTTTTTTTTTTTCTCTTTTAAGCTTCTGGAGGATAAGAAATACCACACTGGGGCAGTTGACTATCAAGTTATCTCAAAGCTAGATATTTAGGGGARAAATGGAGGAATGAGAAATGTGCTTCTCCAGGTTTCTGGGAGTTGGCRGTTCAGGGACTTGCCAAGCTGGAGGTTGCACCTGTACCTGTGCATTTGGAAAGCAGGCTGGCCCGATCCGTCTGCTTCCTTCTGGAAACTGCCACTTCGTTTCTCTTATGCTGTGAGGAACAGTGATTGTCTTTGCTCTCTGTTTTCTGCTCTGCTAAGAGAATTACAGAAGCTTTTGGACATGTTTTTACTGACACTCTCTGCAGACTCAAAAGTTCTTCTTTGTTTGGTTTCATCCTTATGACCTGTGCAGTTCAGTTCCCGGGAGATTTTGTACCCTCTTCTGTGTTGCTTGGTTTCTCTTTCTGAGCCTTTTTCCTCCTCAGTTATCAAATCAGATCTCTTTTCTGTTACATTGTGGACCTGAAAGAATCACAGCATAGCTGGCKTTGGCAGAGATACTTGGAGAGCCTCTGTTCCAGCTTCTTCAACTCAATTTTATTGAATATATTCAATATTAAGGCTATATAGAYCTTATTCAACTTTATTATACAAGCAAATAGCTTCTCTTATTTTTCCTTCAGCTTGGAATTCCTGAAGAGTATGCATTTCTCCTGATCAGCCCATCAAATCTATTATGTTGGTTGCTATAAATTTGATTATGGACTAAGACTTTCAGTTCCTCCTGTCCGTTCTCTGTGTCTTGAAAGGTGGATTTTTAGTGTAGATTTTGCAGCTTTTGGGTGAGTTTTGAATTTTGAGGAGGGAGAGTTAATATTCTCAAGTTTTAGTTTCTAGATCATATGATGACCATAAAATCACAGATTTGTCAGAAGCAGAACTTGCATTAGCTTTCTGAAAATCAGTATAACTTCAGAATTCTACGACTCCTTTATAATACTAACTCAGGAGAAGAGGGGGATTGAACTTTGTCTAAATGTCAGGATCTCCTATATATTCTCCAATTTTTCTAAAGTTTATGTGCATTGAGAACTTGGGGTTGCAGTTTGATGTATGGAGAACTTGGCAAAGGTACAATTATTTTAGACATAATCAAATTTGAAAGGAATATGTTTCCTTTTGAGGAAGGGGAAAAAAAACTTGGAAAGGCAGAGTTTATTTCATATGAGAAGTTACAGCCTTTGTGATGCACTTTCAGCTTCTCGCRTATGGAAAAAAAATGGTTTAGGGTGGAATGTGAATGATTTGGGAAGAAATATTTAAACCTTGACAATAGTAACTGTCATTGAAAATTCTGCAGTTAAATTTTATCACTCGGGAAAATCACATTAGGAATGGGATGGTCAAGCTTTTAAAAAATGTAGTATATTTACTACATTACTTAACATTATGCGGTTTATCCAGACTAGACTTATACAGCTGATATTGTTCCAGAACAGAGGCTGAGATTTCCAGCTGTTCTGTGTCCAAGTTGGAGTTTGGACGAGTTGGAGGCTGTCCTAAGTAAGCAGTGAATCTCATTTACTCTTAGCAATTGAAGGTCTGGTTCTAAACAGTGGAAATTAGATCATGTTGTTACGAGTGTTGGGGAAACACTTTTAGGTTACTTGCCAAAAGAAAGCTGAAGTGGCAGAGATGTCAAATTGGAAAATACAGTTTATGCAGTTTTTGTGCCTTGCAATCTTTCAAATAGATGATCTCATATCTACAATTGATTCCCATATCTCAGGGTTTTCATTTATTTTTCCTTTTTGTGTCTTTTCTTAATATGTCCACAGGCTCTACCAATCTGGAATTGACATTTTGGCAATATTTTGGCTTGAAGTTGAAATAGAAGTTCTAGTAATTGAATATTGCATGATAATATCTGTCTGTTCAGAGGTCTAGACCTCACTGTGTGGCGTTAGGCTAGTCTTATCCTCRGCTAAAGCTGCCTGCTCTTGGTGCTGAGGGATTGCTATGAAGTATAAAGTATTGGGCCTGGAAAATAATAGCAGTTGAGGCAACTCTTTATCAGAAAACTTACACTAAGACTCCTAAGTATGGCTTGCTTCGGATGTGCACATATGGACAAAAACTGAGAACTTGAAAACTCGGTTAATTGTGGAAAATCCATATTACGTTGATACGGTGCTACTGCAACAATGCAGGCTGTGTTTAAACCGACAGCAATATAGACGAAAGGCAGGTTGTTTGCTGGATAAAAGTTCAGTTAAAT